ATTAACGGACAGAGTCACGCCTATCTCCGCCGTTCTAACTAATGGGCCAAAAAATTTGCTCTACTGGAGCTATCCAAAATGGCGGCGAGTGGTCCCGCCCACAATAAAATAGTGAAAAAACGCATCTGCGCATGCGTCAGCTGGCGCAACTCCATTCATTTGAACGAGAGACTTCAGAAATTCACAGCAAGTAAACTAGAGTGGACCAAAAAAATCCACCCCCCTCAGCATTGACACACATGTGGAACGAAGCTTTGGGCCAAGAGCCAACTTTGGTCCATCCTGTAAAGACGTTTTTGAGAGGTCTGCCAATGCTATATGTTAGCATTGGCTAATTCTTCTTCTGGGTCCACCCCCATCGGCCCGGGGGGGGTATTGCAAGCATGCGCTCGTCATTTAGGCCACTTTTGAGCTGGGACCCGCCCCCACTGGTTCAGACCAGAAGTCCTGGCCATCGGACCCCCTTCTTCTCCAATAATGCAGCACTGCAGCGTCTCTGTGTTCAGAGACCTTCCAGAAACTTTATATAACAGTAGTATGTGTTCACGGAAGTGCGCCATACGTTTATTTTATTATTAAACAGTACTTCCGCATCGGCGAACACACTCGAAGCAGTTGCATAAAATCATGGAAGCAAGAGAACGCATATGTTCTCAAGCACTCCCCCATTGTCAACCCTGGTTTAGTTCTGGTCTAGCTCCTGTTTTGGCTGTTTACGAGTATTTTCAGTCTGCTCGCTCAGACCGCTAATGTCCCGTGACCACTTTGCGGCTCTCTGATTGGTCGCTGCACGAGCGTCCCGAGGAAATGCTCAGCAATATTTATTATATGCATATTCATATTAACATAAACATTGAACCCTAAAGGCAATAAGTCATAATTACAAGTAAACATTATTCAGCCCCGCAGTCTACAGCAACCTTCTTTAGTCCAGTTTTGTTTTAAACCCAAGCAGCCGGACTCATTTTGTTGATTGAAATAAATGAAATAACTTTCTCGACTGTTAATATTGAAGAATGAGACGAAAACGTCATAAATTCAGGTTGGATTTGTATATCCGATGTTCATATATGTTACACACACGCACGCACGTGCACACACACACACACACACACACATACAGACATGTGATAAATATAGCCCTCAGCTGAGCCCTCTTTTACTCGCCATGTAATAATAGAGTGGTTCCACTTTGACACAAGCTGAGTCTGTTTCAGAAATGTGGATCTGTGTTAGCGACCTATTGCTTTTGTCACATTGAAAACAGTTGTTTGATACTTTCCCCCCCTCTCTCTCTCTCTCCTCCCTCCCCTCCTCTCTTTTCTCTCCTCCTCCTCTCTCCCCTCTCCCCCCAGAGGGACCACAGAGCTGCTGTTTGTATCACAGACATCTCAGACAGATTGAACCTGGAGCTGAGTCTGAAACCTCAGCGTTTCAAACTGAAACAGTGATTTCTGCTGTCTGCTCCTGTCCTTCAACTACACACACACACAACACAACACAACACAACAAAACACACAGGCGGAATAAAAGGGGTTGGACGAAGTGGACGTTTATAAACCTCAAGCCCCCTCAGCCAATCAGGAGACGACAGAAAAACAACATGACCATATAATACTGTAAAATAAACAGCCACAAATAAAAGATGGGAGCACTTCCTGCTCCCATCCCTCCTCTCTCCTCCCTCTCTCTCCTCTCTCCTCCGTCTCTCTCTCCTCTCTCCTCCCTCTCTCTCTTCTCTCTCCACTGCTCTCTCATTTCTCTCCCCCCTGTCTCTTTCCTATCTACTCTCCCTCCTCATCTCTCCCACTCCTCTCTGCTTTCCCGATGTCTCTCCTTCCTACTCCCCCTCCTCCTTTGTCCTCCATCCTCCCTCTACTCTCCTCTCTCCCCTTCCCTCCTCCTCCCTCCTTTCTCCCCTCTCTCCCTCCCTCACAGTGCAGTCTCTCCCCCGCTGCTTTTAAATTAATGTCATTTGATTTAGTGGAGCAGCTGCGTTAATCCCTCAGCGTCATTAACTAAAGCTGATGTGAAGAGGCCAGAGCTAAGTCAGACACAACACAGAGAGGAGGTGCACACTAAGAAAGGAGGTGCACACTGCGAAGGGAGGTGCACCAGGGAGAGGAGGTGAACCAGAGAGAGGAGGTGCACACAGAGAGAGGAGGTGCACACGGAGAAAGGAGGTGCACCCAAAAGAGGAGGTGAACCAGAGAGGAGGTGCACAGAGAGAGAGGAGGTGCACCAGAGAGAGGAAGTGAACCAGAGAGAGGATGTGAACCAGAGAGAGGATGTGCACCAGAGAGAGGATGTGCACCAGAGAGAAGGGGTGTACCAGAGAGAGGAGGTGCACCAGAGAGAAGGGGTGTACCAGAGAGAGGAGGTGCACCAGAGAGAAGAGGTGTACCAGAGAAAGGAGGTACACCAGGGAGAGGAGGTGAACCAGAGCGAAGAGGTGTACCAGAGAGAGGAGGTGCACACAGAGAGAGGAGGTGTACCAGAGAGAGGAGGTGTACCAGAGAGAGTAGGTGTACCAGAGAGAGGAGGTGTACCAGAGAGAGGAGGTGTACCAGAGAGAGTAGGTGTACCAGAGAGAGTAGGTGTACCAGAGAGAGTAGGTGTACCAGAGAGAGGAGGTGTACCAGAGAGAGTAGGTGTACCAGAGAGAGTAGGTGCACCAGAGAGAGTAGGTGCACCAGAGAGAGGCAGTGTACCAAAAAAGGCGGGGCACCAGAGGGAGGAGGTGGACTGGATAGAAGAGGCACAACACAGAGAGGAGGTCCACAATACAGGTCTGCAGGAGAAGCATAGAATGTATAAGTAAGTAAGTAAGTAAGTAAGCTTTATTTATATACCGCCTTTCACAGACCAGAGTCACAAAGCGGTTTACAATTGTTATTTTTTGGGCATTTGTCTCTCACTCCACAGAGATGGGAGAGGGGTCGCCGAACAGGAGGCGCATGCCAGACCTATTGTACATATTTTTAGTGGTAGGGGAAACCGGAGTACCCGGAGGAAACCTACGCAGACACGGGGAGAACATGCAAACTCCACTCAGAAAGGCCCTGGTCCGGCCGGGATTCGAACCCAGGACCTTCTTGCTGAGAGGCGAGAGTGCTATCCACTCAGCCACCGTGCCGCCCGCCGTCTGTATACTGATAGACAATGCTAACCTGCTAGCTCAGATGCATTAACGTCATCCAGTCACGTGATTGTGAAGGAGCTTACAGCGGAAGTATTGGAAACTAGCATTGTGGCAAGAGCAAAACGGACACAACTCTTAAAAACGGAGACTCCTCTCTTTAAACGAGAAGTGGCTGCTTCAAGCACATGTTCGATTACGTTATAGGTGGAAGTAGGACATCAGGTCAGGGCTCACAAAGAGTTGTATTTGACCCGTACCTTCTCCCCACGGTCAATTTTATCGTGTCAATGAAATGTCCAATTTTGCCCGAATTCACCCCACATGGTCTTTATCATTATGCCGTTAACAATGCATCCCCTCACACTGGAGCAGATTTACATTTTGCTGGTAGCATTAGCGCATTAGCAATAGTCCACTTTTCTGTGGCTCTTCTGTCTACAGCCAAACATGATACATATTGACGGAGAGGAAATTAGTGAAAAATGCAACTGACGTCTAAGATAAGAGATCCTTTATTCGTGGCACAGTGGGGATATTTTTATTATTTAAGAGACACGTTTGACTTGTGTCATTGTCCTCCAAATTAATGGAAATAAGATAAATACAAACTTGTGATTGATTTATCTTGTAAAAAGTGTTCACTGCATATTAGGGAGTGCTTGGATGGGTCCCAGTCCTTTGGGTTGATTGCTGCCATCCTCGTCTTCTGTCTTCATGACGAGCAGGTATCAGATAAAAAGACACATTTGGCTTGAGTCCTTGCCTGTTAGTACAACCAACAGCACTGCCAAATATCACAGTTTTGGATGTAATTCGCTGAAACAGGTTATTTTGGTCAGGTGTCCGTAGCGTCCATAGGCTCGTAGTTAGACTTCCGCCGTCTGTCATGGAGAGTGGGCGTGGTCGGGACGTTGTATTTGAGAATAAACACCTCTAGCCCGGTAACGGTTTGTGTCGCACTCACCATTTTGGGCTTAAAAATCTGTGTTTTAGTGCTCTCTGTGATCCTGGTGTTTATATTGTGATATATTCGTTGTAAATCCAGATATGAGCCATATATACACCAATCGGATGCCTTCTTTAGCGGGGAAAAAACTAGCTCATAGCGACGGCTGCTCCTGTTATGACGCTAAGCTAATGCCATCAGAACAAATGCCCATATAAGGGAATTGACTCCAGCTAGCTAATATTCAAATCGGATTCTTCCGCATTAAGGCTAACACTTTGGTGATGTCACACTCGGCCAGTCCTCTTCTGATACAATCTATGGGAAAAACTTGTGCATTAAAGCTGGGGTACTTTACATTTGTTTCTTCTACAACTTGCTGAGCTAATGAAGTCTTATTAGAAAACAAATCTTGAAAGGAAGAGCTGATTGGCTGATTGGGGGGCGGGTGTTATGAGGAAGAAAATGTTTTAATTAAAGGACAGAACCAGGGCTAAAACTGATCCGAACCAAGACCGAACTAGGACTCACCCAGAACCGAACCAGGACTGAACCAGGTCTGAACCATGATGGAACCAGGACTGAAACAGGAGTGAACCAAGTCTGGACCAGGACTAAATCAGAACAAAAACAATATCTAACCAATATGACTAAAGCAGAACTGAACTAGGACTGAACCACTGCACCAAAACCAAATCCAAGCCCAAAAAAACGGCGGGAACTCTCAAGAACGCATTAGAAAAGACGAAATACAACATGATAAAAAATAACAATAACATATAGTACTAATATGGAAATACAAAAAGAGCTAGGACTCGCTGCTGATGTCATCCTCCGCGCACCGACCAAACTCTGCTGCCCCCAAAACGCAGTCCTCTCCCGGCAGCATCACTTTCTGACTCCGCTGGATCCATGCGCGGGGATGACTCACCGCATCCTCCCCGTAACCCCTCACCCCTCACTCATGCCCGTAACCCCTCACTCATCCCCGTAACCCCGTATGCACCGCGACCATGCTCTCCCCCCAAACCCAAACCCACTCCGCCTCTGCCTCTCCGGGTCTTTACCTTCGCGACATGGATGAGCGGTCTCAGCAGCGACAGCAGTGGTCAAGGCATCCCGGGAAGAGTGCTGGGTGGACGGGGGAGCTGGAGGTGGTGTCGGTGTTCGGTGTTCTGCGGGAGACAGGTCCAGTGCGCGGGGAGGACTGGAGTGATGCGGCCGTGACAGCAGAGAGCGCCGGGAGAGAGAGTGTGGGGGTGGGGTGATAGAGGGGGGGGGGTCTGTTTGGTTCAGGCTCAGCTGTAACGACAAGCGTGAAATATCTGCAATGGCACAAAACTAAAATTACACAGAAACAGATTTTAAAGCTGGGGTACCTGACTTTACCGCATAAGTAACACGTGTTTTTCTCCAACAGGAAGAGTCTTGTAAGAGCGAAATGTTCATCTCACACCAGAGCATGCTATCTTCATCTCAATAGATAACATGTTTTGTGCAAGAAATTGCCTTTTGAGTCACTATTTGACTCTTTGAGCTGAGAGCTGATTGGCTGAGTGAGGAGGGTCCGCTCTGTTTCACTTTTTTGTCTGAAAAAGCTGATCTGACGATATATGATTGTGAAAAACTATAAAGATTGGATAGGATTCCTGAAACAAGACTAAACCAGGACTGAACCGGTCTGAACCATGTGAAAACAAGAGCTGGGAACTAGTGACATGGATTTAATTAGTTTTTATAACAGTTTTTATTACATTGTTTTTTTAACAATGTAACTTTGGACATAAAATATGAGGGTTGAAACAATTGGGCATCCAACCTGGTCTTTTTGCCGAGGCGTGTTCAGTGTGAACGCTCCAAACGACTCAATAAAAGCGTTTTTTCTGCCGTTGCAGTGCCGAGAGAGACCAGAGAGAGGCCAGAAAAAGATCGGGAAGAGACCAGAAAGAGAATGAGTTTTATTCTGATACTTTTCAATGTCAATAGGAACCAAACTTCACCATGAGCACTTCTCTAATCAGCTTCATAGAGCTTGTGTGTTAGCGTTTTCCATCTAGTTACAGTCCATGCTGGTGCAGGTCCTGTTTCTTGGTCCATCGCTGGTGCAAACGCATCCTTGTGCTGCTGTGGTTTTAAAGGATTACTCTCTCATTCATGTAATGGCCAGGATCATCAAATATAATAACCATTTAAAGCCATCATCCACCGCCATGTAATCCTGCTTTGGGGAAGTCCTGATCCGCTTTCCCAATTCCACAATTCTGTGGTCGGACCGAACCAGAAAACGAGACCAGAGAGAGACCAGAGTAACCAGAAAGAGCATAGAAAAAAAACAGTGTGACCAGAGAAAGGCTAGTGAGAGACCAGAGAGAGAACAGGGAAATAGAGAGGCTAGAGAGAGAGAGGCCGGAAAGAGACCAGATAGAGAACCCAGAGAGTCGCAGAGAGAGGGAGCATGAGAAGAGAGAGAGAGAGAGAGAGAGTCTCTCTCTCTCTGTCATAAAAACTATTGGCGGCCGGCCAATAGAGGGCGCTAGGGCGCCGCCCCACCACTCACAACTTGCCATGTTACCTTGAATAAAACGTTAAAAAAAATAATAACATTAAAATATTTCGAAATTTATGTGTGTTTTATTTCAGATGTGGAAGAAATACTTTATAGTTTATGCTGAGTTGGATTGATTAAGCTCATCAGCGTTGTCTGTGTCGGACTGAGGACGTATTTCCGCCTCAGGGCGCAAAAGATTGCGCCCTGAGCCGTCTATGGACTCTCGTTAAAAGTTGTACATGCGCAGTAGCTCCTCTTCAATGCAAGAGATAAGACGATTTGGGGGCGCAGGAGAAGTGCGCCCTGAGGGGGCGGGATCGCCCGCGACCTGTACTGTCACTGTCTGTGACGTCCGTTTACAGTGATTGACAGGTCAAGCTGTGGGAGTTTGAGACGAACGTAAAGAGACGCAAAATGGAGAACGAGAAAAAGAATAATTCAGTTAGATCACTCAAAACAATACCGTTTGAGAGAAGATCATACCAGGAGAAGGTTGAGGTTAAAGAGCTTGGACCTAATCAGCCAAATATTACCATTAGTCAGCAGTCCAGCGACAGGGGGAGACGGTACACTCGTACTTTTTCCAGGACCTGGTTCAGCGCCAAATCTTGGCTTGCAGCATGTAGTGAGGCTAATGCTTTATTTTGCTTTCCATGCCTCTTGTTTCAAACATCAGGATATAATAAACCAAGGGGTAGGTTTATTATAAGTTCTTTGAACTTCTTCCTACTCCTTTTGAGCACAATAGTCTTGTTTTTGTTTTCTTCTGTAAAATGTTTTAAATAAGTTTCTGCTCAAATAAATAAATAAATGAAAAAAAAAATGAAATGAAATGACCCAGCATGGATCAAGACAGGTATGACTGATCTGAAGCACTTTTTAGAAAAGGCAAAGAAGCATGAGCAGACTGGTATCCACATGCAAAATGCCCTCAAATTAGCTATGTTTGGGAAGATAAATATTTCATTCTCGTGTGAGGCTTCAGTCACAACAGTCAGTGTAAACTTACTTACTGCTGGTATATATCTAGTCATCATATTCATAGCCCCCCCCAGTAGAAAATTCCACCAGCCGCCACTGAGAGAGACCATGGAGACATCATAGGGAGAAACAAGAGAGAACAGAGAGAGACCATATTCTGCAAAATTGACCTGAGTTTTTAATCATGTTTCAACATTGGTAATTCATCAATCCCAGACCTGGAGTTTTAGCTTAATCCACGCTAACATCAGGAACTGACAAAACACATATCCCTGTCCATTCTTAAATGCTCTGATTTCAACGCACCGCTGCGGGGGAAGATGGAGGACGCGGGAGTGGACAGTCACCTCACTGCATGGACCATCAACTACCTCTGAGGTGGTAGTCTGCAGCACTGGGGCCCCTCAGGGCACTGTCTTCTCACCGTTTCTTTTCACCATCTACACTTCAGACTTCACATACGACACACACAGCTGTCACCTGCAGAAGTTCTCAGACGACTCCGTCATCGTGGGCTGTGTGTCTGAGGCGAACGAACTGGAATATTGGTCGGTTATCACAGACTTTGTCGACTGGTCTGAGCGCAACCACTTGTGCTACTGGACAGCGTGTGTGAACCACTTTCCCACACGCTGCTGAACATCCAGGGGGAGGACATTGAGCTGGTGGACAGCTTCAAGTACCTGGGTGTTCACATTAACAATAAACTGGACTGGTCCCATAATACCAACGCCCTGTACAAGAAGGGCCAAAGTCGCCTCTTCCTTCTGAGGAGGCTGAGGTCCTTCGTAGGTCCTTTTTTCAGAAAAAAATGGGGTCAAAGTGTGCACAATTGGTCCCAAAAGCACTTTTTAAAATTAATTTTAAAATGAATTTTAAAAAGTGCTTTTAGGACCAATTGTGCACACTTTGACCCAAATTATCTTTGAATTTCTACAGTAAAAATGAATGATATTTTACACAGTGGTAGAGGGCATCACAGTGAACAAGTGTGCAGTGAAAGTAGTCAGGGAACTTTTTTAGATTTAAAAAAAATGATTTTTAAAAAGTGCTTTTGGGACCAAAATGTTACACTTTGACCCCCATTATATCTGAATTTCTACAGTAAACGTGAATGATATTTTACACAGTGGTAGAGGGCATCACAGTGAACAAGTGTGCAGTGAAAGTAGTCGCAAAGCTCTTTTTGTTCTTTTTTAATGATTTTATTAATAAAATTGCATCTTGCTTGCTTCTCGTTGCGGCTTCCCTTTCCACGTTTACCGTAAATGACAGCATAAAGGAGCCAACCGCTTTCAAAGTGCCGCTGCCGACAAAATGCAGGGCCACTTTACCGCGGTCCTCTGCCATATACTACGCTGCCGTGTGCTGGCCTGGGCCCCGGGTAGCACAGAGCGGGACTGGAGTAGACTGAACAAGCTGGTCAGGAGGGCCTGCTCCACTCTGGGCTGCTCCCTGGACTCTGTGGAGGAGGTGAGGGACAGGAGGGTGCTAGTCAAAGTCACCTCCATCATAGACAACACCTCCCACCCACTGCACAGGACTGTAGAGGAGCTGAGGAGCTCCTTCAGTGCAAGAAGGAGCGCTACTGCAGGACCGTCACCTCCACCCCTGTCAGACTGTACAATAAGTCACTTTAAGTCACTAATGCACAAGGACTGAAAAAGCCAGCACTGCTATTGCCACTTTTTATTGTACATAATTATCATGCACAGACTGTATTTTTAACCTTTAACACACGTTTGCACACTTGTCTTTTGCCAAATTTGACATGTAAATTTCTCCAGTGTGAGATCAATAAAGTCTATACAGTACATTGTGTTAGATTGACATATTTACAACCATGTGTTTCAAATGTCTTCACAAAAAGTCATCTCTTATTCCATTAAACACGGCTCTTCATATGTATCCATCAAGGCTTTATTTCACTTTTTAAACATGAAAAAATTAAATGCACTCGGGAGTCTCCGTTCTTTGTGAGTTCACATGTGCGAGTGGTGTAGAGGTGGCCTCGTTGTGCCATCTAGTGGAGAGGAGCAGCACTGACACCTGAGCTCCCAATGAGCTGAGGCCTGTTGTGGAGTTTCGGTTCATGTGTTTCTGAAAGCTGAATATCAAAGTTTTGTATCAACTCAACCTCAGATCAATTCAATGTATTTGTGTATCGCCCTAAATCACAAGTCGTCTCAGAGTACTTTACAAAGTTGTCAATTCACGAACAACAGATCAGAGAATTAAACAGTTTGAACACAGGAAATGCAATAATAACAAACACATAGGAGCCTTTGGTCCATAGGGAGCGGAATGACCACAGTAGATCAAGGACTGAGGCTGTAATATTTTAATACTATTGTTAGCTATTTTTTAGAATTATCTATTTACTTGTTTTGTTTGTATGAATGCATGTGTTTCTGTTGCTACTGGACACCTGAATTTCTCCTACAGGGATCAATAATCCATCTATCTATCTATCTATCTAGACCCTGGACTGAGTTCACAGGTGCAGAAAGGGAGAGGGCTCAGCAACACGGAATCCCCCTTCTTTATTCTAATCTACGTTTTTGAGACCCAGTGACAAACCTAAACCTGTATTAAATCTTCAGGTTTTCATATATGCTTTAAAGTCTGTGGCCTGTATTGCCACATACTTTAAAGCATATATTAAAAGTTTATTATCTAGAGATTAGAAATATAAAAATACTTATAACATGGTCACATTGGTAGGAACACATTCCAACGCAGAGTCTGGTTGATTAATACTGTGTGAGTCCTTTTTCTCGGGTTCATGTTGCAGCTTAAGTCCGGCTCTGAGCAGCTGAATGGTTCCTGTGTGTGTGTTGTGTGAGAGTGTGGCTTTGTCTAAATGTTTTGTCGCAGATTGAGCAGCTGAAGGGTCTCTCCACAGAGTGTGTCAAAGTATGCTGTTTGAGATGATCCTTTCGGCCAAAGCTCCTCTCACAGAGTGAACAGCTGTAAGGTCTCTCCCCTGTGTGTATCCTCATGTGTGGGATCAGTTTGTACTTACTCGCAAACGTTCTATTACAGACTGAACAGCTGAAAGGCTTTTCTCCTGTGTGGATTCTAACATGTATCCGTAAGTGATCTTTTCTCCTGAATCTCTTCTCACAGATGTAACATGAGTATCTCTTGAACCCGGTAGTGTCTCCGCTCGTTTCTCCGAACGGTTCCTCAGTGTGTCCCAGTAGCAGTGAGGTCATGTTCTCTTCTTTAATCTCAACAAGGTATTCTGGGACCAGCCTGAAAATACATGATTAGAACAGGGTTATGTGTATGTAAACGAGTCAATGTCTAGTGTGTAACAGTGTCTGTAAATAAGTCGTACTCTTGCTCCTGTTCTTCCTGCAGTTCCTCTGATTCTTCTTTCAACTGTGGCGTCTCTGGCTTCAGACTAGGACCAGGACTCGGCGGACCAGGACTCGGCTGACCAGGACTCGGCGGACCAGGACTCGGCGGACCAGGACTCGGCGGACCAGGACTCGGCGGACCAGGACTCGGCGGACCAGGACTCGGCGGACCAGGAGTCAGCAGACCAGGATTCAGGGGACCAGGAATCAGGGAGGCTGTCTGGCAACCTGCACACACAATGAACAAATACTTTACAAACACACAAATAGAATGCTGAGGTGCTTTGTGATTCAAGTCTGTTCTAAAGTGAACCATTGAGATCATACTACCACCAGCCCTATGGACGCCTTCAAGGACAATATGTAGTCTTTGACAGTGGTCCCCAATCCCCGGTCATTCACCCGACCGCCAAGGAAAGAATCCTTTATTATAAAAAATGACCGGATTTCTCCATGCACTACAGCGTCACAAATGTGCCTTCACTCACGTTGTGAGGCGGCACCCGCTGCAGAGGCTCTAATGGCATTTTATATAGTTTTACAAACGCAGTGTGAAGAGAAGAGACGCCTGAAAAAAATGGAGAGGAGACCAAGACATTGCCTTGGACACAGCCACGGCAAAACTGTGGCTAAAAGCTCTGATTAGAAGCTTTCACAGCGCTGTGAAGGCAAGAAAAAATAACTTTCAAACTCACACTGTTGATAAACATATTCTGGCAATTGTTTTGCGTTTTACATATTTGAGGCTTGTCCCTGAATACATTTTGTTAAAATTTGTGACATAGAAGTTGGACTAATGCTCGGAGCAGGTCAGAACATCCTGAGACCCGTGTTGCAGGTTCTGCCTGGTTCTCATCACTGTTGGTGTGAAGAAAGTTACATAATGTTCACGTGTGCACATGCTGTGTAACCACAGCAATGTGCCTCCTGTTGTGTTAACTCTGTCTTTCGGTGCGTGTGTGTTCTAAATTTTTGCATAATTCCTTTTCTAAAAGATCGGGTGTTCTTTTACATAACTGTGGTCCTCCATGGTTCCTTCTTCAAACTTGTGAGGGCACAGTGGAAGCAACGATCAGTACCACCAAAACACGTTTCTCGCATCCTTTTTGTCCCTTCTCAACCCCTGATTTTTAAGATGCCAAATTGACATTAAGAGTCCTCAGCTCTAATTGACATTTCTAATTCAAATTCCAAGTCTATGAAAACAATTCAAAAACATGGTTGAGGTAAATATTCTTAGAAAAGGTCATATTTGTTATTGGTTAACAGGCGTATAAACTTGTTGGAAGGAGCTATTTTTATGATTTACATGAATAAAAGGATTACTTTAATTCAGTTTGGAAAAAGAAAATATGGTAGATTTTTCTGAACAAAACTAGTTCAGTTTCTGTGTGTTTGGACTGAAAATTAATCAAATTAACAATTTATAATAACGTGTCAGGTTCAGATTTCTTGAGAACACTAGCTTTAAAATTAGGCATAACTCGCCATGGAAGCTCATATTAACTAACCATCAATGCTGCAAGTTAATAGTAATTATTGACACAAATTTGGTATTTGAATCATGCCTTGGATCACCTAATGAAGAGCTCTAAACGGAACTGTCTAAGACATGTTTCTCTTAAAGGACTTCTCAAATCCTGTAGTGCCAGATTTGTTCCCCTGCTTCAGCCAGTACATGTCCATGCCCATCTGAAGTTTGCTAGAGAACATTTGGATGATCCAGAAGAGGCTTGGGAGAATGTCATATGGAACACCATACCTACTGTGACGCATGGGGGTGGAAACATCATGCTTTGGGATCGTTATTCTGCAAAGACCTTGTGAAGACTCACAGAAAACGTTTTAACTCAAAAATAACAAAGTATCAGGATGAACTGTAGTTATTGACAAAATACTTACACCATAATTTGCATATAAAATCTTTAATGATCAGACAATTTCTGGACAACTTGAACTACCCATCACAAAAGCAAGCAATAGAATTCTACAAAACCCTTAGTACCCAATTATCTCTTGTACTTGGGCAATATGGCTGAAAACTATATCACTATATAAGTTATTCATATCGGTCGATTTCAATAGATTAGGTTTTTAAAAATGAATAAAAAACAAATAAATAAATTTGTTGTGTCGGCTAACATGTTAGCAGCCCTTGTTTATGCCCTTGACACGGCATTCAAACACAAACCAATCTCCACGGATGCTACGCATGGTGCGCGTTATTATTATAGATCCATGATGGTGCTGGTTTTTTTTTTGCATTTCCTAGAATGTTTTGCAGTTCATGCTCGGCCGTGATGGGTCGAGAAGCCTCTGCCAACGTCCCCCAGAATGCCGCGCACTTCTGAATCAGCATTACTGCCTGTGTTTTCTTCCTGTTTTTTTCTAACGGAGTGAAGTTAAACTATCAAACATTCTATCAACCCCATTTTCTATTGATATTGAACACGTGTCTATTGCGATATTTATCATTATCGTTTCATCGCCCAGCCCTGTTAGCAGGATTTAATGAAGCAATAAAGGCCTTCTTCCTCCAACACTGTATCAAGCAAGCATATCTCGAATTCAAAATCCTTTAGAACCTTCTTACCATAACCAATTAAAGAGGCTCATTAAAGAAGCTATACCAGATTTATTTTCTAATGAGTTCATAAAAATTACTACATACAAGTTGAATTAAAATCCGTAATTTAATTGAAAACTTGAGCTCATTGCTTCAGCTTGTGTATGAATTCAGGCCGTAAAAGGTGCTGAGTAGAGACTTATCGTGACACTCGTTCTCCTCCACTGACAGAACGAGGAGCTGCAGGCGTCTACGGCGCTGGTAAACACAGTAGCCAATACTCCTCTTGCAGTAACTGCATATACAGCTAAACAGCCCAAAAGGCGCAACAGTGAGGAAGAGAAAAGGGAACTAAAGCGAAAAAAATATCAAATAAGAAATCAAGCCTGGGTGAATATTTGTAGCGTTAGCTTACACGTATCCTCTGGAGAGACTTGCGGGGAGCGGGACCGCCTCGGACTATCTTTGCTCGGACTACCGCGAAACTAGCGGTAATCGTTCAGTTATATATTTTGTTAGCAGTGCGTTGCTTTTGTACCATTTCATCAATGATTGTTGTACAGCTTACAAGAAGTTACGCTCATGCTAACGTCTGCATACGTATCAGATCGCAAATAAAATTAGATGGCTTTGTGGGAGAAGAGCGTAGGGGAAATGAGAAGCCTGTGAGCGAGTTGGGGGTGGGTAGTAAACATTAGAGCTGCAACTAACAATTATTTTGTAATCGATAAATCTATCGATTATTTTTACGATTAATTGAGTAATCGCTTGGTTGTGAATTGTGTAGAAAAATTTTTTTTCATCACTAAAAGCTAAAGTGGCAACACTCGAGGACGTATTGATGGCGTAAACTTAAAGTAAATGTTTGTAACAGGCTCTTTGTGCTAATTCTGCTATCTGATTGGATGAGACAGACAGATATTCATGAAATTATAAAAACAAAGTGGGTTTTAATCAAAAATACTACATTTTCATGTCATTTTTGCTCTGAGTCCGTGTGAACCAGAAAACGATTAATCGATTACTAAAATAGTTGTCGACTATTTCAATAATCGATTAATCGATTAGTGGTTTCAGCCCTAGTAAACATTCAAACTGAAAAAACCTAGCAGAAAAGGGTATAGCGCCTTTAATGTTAATAAAATATCAGCAAAAATATTAGCAAAATTTTGGAAACAATTCTACCCTCCATAATATCCCAAGATCAGACAGTCTTCATCAAGGATCAAAATATTATTTCACACTGAAAACAAAAATAATGCACATTCTGAAATTATTCTATCGCTAGATGTATTACATCTATTTGAAATATGGCTAAGTCTCATCGCCCACATGTTCCACACATTCCAGATCGCCGGGTGATTGTCTGTGGTCAGTGACGTCCCCCTCTCTAATCTTTGTGGTGCAAAGATACAGTCTGAGTATCTTCCCTTTGAGTTTATCGTATGCTTGGGCGACCGTATCCGTCATGTCCACATGAACTTGTGAACTCTCAATGTGTGTGGAATAATCAGCGAGCCGTTGGTTCCTTTTTGAAACGCCGTCGGGGAAAAACAAGCTCTCCGCCAACGCTTTGATGTCCTCCATGGTGTTGCCCACATCGATGGACAAAGGTAGCGTTCCTCCGCCGTTTTTAGTCCGCACCTGCTTGTACCGTTCTTCGTCCTCATCGAAGCTCATCCAGCCGAGCTCAATGCGTTTGATTTGCCGTTTGGCGTTTGTGTTACCCATGCCATGCAGCCGTCGAGAGAAGGGGTGGGCTTTGTCTCGCAATCGCTTGTATCCAACTTTAGCGCGTGGAGCAAAGAGTGGCAGCATGGCACGCTTTCTGCAGAAGGAGACGGCGGCTTCTCCGTCTTCAACTTTCGGGATGTACTGCTCCAAGTCTTGATTGGTCATCGATGGAACCACATTTTTGTCAAGCTACAAATAGAAAAGAAGGAGAACAATGAAGCTGGTCCTCAAAAGCCAGAGTGTCAAACCGGTCCTCAAAAGGGCTGTATTTCGCGAATGAGTCCAGTCTTTTGCCGCAGTCACACGACATCAGAAACAAACAGGTTCTGACTTCTCACACAAAAGGAATGAGAGCAGCTCAGCTTGGAAACTTTGGGCTGAGACTTATATAATGTATATAACTTATATAAGGTTTGTATTTGTATACTTGTGGATTTTTCATACAAAAATATATCATTGTGTCCTGTGTTTGTGTGCACATGTGCGCATATAATACACTTACATTTTCTTTTTTCAGCCTCTGAACAACTCCCTCTTTGTTTCGTTCCCTCAGAAACTCATAAAGCCGCTCTCCTGTAGCTGTTTGGACACAGGGAAAACACTTAAAAGTGCGGATTCAGATTTATTCTCAAGCGATGCTCATTTGAATTTAGCGTAGACAAAAAACACACATTCGCAACAGCCTGAGAAAAGAATGTGAGAGAAAAGAATGTTGCGATAAATGTAGTATTTACCTGTGTTTGGGCAAGCTGAGATCGGCCCACGCTGCAATGTCCTCAGAAATTGTAAAGAAGTCGCTACAGGAAATGTGTGATAAAGAGCCATCTTGAAAACGCAACAATTACGTCCCTTCTAAAAGTCCTCAGTCTCAGTCTTCAATAGTTTTGAAAGTACTAGTACTCCTAGAACCGACCTTTAGACTGCTGCAATGGAATTATGAAAAAATCCCCCCAAAAATATTTAATTTTCCACCAGTTATATCTTAAAGTAAGTAGTGTATAATGTTTTGATGTGTACTCACTTTTACTAAGTGCTAAAACCAGTGAATGTAACTGAAATACAGCTAATGGTATGGTATAGTGGTATGGTAACTAGCACTTGCTCTGCTCTGGTGGAAAACCACGCTGACTCGGTTCAGAAGCAGTAAAAGATGCAGTAAATGATTTATCCAGACGCAATTTTTATAATACTGTGGGGAAATGTCCCTAAACCATAGACGTCGGAGCTACGGATGCAGGGGGTACGGCCCTTACGACTTTGTTCGCTCAGATGAGTCCCACAGAAAATAATAAAAAATCTATTTTAACTCAATGTGTGTCATCTGTCGTGCATTTAGATGTATCCTATTTATGTGATGGCTGCATACAACTCAGTGTGTCGTAGGTTAAATTTACAATAATAAAAATATTATATGTTGTTTTGATATGTTCGAGTGCCTTAGCTATTGTTAGCCTTCATCACAATGCGAGATCAACAAAACCAGTTATGACGCAGAGAATTATCATGTGCAACATACCATGGTCACACATACAAACCTCATGCAAGTTGGCATTAAAACCAGAGGGAGTCTAGTGCATGGGTGTCAAATTCAATTCCGGCTTGCAAATGAATTTTCTTGGCCCTCGGGATGATATTTGATTAGTATTCAAACCGGCCCACACAGAGCCATAAAATTATTAATTTAATGCCCAGGACATGCGTTTCTTCTTTGAAGGAAGTTTGTTTTTGTCCGTGAGCCTGTTGAAAAATGTTTTCACATGATTCATTTAATTAATTAATAAAATACAGTAAGGTCTTGGTTATTTGCAATAATTGTAATATGTTTTAATAAACATTGAACCAGTCCAGCCCTTGTCTTGTAGCAAATTTCTATTTTTGGCCCTTTGATGTATTTGACTTTGAAATACCTGGTCTAGAGAGATAGAGATATAGAGAGCGTATACAGAGAGCGAGACCAGACAAACCAACAAGGAAGCAGAAGACCATTTACACACCAAGACTTTCTCCAGAAAGACAAACAGAAAAAATATTTCATAACAATTTATAATCACAGGTCAGGTTATAGATGCTATACCCCAGGGGTACTCACACTTTTTCAGCATGCGAGCTACTTATAAAAGGATCAAGTCAAAATGATCTACCTACTACAAAAATGCAAATCATATATTTATTTCAAAAAATATTCTTTATATCTACAATGTATGTTTATGTACATGCAAAACCGCATGAGCCAATATAGCACAACACAACACAATTACCTATGTACATTTTTTGTCATTACCCGAGTTTACTCTGATGACTTGCACTGAACTGAATCGGCCAGGGATGCATAGTCCGGAAAATTGGTGGTAACTCGCTGACAAGTTTGTCGTGGTTTTGCTTTCCTGCACTGAGCGCGGTTGTTTGCGCATGTGCAGTCACCTAAGTGTCAGTAAAACATCACTGAGTAAAACACAGATGTCATTTGACTGTGGTGCCATGTCCATGTGCCATGCCTGTTTTTTTAAAATCCAAATATTTCCCCTCCTCAGTTTATACAATAATTTGCATCCACACATCTGCGTTATCAATCACATTCGTAACATTCCAAACATGTGCGTCTCTTACGTCCTGTCCTGCGTTGGGGAAAAACACAGAAGTGGGCGGAGTTCTGATGCAGACTCCGGTAACGGCACTTTTACAGTCATAGAAGACACTCAGAGTAAAGACATATGTTTACAAGCACTGACCCCGTCCTCAGCCCTGGTTTAGTCCTGGTTTAATCCTGGTTTAGTCCTGGTTTAGTCCTGGTTTAGTCCTGGTTTAGTCCTGGTTTGGTTGTTTTCGAGCGTGAGTCCCCGCGATCACTTTGCTGCTCTCTGATGTGGAGGATGTTTGCTGCTGCGAGCATCTCACAGCGAACAGTTTTTAAGGTAGTATGATCCATGCTTCAGTGATCAGAGGAATTTAGGAGGGTACTGTGGCGTGCGAGAACGCAAAACTCCGGTTATCTCTGACTACACACAAATGCATTAACGGAGTTTTCAAAAATCTCCACTTTGCCCGGAGTTTTTTGTATATATTCGTTTAGAATGTGTAATTTTTTATTTATTTAATGCGATCTACCAATACTACCTTTGCGATCGACTGGTAGATCGCGATCGACGTATTGAGCACCCCTGCTATACCCATTTTTTTTTTTATTAGTTCATAAAAATGCTAATTACTACATACGAGTTAGTAAGTTAGTAAGTAAGTTTTTTATTTATATACCGCCTTTTCACTGCAGATCTGAGTCTCAAAGCGGTTTACAATTGTTAATTTTTGGGCATTTGTCTCTCACTCCACACAGAGATGGGAGCGGGGCCAGTACAGGAGGCGCATGCCAGAACTATTGGACATATTTTTAGTGGTAGGGGAAACCGGAGTACCCGGAGGAAACCTACGCAGACACGGGGAGAACATGCAAACTCCACTCAGAAAGGCCCTGGTCCGGCCGGGATTTGAACCCAGGACCTTCTTGCTGAGAGGCTAGAGTGCTATCCACTCAGCCACCGTGCCGCCCGAGTTGTATTAAAATCCGTAATTTAATTGAAAACTTGAGCTCAGTGATTCAGCTTGTGTATGAATTCAGGCCGTAGAAAAACCCTGAGCGTGACGCTCTCTCCACTCACAGAACAGGGAGGCGCCGCCTGTTACGAGCAGGCGGCGTCCTCTAGCTTCTACAGCGCTGCTAAACACAGGAGCATGTTAGCAGAATTGGCTATAACTCCTCCTGCTGTAACAGCATACACAGCAAAACAGCCCAAACGACAAAACAGTGAGGAAGAGAAGAGGGAACTAAAGCGAAAAAATGATCAAAGAAAAAACCAAGCCCGGGTGAACATAGCTAGCTTACATCGTATCCTCTGGAGAAACTTGTCTATGGGAGAGACCTGCGGGACTGCCTCGGACTATCTATGCTCGGACCACATTCGGACGCAATCTTATATATATTTTGTGTGTGCGTTGCTTTTGTACCCTTTCATCAGTGAAATCAGTGTACAGCTTAAGTTGCGCTAATGCTAAAGTTAGCATCAGATCGCAGATTAAACTAGATGGTGTAGGGGAAATGAAAAGCCTATGAGCGAGTTGGGGGGCGGTGCTAAACATTCAAACCTTGCAGAAACGGGTGTAGCTCCTTTAAAATATTTAAAAAAATATATCATGTGGTTTCTTTCTTGGAAATATTAGCTTTAAAAGTACACATCATAGGAGCAGCCAACCAGCGCAAGATAATAGTAAAAATTGAAAATGGTCTGGGCGTCACATTTGGCTCACAGGTCTCGTGTTGGACACCTGTCTTCTTAAGCAACTGTTCTGGAACAGTGGTCCAGATGCCCTGAACTTGCTCTGGTCTTATATGGAAGATTTTACCATTGAGCGTGTATTGGAACATTTTACCCACATACTGGAACTTCTCCATTTAGAAATCCTACTCAAAATATAATCGACCCTTCTTAGGTTTAATTCCACCTCCAGACAGTGCCTATCAGTGTGGAGTTTGTTTTCCATAGGTCTGGGGAGGTTTCCTCCAGGTGCTCCAGTTTCCCCTAACACTAAAACATGTATAATAGTCCCGTTTCCACCGCAGGAGTTACTGGTAAAAGGAGGGGGGTGGGACAGCTACAGGAACCGTTCCCTCACTCGGTCCTCTCAGTGGCCGTGTCTACGCAGATCAGTAGGATCCCTCGGCGAAGTCATGAGTTTTGATTACTGCGTAATCAATATTTAGTTATTTTACGGTCGGAACCTCCCCGGTTGCTGTGGTCTTTGAGTTTTTTGTTACTTTTCACGGCATTGTTTCGGAGTGTGATGAATCCCCAGTGCATCGAGGTGCACATATGTCGGCGGCTGAGTGGATAGCACTCTCGCCTCTCAGCAAGAAGGTCCTGGGTTCGAATACCGGTCGGAACAGGGTCTTTCTGAGTGGTTTGCATGTTCTCCCCGTGCCTGCTTAGGTTTCCTCTGGGTAATCCGGTTTCCCCTATCACTAAAAACATGCTCACTAGGTTAAATCCTCCAGCTCCAGTAGTCCTGACCAAGCCGAGCATCAACATCTGGAGACGGGTTGCCGGGCGCTATTCTACGGTGACCACTGCTCCTCACGTAAGCCTTCGCGGCATCAGGATGGGTCAAATGCAGAGGATTGAATTGCCCTACGGGGATTAATAAAGTGCACCTTGACATATTAAGTTTCGCTGCGATGCCCTGTATAAATTTCTTCAGTGTTGTAGAAAGCCATTTCCTTCATATGTCCATTTATAGTACATCTTGATGTTGTTGTTTGCCGTTTCCAGTGGTGTCTGCTAGGCCAGGAGTTCCCAAAGTTTTTAGCCAGCGACCCCCATGATAAATGCGCTGCTCCCCCGCGACCCCCCACCTCAACATCCCATCCATGAAATGAGCACGTATTTCCTTGATTTGGAGTAAAAACGTTTCATAGAGACTCGCGCCACTACCGAGCTGCACTCGCCCAAAAAAGGAGGCTTGCGTATTTTTACTTGCATAGTGACGCAAGTGATGGGCTTGGTGGGCTCCCCCCTTAGCAGAGGCAGAGGGCATTTCTTGCGGCTCGCCCTCACTGTTCTCCGACCGCGGTAAAGACACCCGGCTTTTCGGAGTCAGCGGTAAAGAGATCCGCACATTAAAAGCGGGTGGCCGCTTTATGCTGGTAAAAAGTGGCATTGTGGTGGCATGATTGGAAGAGAGAGAATGGAAAAAAAAACTGTACTCAAATCATTGTGAAGCGCTTTGTGTGATCTTGATCTGTGATATACCCTATATAAATAAAAATACTTAACTAAAACACAGACATAACAATATATATTTTGATGTGATTGGTCAAATTGAGTGACATCAGTTTGACTTTTGCTACTGCATTCCAATGTGGTTTTACTGCAAATGGCAAATAAATGAATCCGGATCACCGGCCCTTCATTCTGCTTTACACATTGTGGACAAAGTAATGCTTGTATTTGGGGACAGACCTGTGCCTGAAGCAGTGGAGCTGGTGGAGTCAACTTGGAAGTGGAGGTCTCCTTCAGCCTGTGTCTCCATCTCTCTCCAGTCTCCACCGTCCATGTGTGAAGGCGGTCTCTCTGAGTGGAACTGCGTTTCCTCTTGACGAACTAATGACGACTCTTCCATCTTCACTTCCACAACGCGGCACTCAGGGAAAGGCCTGGGAAACATCTGCTGTTAGAACAGACGGAACGATCTCTGGGCCAAAAGGTACAACAGTGTGAAGTGGGTGAATGTGTCTTACACTGACAGCTGCACATCCTCCTGTTTGAGGATCAGTGGGGTCTCTGTGGTTACCTGGGTCAAACTGGGGCCAGGACTCAGGAGGGCCACCTGGACACCTGCAAGGGAGAGTACTCGGCAAGTCATGTTATGTACAATGTATAAGTGAATAGCACTGACCTACTTTATCTGTCATCATTAGGACTTCAGCCTCAACCCTGGATCTACAACCTCGGTAATTGTTCTACAGAGCCTCAGTAATGTTCTAAAACCTCAGTAATTGTTTTACAGCCTCAGTAATTGTTCTACAGAGCCTCAGTCATGATTCTACAGGGACCAGCTGGACCAGGACTGATAATTGTGTCCCGCTCCCTCCACATCCTGAGCCTCCTTCTTCCTCCTGTCCTCACCGTGAGCCTCCTCTTGTCTCCTCTTCTCTTTGCAGCGACACAGCTCCTCCTCATATTCCAATATAGTTCTTTCAAACAGCTCAAATATATCTTCCGCAGCCGCAGCCAGCCGCGCCGTCACCAAGGCTCTCAGCGTCTGTCCAGGACTCATTTCAACACAAGGAAAAGAATAACATAGAGAGAACCCACATTGAAGAATGTTTTAGCACTAGCTCGAAGATAAGTCCACGACTGTTTGTAGCACGGAGCTAATGGCGTCACGTCTAATGGACGTCACGGAACCGCAGGAGAAAACAGTCAATGGGAAAAACCGAAGGAAGTAAATATAAAAATACAAATTTATCAAAAAAAACTATATCTTTGCATAGCACCCACATATTACTCAGTTAATTATATTATTATTAATAATAATTGTGGCTCTGAAAGCTTCAAAGTGGGCGGAGCTTCCTTCTTTGTTTTCCATATCAATATTCAATATCCACGGAGCCCCTGAAGGGGCATAGTAGAGTCAAACAAAAAAAGTAGAGTTAAAAGAAAAAAAAAGTAGAGTAAAGAATCACACACAAAAATTATTTAAAAAATATACCTGTTGTTTCGGTATGAATTCTTGCACCTCCCCCGGGCCAGATTCCTAGGATTCACCGCCCTCCCAACCTGGGAGCCTCTTTAGTCCTGGATCTACAGTCTCAGTTCAGGATCTACAGTCTCAGTCCTGGAACTACAACCTAAGTCCTAGATCTACAGCCTGAGACCTGGATCTACAGCCTGAGTCCTGAATCTACAGCCTGAGACCTGGATCTACAGCCTGAGTCCTGGATCTACAGCCTGAGACCTGGATCTACAGCCTGAGTCCTGGATCTACAGCCTGAGTCCTGGATCTACAGCCTGAGTCCTGGATCTACAGCCTGAGTCCTGGATCTACAGCCTGAGTCCTGGATCTACAGCCTGAGTCCTGGATCTACAGCCTGAGTCCTGGATCTACAGCCTGAGTCCTGGATCTACAGCCTGAGTCCTGGATCTACAGCCTGAGTCCTGGAATTACAGCCTGGGTCCTGGTTCTACAGCTGTCCATCTGTGGGAGCAGATCCCTCTCTCAATATGGTCCACTCCCTATGGACCAAACTCCTATGTTTGCTTTTATTGCATTTCCTGTGTTCCAACTGTTAAATTCTCTGATCTGTTTTTGAGGAATCCACATCTTTGTTAAGATTTAAAGTGATACACAATTTTTTTTAATTTAAATAGTTTATTGTCAATCTTCGTTCCCTCCCTCACCTATGGTCATAAGCTTTGGGTAATGACCGAAAGAACGAGATTGCGGATACAAGCGGTCGAAATGAGCTTCCTCCGCAGAGTGGCTGGGCGCTCCCTTAGAGATAGGGTGAGGAGCTCAGTCACACGGGAGGAGCTCGGAGAAGAGCCGCTGCTTCTCCACATCGAGGTGAACCAGTTGAGGTGGCTCGGGCATCTGTTCAAGATGCCTCCTGGACGCCTCCCTGGGGCGGTGTCTCGGGCACGTCCCACCGGGAGGGGGCCCCGGGGAAGACCTAGGACACGCTGGAGGGACTATGTCTCTCAGCTGGCCTGGGAACGCCTTGAGGTCCCCCCGGACGAGCTGGAGGAAGTGTGTGTGGATAGGGAAGTCTGGGCGTCTCTGCTTAGACTGCTGCCCCCGCGAGCCGGCAACGGATGAAGTGGAAGAAAATGGAATGGAATGGAATGAATGGAATAGTTTATTGCGAACTGAAGGACCTCTTCCCTGTGTGAGTCCTCATGTGGACCACCAGGTTTGTATGTGTGGAAAACCTTTTCATACAAACTGAACACCCATAAGGTCGTTCTCCTGTGTGAGTCCTCATGTGGATCACCAGGCTCTGATTTGTGCAAACCCTCTTTAGACAAACTGGACATCCAAAAGGCTTCTCTCCCGTGTGTGTCCTCATGTGTCTTTTTAAATTCTGTCTCCTCTTGAATGTCTTCCGGCACTCGTTACACTGGTGTTTCTCATCCTCTGTGTTGTCCACTCCTGTGTGCATTTGCATGTGATTTCTGAAGGTAGCGCTGTAGACAAATGCTTTATCACAGACTGGACAGTAGTGAGGTCTTTGTAAGTTCTCTGTATAGATGGCAGACTGGTGTGTGTTGGCCTCGTCTCCTCGGCCTGGTCCGGACGCGTCCCCAGGGTTTTCCGCAGAGTGTGGGTACAGTAATGGAGCTCTCCAATCATCATTGTTGTCAGTGTGTCTCTCGGTCGGTGAATGCATCTGCCGCTCCTCTCCCTGGGTTTCCTCTCTGTACTCAGTTTGTTTTTGGAGCAGTGAAGGCTCTTTATTCTTCAGATTTACAACCTGGTAATCTGGGGCGGGCCTGCAAATAAAAACTATTAGAACAGTGTTGCTATTGTTCAATTCAAATGTTTTCTTCCTAGATAAACATTTCAGAATATCACAATTTGTCTCTGGTGGCAACAAAAATGATGTATGGTTCTCCCTAGGTTAGTGCAGGGGTTATGTGTTGACAGCTGAAGTAGCAGCTGTTTGTTTTATGGCTGTAAATCTCCTCACACACACTTTAGACACTTTTCTAACCACCTGAACTCACGACTGCAGAAATATCAAACCTGTTGGTTGAAGGTCTGAGCGCTGCTGCAGCTGTCAAAAGCCATGCATACACAGCAAAATACAGCTCTAAAGGACACTGTGCTGATGGGCAGTAATATTGGTAATATTGAATAACTTGTATTTTGAACAATTGTATATTTTTCTTGTTTTGTAAATGTCATAACTCCTCCAGTCTATGGTAGTTTGGTGAAATGTTTTGTCAGATTCCCATTTCTTACATTCCACTACACATGCACAGTCCAAGCATGTCTGTGTGTATGTTACGTGTGTGTAAATGAGTCGTACTCATGTTGCTCCTCTTCCTTCTGTTTGATGCTCTGTTCCTCTAGCTCTTCTTTAATCTGTGGAGTCTCTGTGTTCAGACCAGGACTCATCAAACCAAGATCAGAATTGAGGGAGGCCACCTGAACTCCTGCACAAGAGAAAAAAGTTACATTGTTTTGTCAGACATAGAGTGTGTATTAAGAATGACTGACCGAATGTGACATCATCATAGTCTGAGCCTTAATGTGGAAGAAGCTAATTTAAACATAAGATAGCTGGAGCAATGTCTTTATATGGGCATTTCTTCCTCTGCAATGCCTTCACACCATCACAAGGTTAGTATTGAGCATTAGCATACAGTCTGTAGTGAGAACCAGGGCCGAGCAGACTAAATATATATATGCAGTACTGATTAGCCTTTTCAGGAGTCGAGCTGGTGGGACAGACCTGTCTCCCAACAGTGTATGGACCAAGTCTGCACTACATAGCTGCTGAGATCATGGAAAATACACAGAAAAGCACCAAGACCCATTTAATGAACGCTTTCTTAACCTTGGGCCTCCACCTGTCTCCTCTCCCTCCTCCTCCTCCCATCTCCTCTCCTCCCTCCTCTTCACACCCTGGGCCTCCAGTCTCCTCTCCTTCCCCTGCCTCCTCTTCTCCCTCCTCTCCTCCCAGTGACCCTCCTCCTGTCTCCTCTCCTCCCCTCACGCTTAGCTACCTCCAATTTCCTTTCCATACCCTGTGCCGCCTCCTGTCTCTTCTCTCTCCTCTACTCCCCCTGAGCCTCCTACTCTCTCCTTTCCTCACCGTCTGTCTCCTGTCTCCTCTTCTCTTTGCAGCGACACAGCTCCTCCTCATATTCCAATATCGTTCTTTCAAACAGCTCAAAAATATCTTCCGCAGCCGCAGCCAGCCGCGCCGTCACGAAAGCTCTCAGCGTCTGTCTAGGACTCATTTTACCTCGTGCTATTATGACAGTGTCGATGTTTCGAAGCGTATGTCAAGTAATCTATAGGCGTTTTGTTGAAGCGCGTTTCGATCAGATACATGGATCTCGATTACAGACTTCAATATTTGTGTGTCGTTGCGCAAGTTGATGACGTATGATAGGACGTTCGAAGCCTAGCGAAACAGCCAAACCACGTGATTGTTTAAAGATCTTATTTAAAGGTTTATTATTATGATTATTGTTATTAAAATATTATCAATATTATTATTACTATCAGTTAGTTAAACAAAAAAACAATTCAAGAAAGGCCCATAAACAAACAAAAAATAGGATTAAAAAAACTAAAAAGTTGAAGCATAAGATTGTTTTGGCTTTGTAATAAATATTCTGATAGTACTTTGTTCTCCATGATCCAGTAGGTGGCGATCAGCGATGAGAGAGAGAGAGAGCGAGAGCGAGAGCGTGAGAGAGCGAGAGCAAGAGAGCGGCGCATGCGCAGCACGCGCAGCACGGCGTTGTTCTGGTGAATGGGGATTCAGTTAGCTTAGCTCGGAGCTCGTACTATAACAGTTTATCTCTATTGTTAGAATCTTCTCATTGTGGTAAAATGAGTCCTGGACAGACGCTGAGAGCTTTCGTGACGGCGCGGCTGGCTGCGGCTGCGGAAGACATTTTTGAGCTGTTTGAAAGAACGATATTGGAATATGAGGAGGAGCTGTGTCGATGCAAAAAGAAGAGGAGACAAGAGGAGGCTCAGGATGAGGAGAGGAGACAGGAGGAGGCTCACGGTGAGGAGCAACCGTCTCTGTCCGCATTTGGAGCCTTGGTTTCGGATACTGATGCTAGCCCCATTTCCATCGAGCTAGCGGAAAGCAGATGCATAATACCACTCGTAGTTTATCCCAACAGCATGCTGTGTTCATCTTTGTAGTAAACATGTTATCTTGTGTGTAAGAAAGAGCCCTGTGAGTCACTGTTTGAGGCTTTAGGCTGAGAGCCTATTGGTTCCCCGCCATGGGGCCTCTATTTTTCACTTTTCAGTCTAAAAAGAGAGGCCAAAATTACATGTGAAAATAGTGATAGCCCTGTCTTCAAAGAGATAAAAGAGGGATAGACCAGAGGGACTCTGTGTATGCCTAGAGACCACATGGGCGGAGATCCCCTGAGATCTGTTTAAAAAAACAAAGAAGTAGGGTTTGGGTTTGGAGGGGTATAAAGTGTTGCATGATAATAATAATAATGCATTGGTTTTATATAGCGCTTTTCTGGACACTCAAAGACGCTTCACATGTCATTATTCTTTCTCTCCATACATGGTGGGGATGAACTACTAGCGTAGCCACAGCTGCCCTGGGGCACACTGACAGAAGCGAGGCAACCAGTATGCGCCATCGGCCCCTCCGACCACCACCAACCATTCACACACACACCAGACTCATTCTAGGCAATGGGGGTGAAGTGTCTTGCCTAAGGACACAACAGCAGTTTGGCACTTTACAGCCGCAGCCGCCCCACTGTGGCTGGTGTTCCCAGAGATTAAGTGTCTTGCCAAGGACACAACGACAGCAGACAGTGGGAGTCGATGGTGAAGGTCGGGCTCGAACCCACAACCCTCTGCTCTACCAACTGAGCTACTGTCGCCCTACTGTTAGGTTGTCCGTACATTTCAGTTTGTTGACCTGTATTTGTCCATTGTGTGCAGATGTTCAGACAGCTTCCCAGACATTTGGTCCCGATTTCACCCATGAAACTGCAGAGACTCCACAGGTGAAAGAAGAACCGGAGGAAGAGAGGCTCAAGGAGGAGGAAGAGGAGCAGCAAGAGTATGACTTATTACACACACACGCACAGATGGGGGCTGGGTGTGCGGAGTGAATGTTGACGACCTCCAAACGACTCCCACATGTTTTCCATTATTCAGCCTGAGGTGGTTGGCACAGTGGGGAATCTGGGCTTGTAGTGGTAAATTTGCGCGTCCCACATTTCCATAACTCCCTAAAAGCCTACTTTGCACTTTTATAACTGCTGCTGTTTCTGGACTAAAGGCTGCAGTATACTTCTCTAGGGTGTAACCATGGAGACCCCTGTAGGTACAACGGAGACCTTGGGGAGTCTGTCCTATTCCTTCGTGGTGTTGAATAACACAATGCAAATTCCCTGCTGATATCCTTTGTCTCCTAAACGCAAAGCTCATTCTCGCCTCAGAAGGAAAAACACACCACAAAAACCTAATTTCCACTCTCCCTACTCTACTCTACTCTCCGCTGATTGGGAGTGTTTCTGCTGGTCCTGTTTAACCAGTACCAGGTCCTGAAATTACCCACTGTGGGACGAATACAGGACCTCATGGCCCTGGTTCTATCCAGGCCGAGCTGGAACTAAAGTGTTCTAACTGACTGTGATTAGCCAGTGTGCTGCTGGAAGCCATGGTGTTAGAACAAATGAAAAATGCATTGTGTTTCTGTGGTTAGAGAAACCGTCTGGAATGAGTTGGCTGCAGATTCAAAAGCACTTCAAGACTTTGCTTGATAAGAATGTTATTCAAACATCTATTGTGAATGCTGAAAGCAGACTAATATCATTATTATGGAGTAAATGTCTTATTTTGATTTGTGTGTTCAAGTTTAACATTTATACCAAAGGATAAGCATCTAACTTCTGCCTATTCCTTTTTCAGGCCATATTTTTTTTCCTGAAATGAAAGAATTGTCTGAAATAAATAACCAAGCTAAAACTAAACTAAACTGATGGTAACCAAGGTATTTTCCTGGATACTGGTTTGTTGTGGGTTGGGTAGGGCCAAGTTGTGGAAATGAGAATCAGAATGGTGTTTTTTGGCACCGGTAGCGCGCTGTAGAGTTACTTCTTGTAAGTAACAAGAAGTCACATATTTGCTTTGGCTTAGAGTGCAACAAACAAGTTATAAGTAAACATAGATATAAGGCATGCATACAAAATCTTCATAATATATACAAGATATATACACTACTATATACAAGCGCACACTAAAGGGCCGTTCCCATCGGCTCGCTTTAGCAGGTACCTGGTACCTTTTTAGTAATGGCTTGGCCCTGGTTCTAGCCGGGCCGAGTCAATACCAAAACAATCTGATGTTGTCGAACATCAATTGTGATTGTTGCAATGAAATAAATGAAGGATGCACTCTGAAAACTGTGTTCTTTTACATTTGAAACAACGCGTTTCAACAAAAGTCGTTTGGGCAGTGACAAATGTGATTGGTCAGAGGCGCTGTCAGGGCTGGACTGGCCATCGGGCGTACCGGGCAATGCCCGAAGGGCCGATGCCCATATTTGGCCCGGTCTGTCTGCCTCATACAAAACACATGTTTATGAGAAGTGTAAATCCATTGAGAAATGTTTGAGGGGAGCGCGCGTGTCCGCGGGGCACCTGCTGTATGTACTCGAACGGGATTCCACCACCTCAGCGGCCGCAGTGTTCCGGCATCCAGCGGCTCTGAGCTGGACGCGGGAACCGCTCACCGGGAACCGCTCACAACACAACACGGTGAGCGCGTAGCCGCAACGTGACCATGTACCCAAGATCATAAACGCGCACAGGACCATGCATGTCTTTTCGTAATTTGTGCACCCAATAAATACACCGCTGCAGAAAACAGTCCGCGTCTCCCCTCTCCTCTAAATTAAAGCTCGGGTACCTACATTTTCCATTGCATTAAAAGTTCATGTTTGAGCCCAAAAGTAAAATGTTGTGAACAGATTAAACAGATTTAGAGCCAGCTAATGGCTGACAATATGCATTTCAGACATTTTTGACCAATTCTCATCCCTGTAACAAACAATAGTGTTGTCTGTGTCCACCTCCCTCACTCTGAGACATGTTTATTACTCTGTTTAATGTAGACTATTGTACTTTATTTTATTGTTGAAACTGCAGACATCCTGATCCTCTACAGTATTTGCTTCCACATACTGTATAAACCAGGGGTCGGCAACCTTTAGAGCCCCTAAAGTGGCTCCTGGAGCCATTTAAAAAATGTCTGAAAATGGAGTGTGAGGGCTATATTTTATTTCTAGTTTGAATGTGGTTTCTGTAGGAGGAAAAACATTCTTGACGTTTTTCAATGCTGCAAAAACTTGTATAAGTAATATTCAATTTTAGCATTTCTGTCAACGTAGTGCGTCATATCCTGTGACGCGGCCCGTGCCAGGCGGCCGCTGCTGTAAACAAACCGGCGTGTGTGCATTATAGACTGTGTGTGCGCATGGATCCCAAAGATAAAGAGAGAGAGTCGATAAGACTGGACTAAGAATGAATATGAACATTTGCTTTCAGTCAATGAGGAAGGACTGCTTCATGTTTGCGATGTAATGAAAAGTTTTGTTGCAACAGGAGGAACAATGAAGCTTTAAACACCGTTCACTGAAAGATTAATTCATCATAAAGTCAGAGCACCTATTTTCAGACTTCAAATATTTTCGCAAAGACGGTGAAAGAAAAGGCCATTAAGGACATTCAGCTCCAGCAAACTTCAGCCTGTGATGGATATGAACAGACAGTGATGCAGGTGAACTCGGAGCCAAAAAGCAGATTTATTTACTGTATTTGTACAATTTCATGAAGGCAAAAAAAATGGAAGTTAAACTTAAAGCAGAGTTGTCACGTAGTGCGTCATTCTCTCCAGGACACGCTGCAATGAAAATACACATTTGATAATCCTGAATGGTTTTTAAGTGTTTGTAGCCTTTACTTTGTCATTTAGATATTAGGCTAATATAGCTAATGTAGCTAAGGTAGCTAATGTAGCTAATGTAGCTAATACAGCTTCAGCCCCTGTTACCTTCATATAAGCCTTATACAACGCTTTTTTTTTGTGTGTGGCTCCAGACAGATGTTGTTTTTAGTTTTTTGTCAAATATGGCACCTTGAACCTTTTGAGTTGCCTGGGCCGCTAAAAAGGAAAAAATGCCCGGGCCCTTTTTTTGTCCCAGTCCAGCCCTGGGCGCTGTATCGGGGCCCCCCAGGACTCTGTTGCCTGGGGCCCCGGGGTACCCTTGGAACGCCACTGTCAACACCACACAGACACACGTTCGGCGTATGACCAGATACTTTTGCATTTGATTGAAGACAAACACTCAACATTCCTCTCAAACTCAACATTTGGAGCGGGGACTAGGCAGAGTGAGGAATCTCTCCTGGTGTTAGTTGGTGTTTGCCGATGTCGGTAAATTGTATCCATTTTGTCCAACCATCTTCAAGCTTTTCTGCCCACTTTTGCTGTTGTGATCTTTATTTTCACGGTAGTCACTTTTAAGCTTCTTAGTTTTTCTCCGTTCTGTGATGATGTCCGTGGACATCCATTCTCCTCCATCCTTAGTGCTACTTATGCAAACACGGAGTGGTATCATCAAACTCCCGCTGCATATGTTCTCTCATCACACAAGCGACCAAGGAATTGTTTTCTGGACGGACGTCTTTATAGTTTTCAGCCCAGAAACTTCAGGCAACTTGTTGTTTATATTTTTTGCAACAGCTGAAGAGTGATTGACTGCGCCTCTGACCAATCACATTTGACGTTCGCTGACGTCACATTGATTGGTATCGACTATCGACTTTGCCTGGCTAGAACCAGGGCCAAAGTACAGGGTAGTGGCTAAGGCGAGCCGGTGGAAACACGCGCAAACCCCAGGTAGAGTTGAGTCGAGTGAAGCCTGTGGAAACGTACACAGTACACAACAGACATTCACTGGGACTTAAGTGATCATTATGATGCATAACCATGACACCCAAAGACAGGCTGTGTACAGGCTGGTGGTAAACTCCTGCTGTAGAGGAGGTCTCCTGAAGCACAGGGTCTAGCTGTGGCCTTAAATTAGGACTTGTATATAGTTATTTAAACTGTATTTATTCAACGATTGCTAATTGTGTTGTTCTTTCCAGCAATGACCCGGAGTACAGTGTCGCTCATGTGAAGACCGAGACACGGATCTCCTCTGAGACCACGAGACAGACCGAGGCCTTTACTCACACAGACGACGAGGAAGACTGGAGGGAGATGGACACTGAGGCAGATGTAGACCACTACAACCAAGCCCAGAGAGCCACAAGTTCAGGTCTGTGCCCCAAATACAAGTCTGCAGTAGAGATCGGGGGAGATGTGGGGTCCTCCTCAGACACCGATGACGACGACGACGACAACGATTCTGAAATGACGTATCCGGAGATGACCGAAAACCCAGAAGACCTGACCGGAACTGCCCAAGGAGATGACGTCCGGCAGTTTCAAAGCAGATTTCTGGCAAAGGAGAAAGCTCACCACTGCCCGAGCTGTGATAAAACGTTCGTTTACATTGCAGCACTGATAAAACACATGAAGACGCACAAAAATGGAGACGAGGACGCTGGAAAGAAGCACCGGTGCGACATGTGCGACAAGAGATTCAGCAGACGGCAGCAGTTACAGCGGCACAGCAGGACTCACACCGGAGAGAAGCCGTACGAGTGCCCAGTTTGTCTGAAGAGAGTGTGCACGAGTCAGAGCCTGGTCATCCACATGAGGACGCACACGGGAGAGAAACCTTTCAGTTGTTTGGTATGCGGCAAACGGTTCATTGACAACTCCACACTCCTCACACACACCACCATCCACACGGGAGAAAGGCCCTACTCCTGTCAGCTCTGCCAGAAGGGCTTCGTCAAACCCTCTCGGCTGGAGGCTCACATGAGGAAAAACCACTAATCACTAAACACTAGGACTATGAGAATTCTGAAACATTTAGAACTCTTTTCAATGGTTCCCTTTCAAATTCTGAAACAATCCTAAAACATAGTTTTCCGTCTGTAATTCAAAAGGTTTTTACCAATATTCACTTTTACTAAGTGCTAAAACTGGTGATTATAACTGAAATACACTAAAAACAGTTTGATCAAAGGATATCTCCTGACAGTAAACAATGTGTTTCTATGGTAACCAGCACTGGCTCAAAACCAGGACCAGTCCAGGAAAGTGGAGAAAATTGCTATAGAATGTTGGCTGCCAATCGACTGAAAATGGCTATATTTGAATTTAACTTGCAAATGAATGGTGTCGTCAAAATGACTGCTGAGGGAGTTAAAGGTAGAATCCTTCACATTTCAAAAAGATAATTTCAGGGTAATAATGACTACATTCAGATGCAGAAAAAGTAAGTACAGAAAAGTCCTTAAATGTACATGAGCAATTACACTTCCAAAACTAAAAGCCATCAAATTGAGTTCTGGTGTTAAACACACTCTCTTATCAGCCGAGCAAGTAGATGTGGAGCAACAATTTAACATTTTTCAGACGCTGAGCAATGTCTGTTTTAGGCCATTTGAAGGAAACGCACCTTTTACATGTAGGGCCTAACGGTTGAGCGGCCATGTCTTAAACACACGTATGGTCACCTTTTGTCACGTTTAAAACTTAAGCCTCTACTTTGTTTTTTTAATGCCTTTAACTGTACAAATAATAAAATAACATAATAAAATGGGGCGACAGTAGCTCAGTTGGTAGAGCATTGGCCTTTGAGCCTGAAGGTCGTGGGTTCGAGCCCACCGTAAGACCTACTTCATGACTCCCACTGATGACTGCTGTCGTTGTGTCCTTGGGAAAGACACTTAACCCCACTTTGCCTGAAGCTCCCACTGAAAGATCTCAGCTCCTGTGGACTCACCACCTGCAGGAGGATCAGTGAGGGGCTGGTTCTATGTGTACTGGGTGGCATCTCTGGCCACCCCCCCAACCCAGAAATGGATTAAGGGGAAGAAAATGGATGGATGGACATAATAAAATGGTTAACAAAGAGTTCATATTAAGTACTTAAGTACTTACTAAACAATAAAAGTTACTTGAAGGCCCCCTCCTGCTGACCCTTTTCTCTAGTAACAAAGGGACAGTTAAACTCTGCTGCAGAACCATCACTAAACACAGGGGAACCCCCCAAGGCTCTGTAATAGGCCCTCTCCAATAATTCACTTTATTTGTATATACTGACTGTTGTTGCTGATTGTGCCACAAAATCTGGGTTGTTGGCCCCTGGATAAGTCTGGTGAACTAAAGTGGCCCTCTCTCTAAGAAGTGAACAACTCATGTGTGTTTTCTGAGAGTGTTGTGTTTGTTTCAATGTCATATGGTCATTATAACTTTGATGTTGTTTTCTATCTGATTAATATGTGTTCTGATTGAAATAAATAAATACACATTTGTATTGGCTAACAGATGATTAGGAAGGAAAAGGTTCAGTGAGCAAAGGGGAGTGAAGAAAACAAGTTTGTCTTATGTGAGAAATGACTTCATTCCCCGTGAATGAAGGCATTTGTTTGGTCAATCCTTATATGGCTCATATCTGGATTTACCAAGACAATATCACAATATATGCACCAGCATTACAGAGAGCATTAAACCATGGATTTTAAGCCCAAAATGGTGAGTGTGACAAATGATTACTGAGCAAGATGAGTTTACATTTACATATAAGTCAATAGGGGCCAGCGTGAGTTGGAGCAAAAATGTCGTTTCATTGGGGGTTAGCATTGTTCACCTGTATACAGTCCACATTGGCACGTTAGCTCCACTTTGTCAAACACAGATGGTGATTTGCACTGCATTAGACTTGAGAGTGACGCTTTTGCAGAACAGATGGATCTTGTGTCCTTTTTCTGGGTTGTTTTTTTTGTCATAAATCATAAATTACTATTATATACATGTATATAATCGTGCATGCTGAGTGAGGTTGGTCTCTGCTTTCTTTTTAACTTTTCTGTTAGAAGGCAAAAATACATGCATGTGAATATAGTCTTAGAAACTAACTTATGGAGCCAGGAACAAGACACAGAATATATTACAGAATTCCAGTTTTGTGGTTAGAAAGTTAGGTACCTCAGTTTAAACGCTAGGGGGCTCTGAGTAACGCATGCGCAAAATAGTTGTTGCACGCTCCCCTCATGCAGTGTTAGCTAGGACAGATAGAAAACAGTTTGTTGAAGCGGTTTCTCTCTGTATTTCGAGAGAGGGCAAGCACGATTTGCGACTCACGGCAACTTCCGGTGACTCGCGTGACTCAGGCGCTCTGAGTCGCGGCTCACGCTCAGCATTCAGGGGTCGTGGCTCACGGTTATCAATTTAACTTTTTAGGGGTATCTGTGGATTATCAATGACACATTGTGGATCTGGAGGCATATATTTACAAGTAACCAGTATGTTACACACTCTTCATCATCTGGTATGTGTTTATATAGCTCTCCATGTTCGTTAACCACTGACTCAGGAGCTGTGAGTCGCGACTCAGCAGTCAGAAGTCGAGGCTCACAGTTAAAAATACCACAAATCTTTGCCTTTTAGGGGTTTCTGGGAATTTCTATTGAGACAATATGGATCTGGAGGCATAGTTTACATGTAATCAGTATGTTACACACTCTTCATCAGCTGGTATTTGTTTGTATAGATCTCTATGAACTGTTCACCACTGACTCACAGCTCCTGAGTCGCGGCTCAGGAGCTGTGAGTCGCGGCTTAGCAGTCAGAAGTCATAGCTCACGGTTAAAAATACCACAAATCTGTGCTTTTTAGGGGTATCTGGGAATTATTAGGGGCAACAGTGACTCAATTGGCAGAGCTTTGGTCTTTGGACCTAATGATCGTGGGGTCGTGCCCCCACAACCACCTGCTCCCACTGAAGCAAGACGCCCCCATCGTGGTATCTTATATACAGTCATGGGACCTCATGAATGAGTATGAGCACAAGTATGTGGAAACGGCACAAGTATGTGGAAACGGCACAATACTAATATTGGTATTGGTGCATCCTTAGTAAAATAAACAGACTCAGTATTAGCAGCGCAGGTTTACAGTCATAGTGCAAGTGGTTGATTAAGTGATACAGGCCTAAATACAGATTATTACATGTATTTGCAGGGCTTATTTCATATTCTAATGAAAAAGACTTTTTAGGAGTATTTATGAATTATTAATGTATCTGGATGAACATTTTCCATGTCCTCAGTGCCTCATACATACTTTACCAGCTGATATGTGTTTGTATTACTCTATTGTTAACAAGTGACTTACGAGACATAAGTCAGGACTCGTCTGCTGACACCAGGGGGCGCTGTCTAATCTCATGTTGAATCATGCACGACGTTGGACATCTCGCTTGCAATTTAAATTTCACCAAAATATTGAGGTAGGTTATTTTGTTTCGTTTTTTGGAATCTGTCTTTTAATCATTTTAACATTTTAAAGGGCATGACATTTAAACAGGAAAAAAAAAAAAAACTTGTGTAAAATTCCTTGGTTGTAATTCTGTGGCTTCAAAGAATACACAAAACTTGCAGATACAGAGCAGAGTGTATACTCCATAGGACAAAAGATGAGGCAAGGTGTATAACACAGGTTTGGTCACATAAGAAATAAATAACTAAAAAACCACTGAGACATTATTATTTGTTATTTATTAATAATGCTAAAGGCATTTGAAAAAATACATACAATACACAAACAAACACACAATTATAAAAGCCACTTGTACCAATTTGTCCTTATAGTAATATAATGTGGATGACAAAGTGAGCCAAGAACCCAGAGTAGAGATTTCTTTGTCTTTGAACAAACACAAGCATCAGGGCATTTCATTTCAGGGCATTTTAATTCTAAAAAAAATGATTATTGTTAACTTTAGAGGATAGTGTGCTGAGGTGGACTTACTATTGTAAATAGAGAATTAAAGAGAAAGACCCTAATGACATAATTTTATATGATCATGTTACCGAACCCAGATGTTCAAAATACAGAATTCAAGTAACTTCTGTTGTGGTGAAATGTTTGAAGATGCTTATTTGAGCCTTTGGTGGCCCAGTGGCTGTATGACTGCTGCATGGCACCTGTACTTTCCCTCATAACTGCCGTGATCATCCTGAATCAAATGTTTTAGGGTTTCCAAAAAGTGTAGCTCCCTTATACCCTTTAAACATCTGATCCTGGAGCATTATACAGGATACAAATGCAGTGGAAATACAGGTGTCATGCTGCAGCCATCAAGACATGTTTTTCTCCTTAATGCCTCTTTTCTCTCATTTCTTTTCTATGCAAAAATTAAGTGTAGTTAACCGGTTATTCTTGAATTACAGAACTACTGAGACGACACATCAAGATGAGCCACACACAGAAGAGAAGGAAAACAAACTTTATAAAAAAATGCACAACGTAATTCACTTTAATAGACCAATTATAAAGAATAAAGATTTGGTTTAGGTTTGATACATTTCAGTTTTGCACTTGGCTGTAGCTAATACATTTGCACACATTGCACTATAACATGAACATTTGTTTCCACATGAGCTGTTACTTTGTCTCCCAATACAGGAACATATATACAGCTCAGTCATGAATAGCAGCAGAGTGGTGCCGCACATCACTGGAAGGACATGTTGAGCTACGTGCTAATGTATAGAATAAGCCCACACCTGTTCAAAAAGGTGTTGCTGCGGGTTCGAAGTAGTCATTCTGCGGCCTGCAGGACAGAGGCGTGTCGTGAAGTAGGCGTGTAAACTATGCCTCCAGATCCATATAGTCTCATTAGAAATTCCCAGATACCCCTAAAAAGCAAAAATATGCTGTATTTTAACTGTGAGCCACGACTCACAGCTCCTGAGCCGCAACTCACAGCTCCTGAGCCGCGACTCACAGCTCCTGAGCCGCGACTCACAGCTCCTGAGCCGCGACTCACAGCTCCTGAGCCGCGACTCACAGCTCCTGAGCCGCGACTCACAGCTCCTGAGCCGCGACTCACAGCTCCTGAGCCGCGACTCACAGCTCCTGAGTCAGTGGTTAACGAACATGGAGAGCTATATAAACACATACCAGATGATGAAGAGTGTGTAACATACTGGTTACTTGTAAATATATGCCTCCAGATCCACAATGTGTCATTGATAATCAACAGATACCCCTAAAAAGCTAAATTGATAACCGTGAGCCACAACTTCTGGCTGCTGAGTCGCGGCTCACAGCGCCTGAGTCACGCGAGTCACCGGAAGTTGCCGTGAGTCGCAAATAGTGCTTGCCCTTTCTGTGTATTTCTTCTCCTTGTATTAAAATGAGTCCTGAGTCCACCACGTTAAGAGCCTTGGTGACGGCGCGGCTGGCTGCGGCTGCGGAAGACATATTTGAGCTGTTTGAAAGAACGATATTGGAATATGAGGAGGAGCTGTGTCGCTGCAAAGAGAAGAGGAGACAAGAGGAGGCTCACGGTGAGGAGAGAAGGCAGGGGAAGGCTCATCTGTTGCGAAACTGGTGCAGATAAAGGCCATGGACTGTAAATATTAGTATTAACATAGTACTAGTGCGCGTTGGTTCTGTTTTGGCGGCCATCTTGTGTTTACAGAAGCCCCGTTTTCACCAACCATATGGGGCGTACTCTATTATACCCATGGACCTATCTATAGTATCTTTTACTGTAGCCTTGTAACCATGGATCTATAATAATAAGGGCTTGTAACCTATCCACAACAAAGGACCAATCACTGTCAGTTAGAAGTTTGAACACTTTAGCACCAGTTAAGCCTGGATAGAACCAGGGCCAAGAGGGACTAAAGAAGGATCTGGTACTGGTTAAACATGACGTGTCGTTGGTCTGTGACTCACTAAGGAGACTATTTAGCAGATGTATTCAAATTTGACTTTGCAAAAATAATTCATCTGAAAAAATAAATGTTTTCTTGAGACCTACTTCATAGCAATGCTAATGGTATCATTCTCTGGTGCAGATGTCTCCCAGATGTTTGGTCTAAACCAGGAGACTCTGTGTACCCCTCAGACCCCCCAGGTGAAAGAAGAACAAGAGGAACCAAGGCTCAAACAGGAAGAGGAATTGCCGCAAGTGTACGACAATTTACACACACACATTTGTGCTCACTCACTCGGACAAGGATTCCCCTGAAAAAGATAAACTGAATTATCAGTGGTACTGTCTTGGTTAAAAAAATATATATTCTGGATACTGGTCTCAATGCTGTATTTGTAATTCAAGGCAATTATTTTTTTCAGTTCAGACACACGACAACTCAAAGTGCTTAACAAGCGAGAAAAGAAACCAAAGTATTTGGTTATTCTATACCAGACAAAAGTTAGCGATGTTATTACCTTGATGTTTTGACGGTATATGTCTTCCTCAAAAGAGTCTTGCAACATCACACATGAAGTGCCTTTTCAGCTGCTGTTCTCAGATACTGGGAAAAGAGACATTTAAATCTCAGAAGGAATCATAACTAATCACATTCCATAAAAAATAGTGAAAATACAATTCTTCAGTTGTTGTTTAGTCCTGACTCTAGCTGATCACCAGCAGGAGGCCAATCGATGTGCTCCTCAGAGAGACTTGTACACAGGCAGAGCTGTTTTAAAGTCTATTCTCTGAGCCACAAGAAGCTAGTAAAGAGACTAATGTGATGGTACTTCCTGATTCTAAGGGTTCTGAGTCTTTTACCCCTAGGTGTCTGACCTGATTTAAAGGTTTTAGGGAGAGAGACTGGGGGTGACGGGTAACAATTCTAATAGTTTGTTTGATTTCCAGGCTTTTTCCGAAATGCCACGTGAAGCTTGAATACATAAGGATAGACCCACAGATCCAGTCTGTAGACGAGGAAGACCCGAAGCCCGAGACTGTGGGAGAACTGGAGCCTGAAGCCGAGGGAGACCCAGAGCCCCCTCACACAGACACTACAGAGGACCGCAGCGTTCCCGTGTCTGCACAAGAGCGCTCCATAAACACTGCGCACTCGTCCGAAGAGAAGCCCAGGAAACACCAGTGTGACATTTGTCAGAAAAGATTTGTGAGAAAAGACTGTTTACGAATGCACATCAGAACTCACAGCAAGGAGAAACCTCACCGCTGTCCCATCTGCAGTAAAGCCTTCACCCTCAGATCCACTCTAACCGTCCACCTGAAGACACACATGGGCAGCAAACCCTTCAGCTGTCCCACCTGCCGGCGCTGTTTTGCACAAGCCAACTATTTAAAGCTCCACATCAGAACTCACACAGGAGAGAGACCATACAGCTGTACCTTGTGTGACCAAAGGTTCGCTCAGTCTTTCACTCTCACCAAACACATGAGGAGACACATTGGGGATAAACCTTACCGCTGCTCCACGTGTGGCAAGGGGTTTGTGACGAGCTACTGTCTGACGAGGCACATGGGCTCACACGCCCGCAAACAGCTCAACGCCCTAAGGAAACATCTGCAGGTACAGGACCCGAGCGAGAGCGCCCACATCGGAGAGGCCATGCGGCAGCTCAATGCTCAGTGACCGATCCTCCTGCTTAGTCTGCGAGATTGATCCAGAGATTTAACCTTGCCTGTAAGCTGAATTCTCGCGGTATTTGTGAGTTCACAAACACTCGAGAATACATCTTGCCCCGCTCCCGCCAACCCTTTTCGAGTAGAACATCTAGGTGTTCAAGCCAATCACGCGCCAGTCTTAGGGTTTAGGGCGGGATATCCGGGTTTGACGAAAGCAAGAAGTGCCGGGCCGAAGCAAAACAAACATGGCTACGCAGGAGGACGGACGCGTAGCTGAGGCTATCAAGTCAGTTTTAGCAGAATCTCCAATTTCTTTTTTGAAAGATGAACAGCGAGAGGCGCTTTGTGCATGCCGATGACAACATAATGTTACCAGGATTGGTTTAAGTCAAACCTTGGTAGGCGGGCACACAGCGTCACTTCGCCCAATCAGCTTGAAGTATTCTGCTGCTTATCCCTCCTTTCCCCGAAAGGATTCTCCTGCAGAAGTCCCAGATTGATATTGTGGAGAATGCATTAGAGTTCTACACAATCATCAATCTGGCTCTTGCCAGGTTACCCGAGATTGATCCCGAGATTCATTCCGACTTTCGTTTCTTTCTGTATGTATCTGCTGTTTTATAGCATCCGTTGTACCGGATTTGTAGGAGCTATTGTTAATATGTATTGATTTGATATACACTTATTGCTCCTATTATGAAGCATTCACCGCAACTTCTCTGTGTATGTTGTGTGGTCTTACTACTGTCCTGTCTGTGTGCTACAAGACCAACAATTCTCCACCCTCCGTATTGTTCTCTTTGTTTAATTTCTCTTTCTGTTCATTAACTTTTTTCCTGATGCTGTCATCTGATTAATGCAATACAATGTATTTCAACCACACATGTATATAATCAGTGAGTTTATGTTCATGAATAAACAATATTAAGTCAAGGAAACACGTTTGTACTATTTACAGTCTATGGTTTGTGCTCGGGTCCACTGCTTTTCGGAGCATACGAGGTTAATTGTTTTCTTATTTTCCCCGCACGTTGTCTGGGCTTGGGGTGTATGTGACATGTATTGATTATGTATGTAGAGCTCTAAACCGTGTGAGGGAAGTTACAAGCGCGTATCCTATTTTCTATCTATGATTGTCTCCAATGCACAGAATCATTCCAAAAGAGAGAAACAAATAGAAAGTGGGGGTTCAGTGCGTTGGGGAGAAACATCCAACGCATGCGCAAACAGGCGCTGTTAGCTCGCAGCTACAGCTAAAAACAGTAAGCAAGAAGAACAGCTGAGGATGCGCAGAAGTGCCGCTAAAAGAGCGCTGAGTCCGCGGAGGTGAAGAGGGCCCAGCTCCGGAGGTAACGGACTTTAACGGCTTTAGACTGAGATGAATGTGTGAAACAAACACGGAGAGAGTCTCATTGTGCGGCATCATTAAAAACAGTAGATCTCTGTTTAAGATCAAGAACCAGTGCTACATCCGAAATCCGCCTAAATACCCCTTTCTTCACCCTTTTGTGTGCTTTAGAATTGACCTTTTATTACACGGGCAGCACATTCGACTTTATACAGATGGACAATGCTAACCTGCTCCCTCAACGAAGCCCTATAGGGAAGTGCTCATGGACGAAGTTTAGCTCCGACTCGCTCTGGCTCCTATTGACTTACATGTAAAAGTTAACTCCTAGCCATTATCACCATTTTGGGCCCCCGTGACCCTTTTGTTTATAATATGATACTGGCTTTATAAATCCAGAAATGAGCCATTCATGGGTGAAACTCCAGCTTGCCTCAGCAACAGATATGGCAAGAAGCAGCCTCTTCCCCATTAATGCCAACGCTATGGTGATGTCACACGCTGTCCTTCCATTCCTCATATACAAGCAATGGGCAGCTGCAGGAATGGTCAAGCACAATTCAACACCTTTTAAAGATGTTTTTGAAGTCACAAATGTTAAAAAATAAGGCAAAGTTAGGAGGGATGCAGCCCTGGAATTTCCTCACTTTGAGCAACATGGGAAGCACTGAGAGCAAGCCACAGAGAATGTCAAATCTGTGCTCCATCATGGTTTATATCAGATCACATGTGTAGTCTATTTACCTATGGTCTTTTTTTGTCCAGATGGCTTCCTTGAGTCCTGGTCCTGGTCCTGGTCTGAACCCACAGACTCCACAGGTGAAAGAAGAACCAGAGGAACAGATCCTCAATCAGGAGGAGGATCAGCTCCCAGTGTACGGCTCATGTTTTTCACCTTTCACCTGCGTAGGTTTCCTCCTGGTACTCCGGTCTCCTCTACCACTAAAAACATGTGCAATAGTTCGGGGTGAATGAGTGTGTGTTTGTGAGTGCAAATTTGGGACAACGGTTGCAAATTAGCCCATGGCTACAATCCGGAGTGATGTGTTCATTAACATGTACTGTCCCAACCAAATATACAATAAATAAAGAAATATTAATTTCAGGGCGGCACAGTGGCTTAGTGGTAAGCACTCTCTCTTCTCAGCAAGAAGGTTTTTTCTGAGTGGTTTTCTGTCTTTCTCTCTCTGGTCACGAGTGCCGCCGTCCCCATCCAGCTTTGATGGGTCAGAACGTTACTCGTGTTACTGTTACTGCTCCTGCGACAATAGAACCACTTCAAACAGACTGCACAAGCCTGCGGGAATTAGAGCCTCCCAGCACGTTAGGGACATCCATGGTGCGAGCATGAGCCAATGAGTACAGCCATTGATCTGAATAATACCCTTATGTTTTGGTTTTCAGGTGTCTCTCAAAGATCGTTGCGGTGCGTGTAAAAACAGAAGAGTCGAGTTCTGATTATGATGAAGAGGAGGAGCAGAGAAGCAGCGCTGCACAAAGCTCAGGTCTGCCCCCAAGAGGTAGAACGTGTCATTTCTAGCATACGTAATTGATGTACATTGGGAATAATGTGGGTCCCTGTATTGACCCCTGAGGTACTCCACTGGTTATGTCCCTACACAAAACATTGTGTTGGTCAGTACGTAGTTTTTTGCGATCTGGGCGAGTGAAGTAGATCTGTTGTCTGTAACCCTGTTTTGACAGCAGACAGACAGCAGACCTGTTTTGACAATTAACAATTACTGTCAAGCAAAACAAGTCTGTTTTCACAGTCTGTTGCCTGCTTTCATTTGGGTGACCGCATTACTTGGACTACACTTTTTAAAACTATACTTTTCGTAAATGTTTGAGCACCATTTGAGCGGTTTTCTCTTCTGTAAAGCAGGCGTCCAAAGAGCTGACCCCGATCTGAACCAGGAAACTCCATGTACCCCATGCACCCCAAAGGTGAAAGAAGAACTAGAGGGACAGAGGCTCAAACAGGAGGAAGAGGAGCAGAAAAAGTACGACTACACACACGCACGTACACGCACATGCTCTTACAGTGTTTTTGTTTTTCAGGCCAGAGTCCAGAGTTGTGATAGTCAAGACTGAAGAGTCGCCAGTGTCTGAGAACTCTGACTTCACTTCTGACAACGATGACGACTGGAGAGCTCCCTTCAGCTGCTCAGTTCCACCAATGGAGACAGAAGCCACAAGAAACGACGGCAAGAGATTCCAGTGTTCCTTTTGTGAGCGGAGATTTAAAAGGAAAGACGGTTTACAAATACACACAAGAACTCACACGGGAGAGAAACCTTACGGCTGTTCACTGTGTTCTAAAGCATTCGCAGATAAGTCTACTCTCAGGACACATGTGAAAAGACACTCTGGAGAAAAACCTCTGCGCTCGGGCAAACAGGGGACAGCTGAAGGAATCGAAGAGAAGAAACACCAGTGCTCTTTTTGTCAGAAGAAATTTGGGAGAAAAGACAACCTACAATCCCACATTAGAATCCACACTGGAGAAAAACCTTACCGTTGTTCAACCTGTAGCAAAGCATTCACAGACAGGTCCACACTCAGAGTGCACATGAAAACTCACACCGGGGAGAAACCTTACTGCTGCGCCGTGTGCGAGAAAGGCTGTATCACACGGCGCGAACTGGAGGTCCACACAAGGACACACACGGGGGAGCGGCCTTACAGCTGCTCAGTCTGCCACAAAGAGTTCATGCGGCGCGGCGACCTGGACCTGCACACGCGCAAGCACACAGGTGAGAAACCCTTCAGCTGCTCTACCTGCGACAAGGGCTTTGCACAGCACCTCTCCCTCAAGCGGCACATGAGGACGCACACCGGGGAGAAGCCTTACAGCTGCTCGGCCTGTGGTAAGACGTTCTCCCAGAGCTCGAATCTGAAGGTGCACGAGAGGACACACTCGGGGGAGAAGCTGTTCCGCTGCACCACCTGCGAAAAGACGTTCACACGCAAGGACACGCTGAACATGCACTTAAGCACGCACACTGGAGAGAAACCCTACTGCTGCTCTGTCTGTCTGAAAGCTTTCAACCATAAAGGCAACTTAGACAGACATAGAAAAGCTCACACTGTAGGAGATGGTTAAAAGTGATTCCTTTGATTTGAAGAGAAATTTGAAAAACAAAAGCAACCTCATGAAACTGTAAAATAGGACTCGCAAATGTTGGGTGAAATATATGACAAAATTTATCTCACAGAAGATTCAGCTAAGAATAATGGTGCTTTCAGACCGGATCATGCGTTGCGTCTGCTTTCAATGCAAAGTCTATGGTGACGAGCGTTCAAGCGTCACAACGCACGGACCGACTGTTCAGTAGACACGCACGGACTTGGCGGGAAAGTCGAAGGGGAGGAGCAGGAGCGAAAAATCAACGCCCACAGGAGATGGATTCTGCTCATCCTTTCCTTGGGACGTTCGTGCAAAAACCAATCAGAGAGCAGCAAAGTGGTCACGGGGACATTAGCGGACTGAGCGAGCAGACTGAAAATACTCAAACAGCCAAAACAGGACCCACACCAGACTTCACCAGAACTCAAACCAGGGTTGACAATTGGGGACTCTGTGCTTGTGAATATATGCGTTGTCATGCTCCCGTGACCTTATGCAACTGCTTCGAGTGTGTTCACTGATGTGGAAATACCGTTTAATAATATGAAAACACGTATGGCGCACCTCCGTGAACACAAACTACTGTTGTATAAAGCCCGTGGAATGTCTGTGAGCAAAGACACGCTGCAAAGCTGCATACTCCGTACACTCCGCTCAATCATCATTTCACTGCATATAGCATGTGGGTCTGGTCCCTGTGTTTGCGATTACTATCTGTTGAATTCCATCCGACCAATCAGCGAGCGCGGAGGCGGGTGTTGTAGTTGGTTGTGGGTGACGTCAAGAGTTAGCGCCAAACGGGAAGGTCGTAGTTTGGCAATGGCAAAGAATGCGTTAGTAAAGTATTCTGTTCTGGTTCTATCAAGAAATTGAAGCCGGAGCAAGAGGAATGTTTAGCAAATGTAATTGCCAGCAAAGATTGTGGTACTACTCCCCACGGGCTCCGTTAGCGGCAAAGGAGATGGCTAAGCTAAATGCTAACAACTCACTCGGGCGCATTACATACGTCACGGTAAACTCAGATTCAATCATTTCAATCCGCAAAAGGAGCCCCTCCAACCTGTTAACGGAGCTCAATGGAGCACCTCCAGACCATAGTACGAAATGTAATGTGTACTATGGTGTGGTACAACCAGTCTAGTGTTGCTAAGGCAAGTGAAAGATTCCCCCGCGAATGAAGGCATCTGATTGGTGAACCCTTATGAGTCATATCTGGATTTACCAGGATCACAAACTGCCAAACCACATATTTTTAAGCCCAAAACAATGAATGTGACACAAACGGTTACTGAGTTCACTTTTACGAGTTGGAGCCAAACTTCATAATGAGCTCTTCCCAATTCATTGAGCTAGCGGGTTAGCATTGTCCATCTATTGAGTCTTTGCTGGGGGTGGTGTCACACTCAGTCCATGCTTCTTTCATGTGATATATGTGCATGATTGTGTGTGGAATGTTATTTTCTGCCATTAAATGTGAGTCTCAAGTGAAGCGTCTTGTTCCTTGATAAATCTTATAAAAGCCACATTTCCAGTGTTTCCAGGGTTGGGAAAAATCTGTGCTTTCTGATGTCTTCTGTTCCACAGTCCAATCACAGAACTGTAGACCTCCCATTAATATCTTTATTTGTCAAAAAGTTGCATTCCTCTAGCGACAGTTTCAAGTTTTGATATCAGCATCTGGATTTTTAAACAACTTCTAGGGTAAGGGCAAATCATCTTTCAAAAATGTTCTAATGTAAATTATCTGTTTTTGCTAGGGCTGTCAAACGATTAATCTTTTGTTGATTAATCGCATAGTATTGGCGAGTTAACTCACGATTAATCGCATTTTTAACATTCTATTTCAAATCCACTTCAAATGAAGTTAAATGAGCCTATCAAATGCACTGACACATTGTCATTCATACCATCCATCCATCCATTTTCTACCCTTTAATCCATTTCTGGGTCAGGGGGGTGACAGTCAGAGATGCCACCCAAGTCTCATAGCACCAGCCCCTCACTGACCCTCTGCAGGTGGTGAGTCCACAGGAGGACGGCTGCTCTCTGAGTGTGAGCATAGCCTTGATCTTTCAGTGGGGGCTTTGGGCAAAGTGGGGTTAAGTGTCTTGCCCAAGGACACAACGACAGCAGTCATCAGTGGGAGTTGGTGTAGAGGTGGGAATTGAACCCACAACCTTAAGGCCTGAAGGCCAATGCTTTACCAACTGAGCTACTGTCGCCCCTCATTCATACCAAATGTACTTAAATCTGTTTGATTCGCTCATAACATACTTTTGGGCACAACAGCATGAGCTGTTAATGAAAGGGAAAATTTACATACCCCAGCTTTAATTTAGCGAGTTTTGATGCGTTTCAGGAGAAGACATGAGGAGGCTCCATAGTTCAGCTTCAATATACAGTATGTGTATTTATTGCTGCAGTTACAGGTTACGCAAAGACAAGTACACAACATGCAGAGAATAGTTCTGTGCGTGTATGGTAAGCGGCGCCATTCGCTGTGTTATTAGCGGCCAGAGGACTTCAGTTCATACAGCAAACAACAAAGTGCCCCGCGGTCACGCGCATATTCTTCTAAAACTTTATCCCAGAGACCACCTCTGTCTCCATCTCACACACGCATGTGTCCGCGGCATTATGAGTGATATTATGGGATACATGGGCGGGTCATTCGGACATGCGGCAATGCGTTAATTAAATGTTTCATTAATTGCGTAAATAAAAAACATTAACGCACGTTAACGAGATCATTTTGACGGCCCTAGTTTTTGCAAATGATCCATTTATTTTCATTTCAATTAACACAATAAAGGTGGACTAAACACAGACAGAAGCAGGGTCTTTAAATTTTTATGTCACATTGAAATAAGTTAAAGACCTTATGCAGGGTTGTGGATATCAAAATAGCATGATAGTTAATCAATTAATGTCGATCTGAAATAGATTCCGGCAAAAAAAAATCCTATATTTTATAAAAAGAATGTGTTTTTTATGAATTTAAGTTGACTATTCCTCTTATCTGTGTGTGACGTCATAGCGGGTAACGCCCATGCATTGAAAGCCATGGATCTATGCCACAGATACTCGCCTATCCTCTCCCACTGATGTCCAATATATATACAGTCTATGTGTCCAACACAATACTGCACTCTACAGGTGTCAATTGCTCATTACACATATATTGCCGTTTGGAAAGTGAAAATGTGACTAGGATGAGTGTTGAACCCAATTGCTGGAATGCCAGTGCATTGATATAACCACTGAATTATCACAGCACCAATGAATCATCTTGAAAATCCACAAAAAAAGAAGGGGCTGTGAGGGAGAAGAGGCTGTGAATTTGTTTTGTTTCTAAGGGCGTTGCTATGGTCTCATTTCGATTTGGGGGTTCAGACAAAAAAACAACCGATTGATTTTTAAACCTTTAGTAGTTCTCTTCTAGTATAAAAAGTGTATTAAAACTGTATTTCTAAAACAATCAAACCCTGCATAAGGTCTTTAAGGTACACTTTATCCTGATGGGAAATGTGTACTCTGCATTTGACCCATTTGAATACCTCCAGCGAAGGTCAAAGGGCAGAGTGGCTGCAGGTTTTTATTCTAACAAACCAGGAGCAGACCAGACTCGAGAGAGACTAGCTGACCAGAGAAGAGTGAGACCAGAGACCAGGAAGACATTAGACTACCCATTTTCTCAGGTCTCCAGCTTCAGACTGGACTGATTTGAGGAAATAGATGAAGCCACACAGCCCTTTAATCTAGGGCTTCTGTCAGGAGCAGTGGTCGCCATAGCAACATCTTCAGATGTTGACTTCAGGACCAGAGATGGATGTCCTCATTGTACATGTTTTTAGTGGTCCTATTCCGACCAGGATTCGAACCCAGGACCTTCTTGCTGGGAAGCGAGAGTTCCAATAATTCCTAATAATTAAAAACTTTTTTCTTTTTTTTTAAAGTTTGAGCGGAATTTGTGACTTTTCCTACAATGCCTTGCAAAAGTATTCGGCCCCCTTGAACCTTTCAACATTTGGCCACATTTCAGGCTTCAAACATAAAGATATAAAAATTATTTTTTTTGTCAAGAATCAACAACAAGTGGGACACAATCGTGAAGTGGAACGAAATTTATTGGATAATTTAAACTTAACAAATAAAAAACTGAAAAGTGGGGCGTGCAATATTATTCGGCCCCCTTGCGCTAATACTTTGTAGCGCCACCTTTTGCTGCAATAACAGCTGCAAGTCGCTTGGGGTATGTCTCGATCAAGTTTTGCACATCGAGAAACTGGAATTCTTTCCCATTCTTCCTTGCAAAACAGCTCGAGCTCAGTGAGGTTGGATGGAGAGCGTTTGTGAACAGCAGTCTTCAGCTCTTTCCACAGATTCTCGATTGGATTCAGGTCTGGACTTTGACTTGGCCATTCTAACACCTGGATACGTCTATTTGTGAACCATTCCATTGTAGATTTGGCTTTATGTTTTGGATCATTGTCCTGTTGGAAGATAAATCTCCGTCCCAGTCTCAGGTCTTTTGCAGACTCCAACAGGTTTTCTTCCAGAATGGTCCTGTATTTGGCTCCATCCATCTTCCCATCAATCTTAGCCATCTTCCCTGTCCCTGCTGAAGAAAAGCAGGCCCAAAGCATGATGCTGCCACCACCATGTTTGACAGTGGGGATGGTGTGTTCAGGGTGATGAGCTGTGTTGCTTTTACGCCAAACATATCGTTTTGCATTGTGGCCAAAAAGTTCGATTTTGGTTTCATCTGACCAGAGCACCTTCTTCCACATGTTTGGTGTGTCTCCCAGGTGGCTTGTGGCAAACTTTAAACAAGACTTTTTATGGATATCTTTGAGAAATGGCTTTCTTCTTGCCACTCTTCCATAAAGGCCAGATTTGTGCAGTGCACGACTGATTGTTGTCCTATGGACAGACTCTCCCACCTCAGCTGTAGTTATCTGCAGTTCATCCAGAGTGATCATGGGCCTCCTGTCTGCATCTCTGATCAGTCTTCTCTTTGTTTGAGATGAAAGTTTGGAGGGACGGCCGGGTCTTGGTAGATTTGCAGTGGTCTGATACTTCTTCCATTTCAATATAATTGCTTGCACAGTGCTTCTTGAGATGTTTAAAGCTTGGGAAATCTGTTTGTATCCAAATCCGGCTTTAAACTTCTCCACAACAGTATCTCGGACCTGCCTGGTGTGTTCCTTTGTCTTCATGGTTCTCTCTGCGCTTTAAACAGAACCCTGAGACTATCAAAGAGCAGGTGCATTTATACGGAGACTTGATTACACACAGGTGCATTCTATTTATCATCATCAGTCATTTAGGACAACATTGGATCATTCAAAGATCCTCACTGAACTTCTGGACTGAGTTTGCTGCACTGAAAGTAAAGGGGCCGAATAATATTGCACGCCCCACTTTTCAGTTTATTTGTTAAAAAAGTGTAAATTATCCAATACATTTCGTTCCACTTCACGATTGTGTCCTACTTGTTGATTCATGACAAAAAATTTAAATTTTATATCTTTATGTTTGAAGCCTGAAATGTGGCGAAATGTTGAAAGGTTCAAGGAATACTTACGCAAGGCACTGTAAATTGACCAGCTCTGGGTCATTTAGACCATAATTTAGGGTATTTTTTCTACTTTCAATTATTGTGGGGGGACATTTTGACACGAGGATAGCACAAGAGTCAACCAAGTGTTTGACTTCAGCTCGGGGGTCCGGAACAGCTCTAGTTCGAGTTTAGACAAGACATCAGTGAGCAAGGTTGTGTACAGCTCATTTTTCTGTAATAGCCCTAATTCACAACAGCAGTCATCTTGGGAGACTTTACAAAGTTGTAGATTCACCAACAACAGAACAGAGACAAGAGAAAGACCACAGAGAGACCAGAGAGGAGTAGCACTGGTGCTTCTCAGCAAAAAGGGGTTAGGTTTGAAACCCAAGCGCAACAGGGTCTTACTGTATGTAGTTTGCATAGGTCGTCTCTGGGTGCTCCGGTTTCCCTATACCACTAAAAACATGCACAATAGGTAACATCCTCCAGCTCTAGTCGTCCTGACCAACATATGGAGATGAGCCCCGGGCGCTGGACTACAGCGACCAATGCTCCTGACAGTGCACCTCGTGGCAAAGCAGGATGGGTCATATGCAGAGGACAAAGTGGCCTATTTTTCAGATTTATTTAGACCAAAAAGAAATTAGTCACAATAACAGTTTTCTCGGAGGACTGCACTAAGTAGATTTGCCAACAACAGACCAGAGAATCAAACAAGTCTCGTTCCAACAGAAGTGTCCTGAGAGCCGAGTGCCCACACGTGTCCTTACGTGTTCTTTTGTGTTCTCGTGTGTTGTCCGTCGCCGTGATAACCTCCTCCCGCTCCTCCTCCCCCGTGAACCCTCATGTGAGCATGGAGAGAGGAGTTGTCGGTAAAAGCTCTGTGACACACTGAGCACCTGTAAGGTCGTTCTCCAGTGTGGACTCTGGTGTGTATTTTTAAAGTTCCAGCTTGTGAAAAGCTTTTCTTGCAGAACAAACAGCTGTAAGGTTTCTCTCCTGTGTGGATTCGAATGTGTCTTTGGAGATTCCCCTTTCTGTCAAATCTTCTTTTACAAAAGTTACACTGGTGTTTCTTGGCCTCATCTCCTGGGGCTGCTCCTGAGATGTCAGCTCTAGTCTCTGCTGCAGCCTTATCTGTGGGAGACAGACCTGAGCATGGAGCAGTGGTGCCTCTCAAGACCTGGTAAAAGAAGTCTCTTTCAGCTTCTGTAACCTGGTCGTAGACGTCTCCTTTAGTATCTGTCTCCTGGTCACAGAAGTCTCCTTCAGTCTCTGTCTCCTGGTCATAATCTCCATCTGTCTCCATGTGTGCAGCTGAACAGCTGAAAGGATCCTCCCAGTCTTCAGTCGAGGAGCAGACAGAGGACTTCATGAGACGCTCCTCTGTCTTTACACACTCCACTCTGAACTCTGCTCCAGACCTGAAACCAAACTCACAGTTAGAACAGTCATCTCTGCGTTGTGTTGTTCTGAGGAGACATATTAGCGCAACTCTGAAGGTCCAGAAGAACAGGTCACAGCTGAAACTGGGGATGTACTGATTGGTTGTTTTTTTCAAAACCGAAATGAGTACATTCATTGTCATATTCCACTTAAATAATAGGTACAAAGAAATAGCTGCCATTTAAATTCAGAGATTTTTAGAGCTCTTATGTCACACATCAAGTTTAAACTTAAATAAAGTTTGTTGTAGAGTTGGTTGTTCTTGTGCTCCGGTGCTAGCAAAGGTGTAAGGAATGTTTTGCTTATCTTGAAGTTTGTCGGGGCAACTTCCCGTTGTACTTAATGTGACATAGTGTGTGGGTTCAGGATACGTTATACGTGTTTGTTTTGGACCCACCTTGTGACAGTTTACACAGTGACAGTTTACAGTCCGCTTTTCTCTTGTCACTCTTGTTTACTTAAAGAATCTGTCATATCAGTATCGGTATCTGTATTGGTGCTGAAACAATCACCAACATCCCCACAACCAGCATGAGTGTGGTTGGCTCTCCCATCACACTACTATCCAGGCCCTGCCCTACTTAGCATCTAATAGCAGTTAACAAAGGTTCTCCAATGAAACGAAAGTCGTACTCTGGCAGAAGTTCCTCTGGCTCCTCTTTCACCAGTTGACTCAGCGGCGTCTCAGGGTTCAGACCAGGACCAGGACTCAGCGAGACCGTCTGGGTTCCTGCAGATAAAAGGGACAAACACAGATGAATAGTTTGGACATAGAACCAACGAGGAACATGGCTCTAAGCCTTGGTCTTAGCCAGCCCTACACAGGGTAGGACTGGTGGAAACAGGGCTTTATGTTTGGTTGAGCACTGTCCCTGTAGCGGGAGGATTTCAAATGTTTTGGGAGAAAACCCACGCAAACACACAAAGAACATGCAAACTCCTCACAAAAAGGCCATTGTGAGCCTCTCTTCATCCAGTCATCGCCAGAGCCGTGAGGACAAGCCCTAATATCAGTATCACAGGCACATTCTGGTTACTGGCGTTGTCTGTGGCAAATAGCTTCCCCCTCCTCTCTCCTCTCCTCACCCCGAGCCTCCTCCAGTCTCCTCTCCTCATCCTGAGCCTCCTCTTGTCTCCTCTTCTCATCCTGAGCCTCCTCTTGTCTCCTCTTCTCTTTGCAGCGACACAGCTCCTCCTCATATTCCAATATAGTTCTTTCAAACAGCTCAAATATATCTTCCGCAGCCGCAGCCAGCCGCGCCGTCACCAAGGCTCTCAGCGTCTGTCCAGGACTCATTTTAACACTAGGGAAGATAAACACAGATATAAACCACTTTAGCAAAAGCTACGAGCAGTGGAGCTAGCGCTACGCAAGAGTGGAGCCAACGTAGCCCGTTCTGCGCATGCGCTCACTAACGACGCCTGACTGGTCAGATTATGAACACGTGTCTTCTTTTTCTTCACTTTAAACTCCACCACTTAAACAAATACAAGTCGTCCGCATATATATATATATAATATATATATATATTATATATATACATTGTATATATATGATATATATAATATATATATATATATAATATATATATATAAAATACACATGTGTGCAAACACTTTAAATGTACAATTAGAGTAAATGAGTCAGCAGAGGCCAAAACAGGTTCTCAGCCTCACAAAGAATCTAGCCATGTGTTCGTGTTCCCGTTTAGATCCTGTATTTTGTCAGTTTTAGGAGCCATAGATCAATAGTGGAGGCGGTTAGCAGCTATATTGTTTTCCAGTGCATATATAGCATATTGTTTAAAGCCATACTGTATACATATATATGACGCTAACCAAGATAGAGAACACAATCCGCTAGCTCAATGCATTCCAACAGGAAAGTGCTCAAGTTTATCTCCAACTCGCTCTGGCTCCTGTTGACTTACATGTGAAAGTAAACTCCTCCACTTCAGTAACTGACACTCACCACTTTCAGCTTAAAAAAAACTTTTCATACACTCTTTCACGGTTATTTAAACAAGTTTATTTTTCAAACTGTAAATAACATTTATAAAACAGTTAAAATTATTTATATAGAAAGATTTGAACGACTTCAGCTCCAGTAAAATCACTTCGGGGAACGTCTGCGGAACACAAAATATATACAAGAGAAAACAGTTTAATCCTTATAAAAGATCTGAAAGCGCGTGTGGATGGTCTGCCATCTTGGTGAGGTACAAGCGACCACAAAGTAATACTGAGAAATTACACAATCTCTCAAACTATGCAAATTTCTGTTTGACAAGTGCGGCAAGAAGGCTTTCAATCAGTTGTTCCGGTTATTCGTTGCAGGAGAATTCAACTAAAATTTCCCAAGTTCAAGGAAATCTTACCGACCAAATATGGCACCAATAATATGGCTCAATGTTGATATGAAAAGCCTCTTCATTTTCAAGAAATATTGATTCAACAACTATGTCCTGCTTCCAATATTTCCAAAGTTAGGTCAGCAACAGGGCTAGTCTTTTGTACCAGCCCGACTTGGCCCTACTCCACCTGGTTGCAGTTCCATTACACTTGAGACTGTACATTGTGGTACATTACATTTACACTGAATGTACCACATTCTAGCAACCTACCCACAACAAACCAGTAGCTTCCAGCACTCAGGCCACTTTGGTACCAGACTTTAAAAAGTACTTTGTATCTGTAGTGATGGAAATGGGGCTTGTGAGACTTTGTCAGCCATCTTGGAAATATTCGGTTCCAAGTACTAATTGAATGCACTAAAAAAAAACCTTTTTCACCAGGCTTAATTGACCCTAGTCTACTCTATTCTACCCAGATTGTGAATGTGTTCACTCTATTTAACCCTATTTAACCACGGATACTGGTTTGTTGTTGGTATGAGTAGAGTAGGGCTGGTGGAAAGGGTGCATTCCCACTTGGTCTGGTTCACTTTAACTGGACCCAGGTTTATTTGTGGACACAAAATTCTAGCCCCATGTCAACCAGGACTGATCCAACGGGATCAGTCTCTGCAACTGGTCTGGATTCAAGTGCAAATTAAGGCCAATGTTGATAAAAGCATTTTAAAAGCACTAATTCTCTGCTTTTCACAGACTCATAGTTTGAGCGGACGGCAATTTCAAAGTCAATTCTTTTCTTTCACTTTCTGGCACCTTTTTTCCAGACGCCCCCACGGCCTTTGGTATTTGCACTACCCCTTAAACCTTAGCTAACCATCTACAAATGCTAATAAACTGAAGGGATGAAGCCGGTCCGCTCTGCCCGGGTCTGACAGGTAGGTGTTGTGTTCCGGTCTGAATGCAGAGGTTATAGTCGCAGGTGCGGCACAGGCATTGTCACGTCTCTGAAGAAGCGGTGCACCAGAGCCTTCTTCGCCGATATCCTCTTGTTCGGGTCGTATGTCAGCATCTCCTGCAAAACAGATAGATTCATGAACAAATACCACACGGTCCTGGATCCACAGCCCCAGTCCTGAATCTACAGCTCCAGTACTGGAGCGGATCCCTCCCTCAACGCAGTCTTTCCCGGAGTTTCTTATCTTTTTTCTCACCGTTTCTTTTTTCTAGTGATTCCTTGCTGATTCAGGAGAGCCTGATTCTCTGATCTGTGTTAGAGAACCGACAACTAGGCAAAGCCCTATGAGATGATATGATTTAAAGCGAGACAAAAAACATTTTTAGTTATTAAAAATTACTTTATCACTATGAATTCCCTCCCTCTGGTGCCACCAGATTCATGGTTTTAGTCTAATTTTTTTTAGATTTCACAGATTTGTTTTTAATCATTGGAGGTTACTGCCCATTCAGATCCAAGTGGCCTCCATAATGGTCTCACTATGGAGGCAGAAATATTGGAAAAAGTGACGCATGACGGCTTTTCTGGTCCTGGTCTGTGCAGGAGGCGTCAGTCAGATTGAGGCGAACACATGAGCATTCTGACCAATGAAAGCAGAGGAACATGTGAGCATTCTGACCAATCAGCGCTGACTCTAGGGGGCAGCACTGTGCTGTACTGTAGCCACATCTGCCCTGGGGCACACTGACAGAAGTGAGTCAGTCCCTACCACCCATAACCATTCACACACCAGACTCATTCTAATGTGGATGAAGTGTCTTACACAACCCACAACACTTTACAGCCTCAGCCACCCCACTGGGAACCCACCTGGTGTTTCCAGAAGTCTCCCATCACAGTACTAACAAAGTTCTAATCTGCTTACCTTCAGAGGTCTGACAGAGACTGACATTCATGTATTCTTATGTTATTGACAACTGCTACCCTCCGGTCAAAATGACCCAGCACAGACAAGGGTTAAGGCGGTCGTCGACCAAAGACATGCTTAAGTCTTCAGTCTCATATTCTCTCGGACTCTTTATTGTCAGTCCGTTGTGGTTGAGACGGTAACGACACTCACTCCGATCAGCTCTCGTCCATCCTCGTCTAGCAGGGGGAGCACTTTGGCCAGGTCCTGCCTCGCCCACTTTGGGAAGGAGGGCTTGTAGTCTGGCATTGAGGTGACGCCCGGCCACAGAGTCTCGTCCGGAGTCCCCAGTGTCCGGAAGATCCTGAAGAGCTGGTCAATCTCCGAGTCTCCGGGGAACAAGGCTCTCCTGGTGATCTGAGGAGGGAAAAGGAGGAGAGGGAAGGAGGAGAGAAGAGGGAGGTGAGAGGAGAAAGGGTGAGTGTTTTTGTGATTTCAAAGTTAGGTACCCCAGGTTAAAGGCACACTGTGTAGTTTTTACCCCCATCTGGCGTTCAGATCATATATTGCAAGTCTACTTTTACCATCACTATGGAAGCCTCCGAGAACCATATGTCGTGTTTGACAGTGGTCCCCAACACCCGGTAATTCAAACTCACACTGCTGATATTCTCACAAATGTTTTGTGGGGATTAAGTGTGTTTTGCACATTTGAGGCTTGTCCCTGATTAAGTTTTGTGACATACAGTGCCTTGCGAAGGTATTCGGCCCCCTTGAACCTTTCAACATTTCGCCACATTTCAGGCTTCAAACATAAAGATAAAAATTTTTAATTTTTTGTCATGAATCAACAACAAGTGGGACACAATCGTGAAGTGGAATGAAATTTGTTGGATAATTTAAACTTTTTTAACAAATAAAAAACTGAAAAGTGGGGCGTGCAATATTATTCGGCCCCTTTACTTTCAGTGCAGAAAACTCACTCCAGAAGTTCAGTGAGGATCTTTGAATGATCCAATGTTGTCCTAAATGACTGATGATGATAAATAGAATGCACCTGTGTGTAATCAAGTCTCCGTATAAATGCACCTGCTCTTTGATAGTCTCAGGGTTCTGTTTAAAGCGCAGAGAGAACCATGAAGACAAAGGAACACACCAGGCAGGTCCGAGATACTGTTGTGGAGAAGTTTAAAGCCGGATTTGGATACAAAAAGATTTCCCAAGCTTTAAACATCTCAAGGAGCTCTGAGATGAGACAAAAAACTCGACTCTCGCAATCTTTTTGTCCCTTATCAACCACTGTATTTCAAGATGGCGCATTGATATTGAGAGTTCTCAGCTCTTACGGACATTTATAATTCAAATTCTATGACTACAATTCAAAAACATGGTGGAGGTAGATATTCATAGACAGGTCACATTTGTTATTGGTTAACACGTTTTTTTATTTGGATCAACTATTACACAGTGGCTTTAAAAGTATAGAATCCAAAAACTTTTTTTGAAACACTTAGAAAAAAAATTGGGTATAGCTTCTTTAAGTAGTTGATAAAAATCCTTATTACTACATACAAGTTGTATTATAATCTGTAATTTAATTGAAAACTTGAGGTCATTGATTCAGCTGTGTAAGAATTACAAGCAGTGAAAAGTGCTGAGTAGAGTCTGAGCGGGCCGCTCTTTGTCCTCCGCTCACAGAACGAGCAGCGAACAGCCTGCGTCCTCTAGCCTCTACAGCGCTGCTAAACACTAGGGCTTCGGCTTCGAAATTCGAATATAATTCTAAAATAAATTAAAAAAATAGAAATAAAAGTATATATATATATATGTGCTAGGCAGGTAACAACTAAGCTAGCTAGCTCCCTGGAACTACATGTTAATGGTTACTTCCAGGTTTTTTGCTATCACTTTTTGTCACATTAAAATAGTAATTTGGTCATGAAAACGATAACAAGAAATTCTGAAAAAGTCCGTGCATGTGTGTTAAGGATGTATATGTATACTGTATTGTCCGATTAACATTCAATGGTGTTGATTGATAGATATGTATTTGATTATATACAAAGATGGCGCCTCGTACGGTCGACATGGCTCTTTGCTGCTCTCTTTTTCTTTTGTTTTTACTTTTTAACTGCGCATCTGGCTGTTCCTACACCCGTGAGGAACTTATGAACATCCGACCCCATGGACCTATTGCCTGTTTTCTTGGCATCTGCGGCTGATTTAGTTCATGTTCTAGCCAAAAAAGTGTGGGCCCGTAAAAGGGGAAAGCGCGGAGGCCTGCTCGTGCGTCTCAGGAGGAGAGGAGCGCGCACGGCTCTCCCCGGCATTTTTCTCTCCAACGTACGCTCACTGGGCAATAAGATGGACGAACTCAGCCTGCTCATGAGAAGAAACAAGGACTTTGCCACATCCTGTGTCCTCTGCTTCACTGAGACCTGGCTAAATGAGCGGATCCCGGACTGCGCTCTGGAGCTACAGGGCTTTGGGCTGTTCCGCGCGGATCGCCATTGTGCGCTCTCAGGGAAGAGCAGAGGCGGTGGGCTGTGTTTCTACGTCAATACAAACTGGTGTAACGATGTGACAGTGATCTCCAAGCACTGCTCTCCTGCTCTGGAATATCTTTTCATTCATTGTAAACCATATTACTCCCCGCGCGAAATTGTTTCATTCATTCTTGCCTCTGTTTACATACCGCCATGCGCGGACGCGCGCGAGGCTCAGCGCGCACTCGCAGAGCAAGTACTGTGTATGGAACGCTTATACCCGGACTCTCTGATTATTATTCTGGGGGATTTTAATAAGGGAAACTTGAGCCAGGAATTACCCAAATACAGACAGTTTATCAAATGCCCGACCAGAGAGGAGAACACTCTGGATCACTGTTACACCACCGTGCGCGGAGCTTTTCGCGCTGTTCCCAGCCAGCCCTCGGCTTCTCAGATCACTCCATGATACATCTGGTTCCTGCTTACAGACAGAGACTAAAGCTCTCGAAACCTGCAGTGAGGAGCTCCAAAGTGTGGTCTGATGAAGCTGTGGAAGAGATGCGCGCATGCATGGAATCTACAGACTGGGACCTTTTCAGAGCTGCCACAGATAGTTTGGATGAATATACGGACACTGTGACGTCATACATTCACTTCTGTGAGGATAGCATCATTCCAACAAGGACCAGGGTCATCTATAACAACGACAAACCCTGGTTCACTGCTAAACTCCGGCAGCTCAGGAAAGCAAAGGAGTCTGCTTTCAGGGAGGGGGACCGCAGCGGCTACAAAGCAGCTAAATATCAGTTCAGGAAAGAACTGAAAGCAGCCAAGTCCCGGCACAGAGAATGACTACAGGAGCAGTTTGGTAACAACGATACTGCTTCTGTCTGGAGGGGCCTACGGGAGATCACCAACTACAAACCCAAAGCCCCCCCCTGTGCTGACGACCACAAGCTAGCTGACGAACTGAACTTATTTTTCAGTCGCTTTGATGCTGCCCCTGACACCTCTCCCTCCCCCACCCCCCACTACTCTAACGACCCACCCATCAGCCCTGCCCCCAGCCTAACAATAGCCGCTAAAGAGATTAAACAACTCTTCTTGAGGCTGCACCCCCGCAAAGCTCCTGGCCCGGACCACGTGTCTCCGGCCACTCTGAGACACTGCGCCAGTGAGCTTACTCCTGTGTTCACGGACATTTTCAACACCTCTCTGCAGTCCTGCCATGTCCCGGCCTGCTTCAAATCCTCCATCATTGTCCCCGTCCCGAAGAAGCCCAGGATCACAGGACTCAATGACTACAGACCTGTAGCACTTACGTCTGTCGTCATGAAGTCATTTGAACGCCTGGTTCTCTCCCATCTCAAGTCCCTCACCTCCCCCCTCCTGGACCCCCTGCAGTTCGCCTACAGAGCCAACAGATCTGTAGACGACGCCATTAACCTGGCCCTCCACCACATCCTACAGCACCTGGACTCCCCGGGGACCTACGCCAGGGTCCTGTTCGTGGACTTCAGCTCTGCCTTCAACACAATCCTGCCATCCCTGCTCCAGGACAAGCTCTCCCAGCTCAACGTGCCCGATTCCACCTGCAGGTGGATCACTGACTTCCTGACGGACAGGAAGCAGCGAGTGCGTCTGGGGAAGAATGTCTCGGACTCTCGGATTATAAATACAGGAGCCCCACAGGGCTGTGTTCTTTCTCCCCTGCTCTTCTCCCTGTACACCAACCACTGCACCTCCAGCCACGACTCCGTGAAGCTGATCAAGTTCGCGGACGACACCACCCTCATTGGACTCATCTCCAACAACGATGAGTCCGCCTACAGGAGGGAGGAGGACCGGCTGGTGTCCTGGTGCAGTGGTAACAACCTGGAGCTGAACGCCCAGAAGACAGTGGAGATGATTGTGGACTTCAGGAAGAGCACTGTCCCCCCGCCCCCACCCTCCGTGATGGACTCCCCCATCACCTCTGTGGAGTCCTTCCGTTTCCTGGGCACCACCATCACCCAGGACCTCAAGTGGGAGCCGACCATCAGCTCCCTCATCAAGAAGGCCCAGCAGAGGATGCACTTCCAGAGGCAGCTCAGGAAAGCCAAGCTGCTTTCCTGCAGCTTGGCTGCAGCTTCCTGCTGTCCATCCTCACTTCCTCCGTCACCGTGTGGTTTGCTGGAGCCACAGTCAGGGACAAACAGACTACAGCGCATTGTGCGCTCTGCAGAGGAAGTGATCGGCCGCAGCCTTCCATCGCTGCAGGACCTGTACGTCGCCCGAGCTCGAGGCCAGGCTGGTCGTATCACAGCCGACCCCTCTCACCCTGCACATGGACTATTCCAACCACTCCCCTCAGGCAGGAGGCTGCGGTCCATCAGGACTAGAACCTCCCGCCACAAGAACAGTTTCTTCCCCTCTGCTGTTGGACTCTTGAACACTTCTTAACCTGTCCCCCCGCCCTTTATAAAGTCACTTTACTGCCCATCATACGTCACTTTACTTCACTGTACTGCTGTCACCTTACATTGTGTGCACCATGTGCACTTGTATATTGTAAATAGTAACTGTAACTCTATTTTAAATTTAAATTTATTCTTAGAAGTGTTTTTTATTCTTATTTTTATTATCTCTTTTTGACTGTTGCACTGAGCCAAAGCAATTTCCAAGTCTGTGACTTCCTGTTACTTACGTGGCAATAAAAATGATTCTGATTCTGATTCTGAAAAATGATTCTGATTATTGAGCGTGGCTAGCTTGGCTAGCTCCGCTAGCTTCTCTCGTTGTACTTGCGGAGTAATGGCAGTATTTTACACACCTGAATTACAAACAGAGATTGCATTGGGGCTTCGGTCATTATTGGTTTGAGAGTTCTGTTATCAAGAAAAAATGATCGGTAGAATTACATTCAAGTCAATGGAGTGTTCTGCTGCTGCTGTGAGGAGCTGTATAATAACTTATAATTAAATATTAGAATATATTCTAATGTTTTAATGAATAAATTCTGATGCGAAACTAGCGGTATTCTTTTACTTATATATTGTGTTAGCAGTGCGTTGCTTTAGTACCATTTCATCAGTGATTGTTGCACAGCTTACAAGAAGTTGTGCTAATGCTAATGTTAGCATACATGTCAGATTGCAAACTGAGCTAGATGGCTCTGTGTTATGAGAGCGTAGGGGAAATGAGAAGCCTTTGAGCGAGTTGGGGGGCGGTGCTAAACATTCAAACATTGCAGAAACGGGTATAGCACCTTTAACATTATACCGCTGTAGAAAACTTTCACACTGGCAAAGAATATGACAAACAAAACTGGAGATGAAATGTGGACAAACCTTAAGCAATATTACCGTGTTATTTTTATTAGAATTCTACAGATGGTGTAAGTAAGTAAGTTAGTAATCTTTATTTATTTACCGTCTTTCACAGACCAGAGTCACAAAGCTGTTTACAATTGTTATTTTTGGGCATTTTGTCTCTCACTGCACACAGAGATGGGAGCGGGGTCGCCGAACAGGAGGCGCATGCCAGACCTATTGTACATATTTTTAGTGGTAGGGGAAACCGGAGAACCCGGAGAAAACCTATGCAGACATGGGGAGATCATGCAAACTCCACTCAAAAAGTGTGTGTGTGCATACGTGTATATGTGCATTTGTATGTGTGTGTGTACTTGTGTGTGTGCATGTGTGTAAACAGTTCCTTGATGGAGAAGCATTTACCATTTCAGCGAAGATGCAGCCCAGGCTCCAGATGTCGACAGCGGTGGAGTAATACTTACAGCCCAGGAGGATCTCAGGGGCTCTGTACCACAGCGTCACCACCTGGAGGGTATTGCACCTTAATTATAACAGCAGCTTACACTTTTGTTTCACAAATAAAAACAGCAGCAGCAGACCGTGCACTCCTATGAGCATATGGTACTGATCTCGCACACATATTCTGTGTCTTTACGTGTGGCCTGGGGGCGAGACGTGTTGGCGTGGTCCATCTGAAACAAGTGAATCCAACCCCGCGAACCGCTTTGCGCGCCTTTCCTCACCTCGTGTGTGTAAGTGCGCACAGGGACCCCAAAGGCCCGAGCCAGCCCAAAGTCGGCGAGCTTGATCTCTCCCTGAGCGTTGATGAGTAGGTTCTGCGGCTTCAGGTCTCGGTGCAAGACGCGATGAGAGTGACAGAAGGCCAGGCCCTGCAGCAGCTGGAACAGGTAACTCTGCAGACACAAGAACACTTGAGGACATGTATCCACAGATTTATGGGAGAGAAAGATCACTGTAGGTTCAATTCATGTGACATCAGGACATCCCGAAGAGCGGTAGTTTCACATTGGTTGACCGCAACATAAATCTCTCTAATGGTAACTGGTAACTGCCAAAATGGACATTCTAGTCTGATTTTAGAGTACATTTTTCAATAATTCCTAACAATCCACACGACATAAAAACTGTCAAGAAGTTCTACATAGTCTTTGCCAGCACATTTCAACTATGTTCTAGTTATTTTCTCTCTGACCAGAGAGAGCGCAGAGAAATACTAGCGGTTACATATTAAGGTTGTAAATAAAAATACGCAAACATTTATGAACTTGTTACAGCCTTGTATAAATATATGCATGTGTGAGAATAGTGAGACTCACTTTGACTAGTGGAAGTGGGATCCCGGTGACGGAAGATGAGTCCATGAATTTCTTTAGATCTTGGTGCAGAAACTCAAAGACCAGGTAGAGTTTGTTCTCTGTGTGGATCACGTCTCTGAGCCTGAAACAATAATGGACATCAAACAGGTAGTAACAGATAGCAGCTCTATCTGTTACTACGGTGACCACTGCTTCTGAGACCCTTGAGGCAATTAAGGATGGGTCAAATATAGAGGACACATTTTTCTACAGGAACAATACCCGAATGAAACACTCATTCCTCTTGTTTGTTCAAAGCATGAGCCGAAAACTCACTTGACAATGTTGGGGTGGCTGAGCTCTTTGAGGAGGGAGATCTCTCTGATGGCCGTGCTGGGAACACCTTCTGTTTCCCTGTAAGAACAATGTGAGGAGTGATTACATCAAGCCTGTCATGTCATATCCTTAGATTAATATTTTAGCCTCCATATCTTCATGTCAGAAAGTCCTTTCTACTGACCAACATCATGCAGAGAGGCAAGAAAGAGACCAGACTGACCAGCGCAAAACCAACAGTCCATTTCCTCAGGCTAAATGACTTCTGAACACTATACCCCCTGCAGCTGTGACCACAGTAATAGTTTAACTGTGTACAGAGTGAATGAATAATGCTGTAACGCGTCCAAAAATCTGAATATAACAATCAATCAATGTATTATTATTTATATTAGAACCATTAATACTGCTACTGTTACGTCCGTAGTGTCTAAATTAACAGCAATACTTATGATCACGTACTAACTCCGTAATCAGTAATAATGACTAGTATTTAGAATGAAAGTAGAATTACACAGGAAATGGTCGACAACTCCACAACAAAGCATCTATTGAGCAAATTTAAATGAGTGCATTTCATCCATCAAAAGCCATAAATGCTTAAATGCGAAATATAAAACAGTAAAATCATAACAGTCAGCCTTGATAAACACAATTGCAAGTTACTTATGAAATGTTACTTACGTATCCAGCCTGATTTTCTTCAAAGCCACAGTTTCTCCCGTCACTTTGTTTTTCGCTTTATAAACCACTCCGTACGTGCCTTCCCCGATCTTCTCCACTTTCTGAAACGCGTCCATTTGTGCGAAAAGTCCAAAACAATGTGTCTATGTCTTTCTTTCCGTTGTTTTTAGCTTTAGCTTCTTTGTGTTGGTCGGACGCTAGCCAACTCACCAATAAACACACGCGTTCACAAACCGAGGGGTACAACTCTACTTCTGAGCGACATTCCGAGGCGACATTAGCTCAAGGGTTCACCCGGGATTTGAGCTCCTCGTTCGGCGTGGAATGGCGAGAACTTTTGGTGTGAAATTGTGAGTTTATTGGCAGTTTCTGTGGTTATTATCTGGACGCGGTAGATGCTCGCAGTGCACCGGTCTTTCCCGCGTCGCCACACAGGGCGTTTGATTATGGCACAGGCAGCGCCAACACGGGCGGAAATAGTTTTAAATGTGTTTTTGAGCTTTTCAAGCTGTTTTTTCCCACTGAAATACTCAAGACAAAGTTTATAATTGTGCTTAGTTGACAACCGTTATGACCTATAACAAAACCGTTGTATTTGGAGTTTAAGCTCAGTTCAGACTTAGAGAACGTTCGCCATGCGAATGGAACGCACCTTCCTGTAGAGACCAGACCTATTTTCTCCAACACAGCAATGCCTTATACTTTATAAATCTAACAAGCTTCCGCACATATGTATGTTTGACATCTTACAAATTATAATTCAATATAGAGTTTGAATTAACGTATTTTTTATACTGTTAGGATATTTTGTAAAGTGTAAAGCTTTGGTAAAAGTATGCTAATTGAGGGGAAATTTTGTGGGGAAAATACATTTCGCAAAGATTTTTCATTATTTTTCATCAAACATTTAAATATCTAATTTAAAATCTATAAAGAAAATTAGAAGGTCACGTTTTGAGTTTGGAGAGATTACACTACATTTCGATAGGATTACTACACCTGCTCCCTCAAGTGGCGGTAGTACAGAGTTGCAGCATTACTTTTTGTTTTCTTTTATTTTCTTTTTTTTTTACACAAGGACCTCTGAACTCTGAAACTAGTAAAATTAACGAATGGAGCACCATGGAGCATGTCAAAATTTCTGCTCTGGAAGTTACAGGTAGAACAACTCATAATTTATGAAATAAAAGATAATTTTGTGAAAATAATGACATATAAAGAAACTACTTATAGAAAACAGAACAAGTCCTCAGTCCACAAATGTACATGAGTCATTACGCTTCAAAAACTAAAAGTTGTCAAATTGACTGCTCTGGGAGCTCATCTATCTTGTGATAATCCATCCAGTGGAGGATAATGTGATGGAAACAGATTTGGTGCAAGCATCAATTTCATGTTATTAATGTGATACTATGTGAGCAAGCAGTTACTTATGGTGTTAACAATTTATAAAAAGTAATTTTCTCATAACCAGAACCACTTACATTGCATTAAAGCTGGGGTAGCTGATGATTTTTACTCCAAAAACCAATGGAACTGCAGTGTAAATCACAATTCAAACCGTAGGGAATAAGATTAGGCAATATTTTTCTTAAACTGTCCAGGGAACTTCCCACCTCTGCACCTTCTCCACCGACTCCCACTGATGACTGCTGTCGTTGTGTCCTTGGGCAAGACACTTAACCCCACTTTGCCCAAAGCCCCCACTGAAAGATCAAGGCTATGCTCACACTCAGAGCAGCCGTCCTCCTGTGGACTCACCACCTGCAGAGGGTCAGTGAGGGGCTGGTGCTATGAGACTTGGGTGGCATCTCTGACTGCCACCCCCCTGACCCAGAAATGGATTAAAGGGTAGAAAATGGATGGATGGATGGATGTCCAGGGTAATTGTTCAACATGAGTAACATTTATAATTGAAAAGAAAACCATGTAAACTTTACTTAAAGAGCGACTAAAGACCAAATCAACTTTTTTAACTCATAAACTGCATAAGTATGTTTATTGTAGTGCTGTCTACATATCCTGGTCATTTTTTTGACATTTTAGTTCAAATAAAATAAAATATCACTTTTGAGCCAAAAAACGCTGTGTGGTGCCCTCTCAACCTTTTTGGTGGTACTAATTGGAATTTGGTTCTGGCCTCTCCATAGCGAACTATCTGAATGACGTCACTAGGCCACGCCCCCGCCGCCTGTCAACTCCCGCCCACATGTTTCGGACAAACACTGCCAAAATGAATCAAATACCTCTTGTCACTTTAGACGAAAATGATAAACCAGGGGCAAAATTCCACCATCAAACCATCAGGGATCATAGTGTAGACCAATTAAAACGTTGGCTTGAATGTCGTGGTCTTCCAGTAACTGGTAGAAAGTTTGATTTGATAAAAAGGTAATGGGGAGGATTATGCTAACATTATCTAGTCATTTAAATTGCAATGTTAGCGCCTTCTTTGTTTATTTTGCTCTGATTAACTTCCATTTATCAAGTTGTTTTTGTACTGTCCATTTCGTAATTAGTTTGATCATTTAGTTAACTACAGTCAGCCGGTATTATAATAGATCCATTGGGTCACAACGGGCTACACCACTACTGTCTCTGAGAGAGAAACTATCGGAGCTAGCCACACTCAGTAAACGCAAACGACAATCAATCAACATATTTAAATGTTAATGCTAGAATATAATATTCATACAACACACGTGCACAGAGGTTTTCAGAATTATCTGTTAAGGTTTTCATGACAAAAATACTTTTTTAATGCGACTAAAGCGATCGCTTTTTTAAAGTAGGTGAACTAAAACCTTTGGGAACTATTTTCTTTGCACTCATTAAATAAACCTTTTGGCATGAATAAAAGTGACTGAAGTTTATTTTGTGTGTTCAGTTGGTACAAAGCCGTATAATAAGCGGACCCCAACGCGCTTCGTCTGTGCTTATTTTCCGATAGTCACGAAGTTGAAAAAATCCCTCTCATCTTTCTTTAGGTGTGAGAATTGTATACATTCTGGATTAGGACAAACAATACTAATATGGATTGATGGGGCTAACTACATTCAGAAGAGCTCAGACGGACCTGATACAGCGGTCCAGGTCCAGTCCCAGCTAAACGTAGCTAGGACTGGATCTGGAGGCTCCACAGTTGGTCCAGCGAAGTGTTTTGAAAAAACAGGTCCTTTTTAACATTTTCATGAGAGAAATTCTGCCGACCACAACCACCCACCTCTTGCACTTGTCCTGGTCTGGTCCTGGTCTGGTCCTGATCTGGTTCGATGGTGTGGTTTAACGAACAGGTTGAATGTTACTGCTTTCATATAGTCCTTTTCAGAGTATCTGAAATCGCTCCCACAAGCACCATAACTGCAGTGTTTTGTTGTCACCATGATTCAATGATTTAGCCCAAATAAATACACACGCTTATGTGGAGAACACAGTAGTACTCAACGGAGTCGGACAGAGTTTGTCCGAAACATGCGCGCATGCGCAGTCATTGGAACTATTTTTAGCACATTTCGGAAACCGGACAGTGCCCTATTGACTCTGAAGTTCTGTATGACATCAGTTGTTTTGTGTGACGTCAGTCTGTCAGAGCCAGTGATGTGAACCCATTCAACTCTCACACACGCCCCAGCTGCATTTTGGAGTATTCTGGCGCCATCTAGTGGATTAAAATTAAATTACATGAGTCATTCTGAGATTATTGAGTGTGATTAGGTTCAGGTGTGTAGCTTTACAATTATCTCAGTGTGTAAACAAGGGTGGAATGAGACTTTCTGGTCTGTAAACTATTGCTTTAAGCAGCAATGACAACTGTCTGTTTTTTGTTGTTGTGACAAGTCAGCTGTCAATCACAGCCCAGACCACGCCCAACTCTAAGCCCCCCTTCTTGTCCCTTGGTCCTCCAGGCAACGCCCTTTTTAGAGAAAATTTTCAAATCTTCAGGTGGGCGGAGTAAGGCTGGGCACAGGTGTTTAGTCGCTCTTTAAAGAGAATGATCCACTATTACTCTCAATTCTTTTGTCAATCCAATTTGACCTAATATGCCCAGAGCTTTGGTGCCTAAATCACTTCCTGAAATACGTCTGGAACCATTTGGCTGAACCATGGGGGACAGTGCCGACCACACTCCAGACAAGGATAGGTATGTGCTCTGGATTCAGCCATGTGTGATCTATGACAACCCCGGGATTTTCAAGGGTTCTGGGTCCAAAAATGAAAAGATAGACTCATCATCAGTAGTCTACCCCAACCCAGACATCTTCAATTGCGGGTACTCCAGAGACAGAGCCTCTACGACAACAGAAAGGGCCATCTCATCTAACTTTGCATAATAATGAGGAAGGTTTTATTAATGATTTGGAGTAAACTTGAATTGTTCTAATGACAGTTAATGTAATTCAATTAAATTGTGGCAATTTGTGTAATGGTTACCATTCACAATTTACAGTGTCTCTAATAACAGTCTCTAAGTCCTGGTTCTAAAATAGTTTGCTTCTGTCTCTTGTTTTCACATCTTGTTATTGCTCTTTTACATTTTTAGACGAGGGCCACAGGATGACAGGACGGCTCCTCTCCTCAGTTGAGGTGGCTCGGGCATCTGTTTGGGACGGACGCTCCCTGGACGCCATTTGTCACGTCAGTCAACCCGCAGCAGCAACGGATCGCTCCCACGTCTCACCAGTCTTTTCTATAAGAGAAAGTGATAAAGAGAGGACCACCCTCATTCAGCTCACAGCCCAAAAGACTCAAATAGTTACTCAGTTTGCAAAAAAATAACAAGTTTTCAGCATGTTGTGGTCTGATTACATGGGAGGAGAACAGTATTCACACAGACCCATTTAACTGAGGTACCTAACTTTATTTCTTGTGTATAATCAACGTTATATTTTGTGGGAGCCCTGTGAGTCCTTTGACTTCGTGGTGGGAGCTGATTGGCTGAGTGAGGGTGGTCCTCTCTTTTTCACTTTTCTGTCTGAAAAAGCAAACTGTTTTGGAGCCGAAAACTAGAGACATGGGTTTTATTAGAGTTACATTTTTTAAGTTTTAAAGTTACATGCCTCAGCTTTAACTATTGCGTCAGAATTTTCCCTCCACTACAACGTCTACTTTTCTGCTTTAATCAAGTCAATCTCCCCCAATTTTCCCAAAGTTATTAATTAGGACTGTTTGAAACTGATTGCTTCCAGATAATCCCACTAAACTCTATAAAACCAAAAAATAACCGTATTAAGAGTAAGAATGGTGGGGGTGGTAAGGTGGGGACTGGTGGGGTCTGGGGTTGTGGTATGCTGGTCATGAGGTGTGTGGGAAGGATTTGTGTCTGAACGCAGAGAGCACATGAGGGGTCACATGCAGAGCAGCAGAGCCCACACAATGGAGACTCAAAAGACCAGCTCCACTCAAAACTTAGCTCACTTGACCTGGACCTGTGAACAGTCCTGGTCTCTGTCCTGGTCCCAGGTCTCTGTCTTGAAGTCCTCTCACAATAGTCTAGTCCTCAGGTCTCTGCACTGGCTTCCTGTAGCTTCCTGTAGAGAATAGACTTTTAAGCAGCTCTGTCTGAAAGTCTCTCCATGGCCTCGCACCAAAGTACATCTGTTCAGATTCAGATTCATTTATTTGCCATTTGCAGTAAAACCACATTGGAAAAACTGTGCAAGACTACCCCAGTGTGCACCAGACGACACACACCAGAGCTCTTGCCACGGCGCCATCTTTACGGCGCCATGCGATCTGTGACATGTTAGTGCCATATGAACCAACTCAGACTTTGAGGAGCACAGGGACTGGTCTCCTGCTGGTGTCCAGAACTAAACATCTTTTAGATTTATGCAGCTAAAATCTGGAATAGTCTTCCTGAAAATGTGAGACAGGCTTCTACTCTGACAGTGTTCAAATCCAGATTAAAAAAAACATTTCTGTTTCAAGCCAATCCAATCCACTTATACAGGACATTTCATAAACACAGTTTCCAAAGTGCTGCACAAAAAAGTCCATAGTAAAATAGTATATAAATCATTAATTGTACATACAACTGAATGATTGTATCTTTTTTAATGCACTTTTCATGATATTATTTTATTCTTCCCTTTCCTTGCCACTTCCATAGACTTTCTGTGAAGAAATTAATGAAGATGGCAGAGACTGATGTGCTTCTAATATTCAACACTCTAACTTAAAGCTACACCACAACTAATAAAAGTTATGTCTCTAGTCCCTGGCTCAGTTTCTATCACTAGTTCACGAGTTTTCTCATGCACGGGTTTATTGCCTCTTTCACATCTTTAGATTAGTTTTTTCAGACAGAAAAGTAAAATAAAGAGGACCAGGCAAACTTAGCCCAAAGACTCAAACAGTGACTCTCAGGGCTCTTTCTTACACAAAAGAAAAATCATTTTCATAGAAGATCAAGACCTGGTGTTTCTCTACATGAGTACATGATATTCACGAGACACAGATGTCAGGTGCCCCAGCCTTAAAGGAGATATATGACGCAAAGAGTAAATGAGAATCAGAATAATTTAATAAAGACCAATTTTGTTTTAAAATGTATTTTTCTGGTATAGCAGGAATGCTCATAGCTCAACTGTGCTACATACAAAGACATACAAAAAAACACATAAACAACATCAGGGACATTTCACATCAGGGATTGGTAGTGTGAGTCTGTGATGGATGTGGGTTCGTTGTCGATGGATAGTTGTGATGAAGTAGAGTAGAATGAGTGTCTTGGTCTTGTCTTGTTTCTTGACATTTGTGCGAATGTATGAATGTGGTTTGCCCAGTGGAAGTCCGCTGCAGAACCTTCGTCAAGTCAACCATCAAGCTTCTTAAGGATCTTGGTATTCGAAGCCAAGCTCAACGACCGGGATAGTTCCATCTAGTCCTACAACAGAACAGAACTGTTTGTGTGTGTCATTTTCTGTTATGTGTTTTGTTGGGGGAAGCAGTTGTGTGATCATGAATGAGTTGGAAGAACACCTGCATTTGTGTAAGGTGAATACTATAATGTAAAATGTGTTTTAATTGTGTTAAAAGTCTCCTAGGGACGGACATTGCAAATTAGCCTGGCAATAAATGTTGTAGTGTTTCCCATGTTTGTCCCTATCAAATAAATCAATAAATATATTGTAGGGTTTCCATTCTTTTTTTGTATTGTATTGTAGTGTGCTTGAATGGCGATTGGATGGGAGGGGATTGAATTAAAAAAAGCTTTTTGCTTCGACCAATCCCTTTCAAACTATGCGCTGCTCTTCTTGTTTACTCTTATCTCTTTTTTTCCCTATGAATTTTTTTTTTTCAACAAAATGAGAAATGAATGAAGTAGAGTAGAGTAGAGAGTAGAGCCAAGAAGAGCTGGGGGAAACTGGGCTTAAATCTGCCACTAATTTACAACAGATGGAACGGTTGCTACTTCTAGTCATCTCTTATTAGAGTTTTCATCTTTATCCTGAAGTTTCTTGAGTTTCCTGGTTCAGCCCCAGGTGTGGTCTTGTGATGCTGCTGCTGCTGCGTCAGACGTCACAGCCACATGACCAAATACGAGGACAAAATATGAATGAACAAGAAGAGAACAACGACAAAGAAGTGATGTCTGTTCTGGGAAATGATCATCTGTCTTCACTGTGGGGTCAACAGACACAAATGTACAGATCGTTCCAATGAGTAATTACTAATAATGATACTTATTTAAACAATGACAATAACATTGATCTAAATTGTGGTATTTTTTCTCAAAATACTGAGCTTTTGGAGAGTCTCTGTCAGTTTAAAAGAATAATACATGTAACAGAGGAGAAAGAGAGACCAGAGAGGGACAAGAAAGAGACCAGAGAGAGTCCAGAGAGAGACAAGAGAGAGACCAGAGAGAGACCAGAGAGAGACCAGAAAGAGACCAGAGAGAGACCAGAGAGAGCTCAGAGAGAGACCAGAAGGAGACCAGAGAGAGCTCAGAGAGAGACCAGAAGGAGACCAGAGAGAGACCAGAGAGAGCTCAGAGAGAGACCAGAAGGAGACCAGAGAGAGACCAGAGAGAGCTCAGAGAGAGATCAAAGAGAGACAAGATAGAGACCAGAGAGAGACCAGCGAGAAACCAGAGAGGGATCAGAGAGAGACCAGAAAGAGAACAGAGAGAGACCAGAGAGAGACCAGAGAGAGACCAGAAAGAGACCAGAGAGAGAACAGAGAGAAACCAGCGAGAGACCAGCGAGAAACCAGAGAGAGACCAGAAAAAGGGACCAGAGAAAGACTGGAGAGAGAGTTGCGGACAAGAGAGAGAGAAACCCGAGAAAGACCAGGGAGCGAGGCCAGAGAGAGACCAGGGAGAGAGACCAGGGAGAGGGACCAGAGATAGACCAGAGAGAGACTAGACAGAGAGACCGAAGAGAGTGAGAGAGAGACCAGGGAGAGACTAGACAGAGAGACCAGAGAGAGTGAGAGAGAGACCAGAGAGAAACCAAGAAGAGAGACCAGAGAGTGGGACCAGAGAGAGAGAAAACTAGAACATCATAGAAATCACTGGTCATATGCACTTTAAGCGTAAAAACCCTGGACACAACTTTTTGGGGCGGGCTTCGATGACATCACAGATCAGAGGGGTTTTGATTTTGTTTAAAGAGGTGGAGCGGCCTTAATCCTGGTCTCAGTCCTGGTCCTGGTCCTGGTCTCCACCACAGACCTCTTCAAAATGACGTCTTGGATACTACTTCTCCCGCTGCTGCTGCTGTCTCTGTCCGAGGCTGATGCACGTGAGTGAGCGCAAAACCCATTCCTTCTGCTTAATTGTGAGAGTTTACAGATTCAAACTGTGACAGACTTATCAAACAACCCAGTGAGAAAGTGTCTGGAACCAATCCCAAACACAACTTTGGATCAGCGATTTCACGGCTGTTGTCTGATAGAAGACACTTTGACTTATGTTGGTGATGTGTTTAGAAGCCATGAGTTCACTGTTTATGACATGTTGTGTGAAGATATTCAGCTGTACCACATAAATGCAGATTCTAAACTTATATTTAAGTTTCCTGTTTAAATAAAGGTTTATGAATACATATTCATTGACCTGGGGTAACACACAGAACATTCTTTAATATATTTGAGAATTATTTAATATTTTGACCTCAAGGACACACACTTACACGCATACAGACTCACAAACGCACACAAATGCAATCAGCATATAGTAGAGAAGCTGAGTGGTTAGCACTCTCGGTTCTGAACAATCAGGTCTTGGGTTAAAATCCTGTGTACTGAGTGGAATTTGCATGTTCTCTCCATGTGCTCTGGGTTCACTACATGACAATCTGTAAAATTCTAGACCTCTGGTCCTGACCAAGAGCATCAATATCTAAAGATGGGCCCCTGAACCACAGTGACTCCTGCTCCTAACAGAGGTCCATAGCTGCAATGAAGGATGGGTTAAATGCAGAGGACAAATTTACTCTGAAAATTAATTGGCATTATCACCAATACAACTTAAACACTCTTCATCTGTTAATCTGACTTTGTGCTGTCAGACGTCAACACTAAATCCAACTCAAAGTCAACATGAAGAGGTCAAGTGCTGCTGACAGCACACTACAGCTCCTCTCTGAAATTAATTCGAACTGGATGTGTTCCGATGAAACACAATATTATTTTAGAAATAAACTCAACTTATGTTTTCATCTACTGCCTTTATTTTAAACCACAACACATGGACTGTCCGACTGTGAGCTCGACATGTCGATGAATGGAAACTTCTGGTTCTTGGTTCATAAAGTAAGTCCCTTTTCTAATCTGTTCTGAGAGTGTGATCGTGACACATGTGGATTAAGCACACACTCCCTGTAATGTTGAACTCTTAAACCCGACTTGGGTCTACTCTATTCTACTTGGCTCCACTCGACCTAGTTCTGTTTTCATTATGCTTTAGGATCTGGTACCGTATCCTAGCAACCTACCCTCAGCAAACCAGTATCCAGGAAAATTCCTTGGACACCATGGCTTCAGGAAGCACTGCAGCCAATCACTGTTGGAACATTTAGAACCAGCTTGGCCTGGAACAAACCAGGGCCGAGAGGGACTAAAGAAGGTTATGGCACCGGTTAAACAGGGCCGGTGTAAACGCTCCCAATCCCGGGAAAGTCGAGTAGTGTAGATAAGAGTAAAGTAGAGAAGGGTAGAGTAGAATAGGATATAGTAGGGCTGGTGGAAACGAGGCAGTACTGAGCCTATTCATTACTATCAAAATCCAAATTAAATGTTAGTATAGACCGACAATTATGTACTGGGTTCGTTGTTTTTTGACTGTGTTGTCGGTAGAGAGGTTTAGTCCCCAGGGAGTCCCAGTTTCCAGTGTCATCCAGCCAACTTCCACTCCACCATTGCACACATGCTATAACTCCTAATAAAGCTCAGAACTTCCTCCAGGTTCTCCGGTTTCCCCTACCACTAAAAACATGTGAGAATTGAATGAGTGTTTGTGACTAAAGATGGAAATTAGCTACTTCGCTACAATCTGGTGTATTTACTGCTCCTGCTGTTCATTTATACACACAGACACAGTCCCATCCAAATAAACAAAGAAATATGAAATAGTTTTAGAATTCGGGTTGTTGTCCAGCAGTCAAGTCAAGGGAACTAAAGAGGCTCTGTTATGACATGGGTATATCAGTAATTCTCCTGGCTTTATGTTTGGAGTAACTGCGGGAGTTTTTACAGCCCCCCCCCACCCTTGGCGGGCAGAGCCGGGGGGGACCTCTGGATGAACGTGGAGCTCAGCTGACAATCACATGAAGGGGATTGTGGGGGATTGTGTGGGATTCAGGGCCGTGTGACTGAGACACACCTCACTCAAGTATGCAACTCTACAACATCACTCCAGTCCAAAGCACTCGGGTCGAGTATGCAAAACCACAGGTTTCTGTCACTCACAATTACACTTATATATTTTCATTCATGCCTGACATAGTGGTGGTAAGTTTTTACTGTAGCCACACCGCATGTGAGGGGTGGTCTGGGCTTGTTTAAGGGACTATCTGTAACATGCACTCGGTCCAACATTTCACTTTGGTCGCATGTTGCTCCAGAGCACAGATTAATAAAGCAATCCACCTGCTGGAGTTTAGCTAGAAGTGGCACAAACTGTATGTTACATAGGATTCTTATTTTTGTATAATTTCATTTAAACAGATACAGTACATGGTGCTATGTTCTGTTTGTGAATTCTGTTATTATTCTTAAAAAACAGGGGACACATGTGTGTACATGTGACCTATTATCTGGGGACACAGGTAAAACATGTAGAAGTAATTTAAAATGGAAATATTCCACTCTGTCCCTTTAAATTTCAGTGTTGTGTGTTGCAGGGCTAAGGTCTCAGTTTAGTCGGTATCGCTCCTGGAACACACGCATGTATCCGGCCTGGAGAGACGGAGACCCCCGCTTTAGAAACTGCTGGAGAGGTGAGCTGTGACTTCTGCTGCAACTACTGCTACTGCTACTGAAAGACCTGCAGAACCTCTCCTTCACACAGCGAGGGTGAATCAGTCTGTCACTGAAGCTGCTTTGGAGAAGGTCCAGCATAGACGTTTGTTTGTCCAGGACTCTCCTGTCCTCCACCTGCTACTGTGTGCAGGCGACAGCCCAGGACAGAGCTGGACTTCATAATGACCTCGTCCAGCTTCTTTCTGTCTCTCTCTGTGAGGCTGCTGTTCCAGCAGACCACACCGTGCAAGAGAGACCAGGGTGACCAAAGAGAGACCAGAGAGAGTTCAGCAAAGAGACAGAACCTCAACTACCACAAAAGACTCCAAGATGCAAAAGGGCAACACCACGCTAGTGGAAATTGGGGGATGGAGACTTATGATCAGGGACAGAAGAGTTTATATAACCTCAGTATCATTTTAACAGAGAAAACATTTATTCAACAAAAAATGACTGCACACAACTACCCACAGATAGTGAAAAAGCTCTTGCCTTAATCCCCAAAATATGGCCAATATATCAAAAGATGTCTGCCTGGGTGTGTGAACTGTGTTTTGTTTTATTTATGCTGTCTAATGTTTTTTAGGCGGGAATGTGACCTTTGACTTGAAGAACGATGCTCCGACTCTGACTGGAGCCAAAGTCTCTTTCAGCATCAACTTAAACTTTCCCTCAAACCAAACGGTGCTCTCAGACGGGACAGTGGTGTGGGCCCAGAACTGCACTGTGGACGGTGAGGACCAGGAACACATCAGCTGCTACTGCTGCTTATGTTACTACTACTACTACTACAGCTAGTGCTACTACTATAACTACTACTACTACTACGACTATTACTACTACTACAGCTAGTACTACTACTACAGCTATTACTACTACTATAACTATTACTGGAATTACTGCTGCTAAAGGTGATGCTATAAAGAGTAAACTGTTCCTAATGTCTGCTCGTCTGCTGTGTTGCAGGACAGCAGTTCCAGGCCGGACAGTCTGTTTACCCAGAGGCTCAGGGGGCAGCAGTGTTTCCTGATGGGACCCCAATCAGAGGCCAGAGGCGCCCACAGAAATACATCTACGTGTGGAAGACCTGGGGTGAGCTCCTGTCAAGGTTCCCCACTGTGGGACGAATAAGAGATCTATAAATCTTAAATACACCTTGACCGGGTCTCCAAGATGTCTGCTCATTCAGATCAATGGCCTGTGCACATTGGCTCATGCTTGCACTATGGATATCCCAAACATTAGCAGAAGTGACACAAATAAAAGATCACTTAGGCTATATCCACACGAAGACAAAACGCTTATAATTTCAGAAACTTTTTCTGTAAACACGGAGTTAGCTCAGTAAATGTGTGCGTCCATATGAATGTAGTCAATACGCCTGAAAACGCTGTGAAACTATGCCAGACCTGTTGGTGGCGCTGTGACGCAATGACGGGATCAAGCCCAAACTTCCGTGGGCATGCGCGGAATTTTGTAAACAGACAACATGGCGAGTGGGCGAGCTGGTACTACATTAGTATGGACGGACGATGAGGTTGAACTGTTGCTTCGGGTCACACTGGATTACAAAACCAACAAGCTACATTGTTGTTGTCATTATTTTCTGAGTGCGGCGCATGCGTGCTTTAACAAGAGGCGGGGCGATGACGCAAGCGTCTCAGATACATTGCGGAGAGGCAGTAACCACGGAGCGGCATATACGGAGTTTTGAAATCTTTCCACTCTGGGACCTACTTTCAAAAATGTTCGTTTACACCCCCCCAAAACGCCGGTCTCGTATGGACGATACACTGGATTGATAAAGTATTTTTGCGTTTAGGCCTGAGCTTGACTTCGTGTGGACAGGGCCTTAATCTTCTGGTTCTCCTGGTCTTGTGCAGTAGGTGTGCTGTGGTTCTACTTCCACAGGACCAGAGTAAACGTTGCTCTCATGCTCGTGCATAATCAGCATGCCGCAAATAGACCATAGAGAGAGACCAGAGAGAGACCAAAGAATGAACAGAGAGCAAGGCCAGAGAGAAAGACCAGAGAGTGAAATCCAAGAGAGGGTTAGGGTTAGGGTGACAGTGCAGTGTGGTAACTGTGTCACATGGCTTAAAGCAGGTTCTTTGGACCCGGGTTTAAAAAGGAGACCACTGGGTTAAAAGCAAATTAAAATACATAAAAAAGCAATTAAAACAATAAAACCCTAGGCTATAAAAACGCGGACTAAAAAGCTAAAACCGAGGCTAAAAACCCTTCTGGCCACAGCCTGGGCCCCCAGACCAAGGGGCTCTCCCCACGCCCGTCTGGCCCACGTCTCCGTTCTCTGCTGTCTCTTTCACCGCCCCCTCCCCATGTCCTTTTGTACCGTGGCACAGGTGTTCTAATTGTTACGTGGGGAGCCAGGGTGCTTCAGGTGGTGCAAGTTTAAAATCAATGTTAAAAACACTCACAAACACAACATGCATAAAATATAAATAAAACCATATTAAAACCCACCACCCATTTTGCACCCACCGACAACTGCATGGGTTTTTGCAGGTCGGTTCTGGCAGGTGGCAGACGGCCCCTCCTCGTCTCTGTCCATCAGCACTGAGAACATCCCCATGGGCTCCTACAACATGGAGCTGGTCATCTACCACCAGAGAGGAAAGGACAACTTCATCCCCCTGGGCTATGCCTCCTCCATGTTCGCCATCACCGGTAACTCCTACTACTCCTCAAACTATTCAGTTCAATGTATTTCTGTATCACCCTAAACCACTACAGCAGTTCAGAGATCAGAGAATCAAACAGTTCAAACACAGGAAATTCAATAATAACAAACACATAGGAGCCATTGGTCCATAGGGGACGGGATGACCAATGTCCATATATTTTAATACATGTATCATCACTGTTCTTCAACTCTGGTGCACGGGCATGGAACCAAACCCGGCCTGTAGATCTATGGACTGAGGTTGTAGAACAAGGGCTAACACTGTAGAACGAGGGCTACCGCTGTAGATACCGGACTGAGGCTGTAGGTCTCTTCTAATATAATAGTGTTATGTCAAGATTTATTTTACACCTGACCTTTATCCAAATCAATAGATGGTTTGAATGGGAGAGAGAAAGAGAAAGAGAGAGAGAGAGAGAGAGAGAGATGAATGTGCTTAAGCTTTCAGATCTCTTGACCTTTGTCCCCTTCCCTCTCAGACCAGGTCCCCTTCACCATCTCCATGAGCCAAGTGAACGACCTGAACGCCCAGGACCAGAGCTTCATCCAGAACCGCGCCGTGGCCTTTAGCGTCAATCTGCACGACCCGAGCCAGTACCTGGGATCTGCGGACCTAAGCTTCACCTGGGACTTCGGGGACAACACGGGCACGCTGATCTCCAGGGAGCGCACGGTCACACACACCTACCAGAGCGTGGGCGCGTTCAGGCCTCAGGTCATCCTCATGGCCAGCATCCCCACCTGCGGAGTGCCCACTGCAGGTGAGGAGCACAGGGAGGTCTCAGCAAGGAACACAAAAACTACTGAGCGAGGAAACCACTCCCATGGAAGGACAGTTTGTGTGTGTGTGCGTGTGTGTGTATGAGAGAGAGAGTGTTTGTGTTTGTATTGTGTGAGCGAGAGGGGTTAGAGCCCAATACACATTTGCTTTGTCCAACTCCTTTTCAAACCGTCTTTTTTCACATTTAACTTTGGCTTCTTGTTTGTTTTATGTTAGGCTGTGGGACAAATATATGTTTGAAATAAATACTTACTTACTTACTAGTCTGTAGATCCTGTACTGAGACAATAGCTGAGCTGCAGTCCTGCACTGCACAGGACTGAAGATGCTCCCGGGCAGGGAGGGGGGAACCAGGTTATTGCAGGAGTGCTAATTTACACAGACTAAAGTAGATGGAGGGGCGACAGTGGCTCAGTTGGTAGAGCACTGGCCTTTGGGCCTGAAGATTGTGGGTTTGAGCCCACCACAAGACCTACTTCAGGCCTCCCACTGATGTCTGTTGTCGTTGTGCTTTTCCTGAAGCCCCCGCTGAAAGATCAAGGCTCCTGTGGACTCACCACCTGCAGGAGGATCATTGAGGGGCTGGTGCTACGTGTACTGGGTGCTGGGTACTCTGACTGCCCCCCCCCCCAGAAATTAATGGGGAAGAAGATGGATGGATAAAGTAGATGGACCATCAATTACATGCATCATCAGACTGTTTAGCAAGAGTTACAATTTAATTTAAAGGGGACATAACCTACTTTAACACTGTTACAATCTAATTACTTTAATGAAAGACAATGAAGACAAATGGAAGAAAGACAGGAGCGTTTAGCGTCTGTTGCTGATATTAGTGTGGTTAGAGCTTAAAACTACTCCAGGTGTGGTGTGTAGTGTAGTGACAAGATTGATTGATGGTTTTGCAGTGGTCCCAGTGGATTCCTCTGCGTCGCCTGTTGTGGTGGTGGTCAGTCCAGCTGCTGTCCCTGATGCCGAGGCTCCTGCTGTGGACACAGCTGTCGTCCCTGAGACCGACACGACAGGTGAGCTTCCGACCGCTGCCACAGCACCCCCTTGTGGCATAAGCAGAGCTATTACAATACTATTACCCACTTAGGTCTTTCCATTTTTAGTGCTTACCTTAGCTTTAGCTGTTTATAGTTTCCCATAAACGGAGTTGATCAGTGTATTACTTGAGTCACATGACCCGCGGAGAAGAGACAATTGTGAAAAAGTGTGTGAATATCCATATGAGTGAGTACATTATCGTCTACTAATGTCAGACCCATAGTGTGTGGGTCTGACATTAGTGTGTTAGAAAGTAGAGGGTCTGGCTGGTCAGGCTAGGGTTTGGGTGGACATGAGGCGACCCAAGATGTCTGCCCATTCCAATCAATGGCCTGTGCTGACTACCGTCTGCTTTCACCATGGAGGCTGAAATATGAGTTAAAGTGATGCATTTTGGTCTGGTCCCACCTCTGGGCACTTTCGCAGGTTGAGCTGAAAACTTAAGCATTCTGAACAATGAACATGTGAGCGTTTTGACCAATCAGTGCTGACTGTAGAGGGACCCGACCATTGAGAAAGCTGTAGGTTCTATGAAGCTAAGGACGAGCCTTTTTTGTCACATTGAGGTCTATGGGGGAGTTTCTCATGTGACTAATGTCACCAGGGCTACATGAGAAGGGGAGGGCCCTGGCTTAAGCACAAAGGGCCTGGCTTAAGGGTCAGCACTAGATCATGTACGGAATCGCGACGGATGAGGAAGTAAATATAACAAACTACCTATTAATTCCTAAACTTAACCAGCCATTCCCATAAAATAACCCCAACCCAGCCTTAACCCTAACCTTTACCATTTTACTCAGAAGCCTAAAACTTAACCAGTCACCACTTAAGGACTTTTTTGTCTAAAACTAATTCGAAAGTATGAGTGTTACTTCCGGTTTCGTCCCGATTCCGTATATGATCTAGTGCCGACCAGTGGGGGCGGGTCCCAGCTCAAAAGTGGCCAAAATGACGTGCGCTGACATGCTTGCAATACCACCCCGGGCCGTTGGGGGTGGACCCAGAAGAAGAATTAGCCAATGCTAACATATAGCATTGGCAGAGCTCTCAAAAACGTCTTTACAGGATGGACCAAAAGTTGGCTCTTGGCCCAAAGCTCCGTTCCACATGTGTGTCAATGCTGAGGGGGTGATTTTTTTTGGTCCAGTCTAGTTTACTCGCGGGGAATTTTTGAAGTCTCTCGTTCAAATGAATGGAGCTGCGGCAACTGACGCATGCGCAGATGCGTTTTTTCACAATTTTCTTGTGGGCGGGACCACTCGCGGCCATCTTGGATTGCTCCATGAAAGCACTTTTCATGGCCAACTCCTATGAACAGCGGAGATAGGCGTGACTCTGTCCGTTAGTATATACAGTCTATGGTATTCTCGCGGACTTTGGGTTGGAAAATCTTGCTGGGATTTGGCAACCTATGGGAGCCGTGTGCTTCGATGTGAGTTGTTGAAAGCAGACTTCATTCAAGATAACGGACAAGTGGTCTATCCAATCACATACAAGGATTTTTTTACAAGGCCCTGCCTTCTGAAATCCAACCACTATGGCTCAGTACCAGACTCATGTGTGAAGTGCAGCGAACTACATGGGTCTGGCGAGAGTCAGGCTAGGCTTAAGCAGCTACACCCTCCACATCATAAAATATAATAGAAAGCAGAACTCATCAGTAGAGCTCCCCTGCAGCTCTCTTCAGAAAATACATTTACGGTATTGCTTTGAAGAGTCACAGAACACAAACTTGTCCAATAGACTATACACATCTGTGTTGTAACATTTTCATCATACTTATTGTAGAAACTGGAGATGATGCTACAGCTGATGCTACCGCCGATGCTACGGCTGATGCTACCGCCGATGCTACGGCTGATGCTACCATTGATGCTAACACTGATGTCGCAATTGATGCTGCAGTGGACGACAACACCGAAGCTACCGTCGATGCAACTGCTGATGCCGCCGCCGATGCTGCCACTGATGCAACAATTGATGCCACTACCGATGCTACAGCTGATGCTACTGCTGATGCTACTGCTGATGCTACAGCTGATGCTACTGCTGATGCTACAGCTGATGCTACAGCTAATGCTACCGCCGATGCTACTGCTGATGCTACAGCTGATGCTACTGCTGATGCTACTGCTGATGCTACAGCTGATGCTACTGCTGATGCTACAGCTGATGCTACTGCTGATGCTACAGCTGATGCTACAGCTGATGCTACTGCTGATGCTACAGCTGATGCTACAGCTGATGCTACCGCCGATGCTACAGCTGATGCTACTGTTGATGCTACTGCTGATGCTGCCACTGATGCTACTGCTGATGCTACTGCTGATGCTGCCACTGATGCTACTGCTGATGCTACAGCTGATGCTACTGCTGATGCTACTGCTGATGCTACTGCTGATGTTACAATTGATGCTGCAGTCGACGATGCTAACGCCGATGCTACAGCTGATGCCAACGCAGTTGAAGCAGCGGTGGAGGAGGCTGCAGTGGTCGACACTGAGGCGGCTGAAGGTACTAGTTTTTTTAATATCAACAGTTTATGTTAATACATATACATTCATCCCAGTCTTTAACAGGAGACTCGTAGTACCAGATCTATTTTAAATTAAAACATGTGTTATCATACGAATGTCGCTGTTTTGAATCCTTTGCCATAAAAACGTGAAACTGTTTACTCTCTGTGGCTTTGATAATATTTGATAATAATCTGTGGGTTTGTTTTCTTGGTCAAAACTGATCTGAATTGACTGAATAGACTTAAAGCGTTAGCTTAACTTTTCTGGACAATCACGGCGGATAACGAGGTTAAAAACAAACGTCTTCGGAAGATTATAACATCCTTATGTCTGTATTTTATAACAAGTCGTGTTCATAATTCAATAGTAAAGTATAAAGCAGGTACTTATCATAGACACATGTAACTGAAAGTGAGCTTGTGTGAGCGATGCCAACAGTGACTTGTAAACAGAGCGTACACAAAGAAAGGATTTGTCGCATGCTTTGTAGTAGGCGTTCCCTCTCCGGAGCACATGTATTTAAAAAAAAAAAGTGGAGCGGGCGGTTCTTTCCTAAAATCCTCTTGTATTCCTTTGACTTAAATGAAATGTAACTAATCTTTAACATGCTTTAAACATAATGTCTCTTTATCCAGTGTGTTCTGGTAAAGCAGCTTAAAACCAGTCAATTCAACCGATAAAATCCAAAGACTTATTGTCAAGCAGCAGAGAAACGTGCAGTTATGGATTAGTTAGCAGATGGCTTTCTCATAAGAAGATACTATTTTGTCCATATTCCAACCGTGTGGACAGTCCTCAGAGTGGTCATGCGCCGTTCCTGTGACATCTGTTGTCAGCGGTTTTATACAGTGACTGCTCAGCAATGTGTGGATCAGAATGAGCCCAGAGAACAACAGACTTAACCGTGTGAACTCTGACCCTCTGTTCCTGATGTTCTCATTCCAGATGTTGCTATGGTTGAAACTGTAGAGACTGAGGACACCGTGGACACAGCTGTAGCTGAAGCCGAGGCCACAGAAGGTGACAATGCTCAATATAATGATATGAGTCAAATTTGTGTATCGCCCTAAATCAAAACAGCAGTGTCGAAGGACTTTTACAAACAGATTAGAGAATCAAACGGCAAACACAACGGGAGGACCACTGTCCAGAAATTTTAATAAATGCAGAAAAGTCCCAATCATCACTGTTAGGGCTGGGACAACGCGTCGACGTAATCGGTGACGTCGACGCAAAAAATACACCGACGTATAATATGCGCGTCGGTGCGTCACACACAAAACAAAGATGGCGGCGAGCGGTAGCAATGCGAGTGCCGTGTTAGAGAAGTGCAAGCCGGTGTAACGCCGAGATACACTGTATTGAAGAGATGCACTGCCTCAGCTGTTTATGATGTAATGCAAACCTGCGCATGCGCGTCTCACGGCAACCGAAGCAAACCAAGATGGCGGACCGTGAATTGCTTTAAAAGTTGAAATACGAACGAATTAAGACACGAATGTCACTTTTAATGCAATTTGAGGTGAGATGTTGATGGTTCCGTTTTGTCACATGTGGGTTTTAAGAGTCAAAGTTTTGTGCAAAGTTTAGTTTAAGCAGTCAACTGCGCCTGTGAAACCACAAAGCTAATGTTTTCATAGCAGTCCGCGGCTGCTGACGTAGGCTGATGACGCGTCCTGTGGCAACTCTACAGCTTACAACTAGTCTGTCTTTCTTTGTATCAAACGGAATATTGGCGCCCGTAATAGCCCCTACATGTATTATTCACTGTCATGCCCGCCGTATATGGACATTTTTCAACATGTGTTCAATCTCCTTAATGTGTTTAACTGTTGATTGATTCTCTGATCTGTGTTGGTGACTTCAATGTTGTTTTAAGTCCTCTGAGATGACTTCTACTGTATTCTTTCAGTAACTCTAAAAGAAAGGATGACTGGTTGACCTTTTTATTTGCTACACAATGCATTTTTTTTCTCTTGTACACTCTTACTTGAGTTTTATTTTTGAATTTTGAGTTTAAGAAAAAGGTGAGTGGCAGTTTTGACTGTTATTTTTATATGAATGAAGAATTTAAGAGATGCACTTTAATTAATGGACTTCAGTAATATAGGCCTGTAGGAGCCACATATTAGCTTTTTCTGTATCTACACGGCTGAGGGCTCACGCACTGTCCTAGTTTGTCCACTGGGTGGCAGTTTAGAGTGTCTCTCAATTAGGCTGCACCTGTGTTGGGCTTAAGAGGGGCATGTGCACACCTGTGGGATTAGGCATCATGGCAGGGTGAGCACGGGCTGCTACTTTCTGTTGACCGTAAGCAACATTCTGTACATCCATCATCATCCGGAAGGGCAACTGAGTCAACTCCACGAAACATCAAGTAAGTCCCTATCCGCATACGAATGAATCTACGCGTCAGCAACAAAGCCCGTGTCTTAGCCTGCCGCGGCGTATTGCCTCAGTTTGGACATTTACGCCGCAATAAGGCCTATGTGTCTTCAACTTAAATGTTAAACTCTGTTGGTTCAGGAAGGATGCCATGACAGGCTGATGGCTCCCACTGTTTTTGCTGGAAAAGCACTCTTTGTTTAGCTTAAAGCCTTCAAGTTTACATTGGTTACTGTTTTCTTTTAGTTGCTCTACACAAGTATTTGGCTGAACTTTTTCATATTTTTATTGAATGCTAAGCATCAAATGTTTGTTTCAAGAATGATAAGATGCACTTTTTTCAGTAAGCTGTGTTTTCAAGGCTTTAAGGTTTTATGCTACCTCTAAGAATGTCTTATTTTTGAATTTTAAGAGCAAGCAATAAATATTTTTTGTGAAGGAATTCATGTTTTTTTCATTAAAATATTTAAATCAACATGTATACATCAATATTAGTCAATTAATGGGGAGATAATCGAGAATCGAATCGAATCGAAATCGAATCGAAGCGAAAAAAATAATCGTTAGATTAATCGATGCATCAAAAAAATAATCGTTAGATTAATCGTTTAAAAAAGAATCGTTTATCCCAGCCCTAATCACTGTCCTTAGACACTCGGTAAGGAACCACTCAAAAACCCAGAGGGAAAAACAAGAGAAACCTTGAGGAGGCCCATATTGAGAGGCTGTAAATCCAGGACTGAGGATGTAGATCCAGGACTGAGGATGTAGATCCAGGACTGAGACTTCAGATCCTGGACTGAGGCTGCAGATCCAGGACTGAGACTTTAGATCCAGGACTGAGGCTGCAGATCCAGGACTGAGACTTTAGATCCAGGACTCCGGGTGTAAAACTAGGACTGAGGTTATGGCACCAGGGCAAACCTCTATCCTTCAGAGTCCAGGGATCAGAAATAAGACAAATGATTAGTTCACTCTGTGAGAGACGTTTTTGTTTGAAATGGGTTGGAAAGACAATGACAATTTTTTTTGTCTGGTTTAGTTGCTGATGCGGAGGCTGCTCCTGCTACAGAGGAGGCTGAAGCTGCTGTAGAGGCTGAAGCAGAGGTGGTGGAGACAGAAGCAGAGGTGGAAGCTGACAACACGGTGGCTGCCACTGTTGCTGCAGGTGAGAGATCATAAGAGTATGAAAGTTCTTTCGCTTCCTCAATTGCCGGGGGCAGCAGAGATGCCCAGACTTGCCTATCCACACAAACTTCCTTCAGCTCATCCAGGGGGACCCCAAGGCGTTCCCAGGCCAGCTGAGAGACATAGTCCCTCCAGCGTGTCCTGGGTCTTCCCCGAGGCCTCGTCTCGGTGGGAAGTTCCCGGAACACCTCCCCAGGGAGGCGTCCAGGAGGCATCCGGAACAGATGACCGAGCCACCTCAACTGGTTCCTCTTGACGTGAAGGAGTAGCGGCTCTACCCATAGTTCCTCCCGTGTGATTTCGACCGCTTGTATCCGCGATCTCGTTCTTTCGGTAATTACCCGAAGCTCATGACCAGTAAATTTTGAGCTTTGCCTTTTGATCGGTGCAGCGTGCAGCACCGATCCGCTTGTCAATCTCACAATCTCATGCTTCATCCTTCCCTCGTTCGTGAACAAAACCCCAAGATACTTGAACTCCTCCACTTAAGGAAGGACCGCTCCACCCACCTGGAGAGGGCAAAGCACCTTTTTCTGGTCGAGCACCCTGGCCTCGGATTTGGAGGTGCTGATTCTCCTTACCGGGGAGGCTGAGGAGTGTGATTCCACGATAATTGAAACTCCGGCCCCCCTTCTTGTAGAAGAGGGACCACCACCCTGCCACGCAATGTTAAGAGACTTAAGATAGACAGGACAGATCTCATCCACTCCCAGAGCCTTGCCACAAAGGAGGCTGCAATGTACCTTGATGACTTCAGCCAGGGAGATGGAAGTATCCGCCCCAACATCCTCAGTCTCTGCTCTGCCTGGAATGTGTGACGGGGGGATTGAGGAGAACCTCAAAGTATTCCTTCCACCGCCCGACCATATCCCCAGTCGAGGTCAGCAGCTCTCGACCTGCACCGGTGTAGGAAAAGCACTGCTTCCCCCTCTTGAGGCGCCGGACGGTTTGGCAGTGTATCTTCGAGGGTGACCTCCATGGACGGTACTAGAGAGCTGCCTCAGGAGTCCCACAAACCATCATGGCTCGATAGGACTCTTTCTGAAGCCTGACTGCATCCCTAACTGCCGGTGTCCACCACCAGGTTTGGGGGTTACCGCCTGGAAAAGCCCCAGAGACTTTGCGACCACAGCTGCGAGCTGCCACATCTGCGATAGAGGAAGAGAACATGGTCCACTCAGCTTCAATGTTCCCCTACACCCCATGGGACCTGGGAGAAGCTCTCCCGGAGGTGCGAGTTGAAAGTCTGTCTGACAGGGGGCTCAGCGCGCCCTGCAGAACCTCACTACACACTTGAGTCTGCCAGGTCTGACCGGCTTCCTCCCCTGCCAGCGGATCCAATCACCAGGTGACTGCTCCACCCCTCTCGATCACAGGGGGGGCAGACCGCCCCCCCTGTGATCGAGTATATTATCTCTATATCGGGGCATTCAACTCACGCCTCAAATGCCTGCGGTGTGGCTGCAGATTTTCTTATTTCTTATGATCCCAGTCTGTACCAGAAGATTTGAGGAAATGGGTGGAGTTTGGTCAGCTCCTGCTTGGTTGGAAGGAAAATCTGCAGCCACTCTGATCCCTGAGACCCTAGTTGAATACCCCTGCCCTCAGTATATTTACTGAGCATATTGATATCTCTCTACACAACACATATTGTTGGACTGAAGTGCTCCACTGCTTTCATGTGACAGAGCCCGTGGCTGAGGCTGAGGTCCCTCTGGTCATCGCCAAACGCCAAGCCCCTGAGCTGACCGCAGACTGCACTGTGTACCGCTACGGCTCCCTCGCCACCGCAGTCCAGGTCGTGCGTAAGTGTGACCCGCCGTGTGTATGTGTGGTTTCTCTCTCTCTTGTTTCTTTTTGGTCTCTCTACAAGGCATCTATCTGGTCTCACTCTGGTATCTTTCTCTGGTCTGTCTCCGGTCTCTCTCTGGTCTCTTTCTGGTCTCTCTCTCTGGTCTCTCTCTGGTCTCTCTCTGGTATCTCCCTGGTCTCTCTATGATCTCTCTCGTCTCTCTGCTCTCTCCCTCGTCTCTGTCTGGTCCCTCTCTGGTCTCTCCCTGGTTTCTCTCTGATCTGTCCCTGGTCTCTCCACAGAGGGCATAGAGAGCGTGGAGATCGTGCAGGTGTCTAACGTTGTGTCTTTGTCGACGGAGTTGGAGCAGAACGCTGTGGACGTGACAATCTCGTGTCAGGGAAGGTTCGTCTATGATCACAGAACTGATGCATAGTTTGTGTTCATTGGCCCTAAAAAGATACATATTCTGCTCACTGGACTCACAGACCTGAAGTTGTGAGAGAGCAGAGTGAGACCAGAGAGTGACTAGAAAGAGAGACTATAGAGAGATCAGAGAGAGACCAGAGAGAGATCAGAGTGAGACCAGAGTGAGACCGACCACTATGACATCACACTCAGAGCAGTTTTCAGCTATTTAAAACAAAAGTATTGCTCCTAAATTAGTTTTTGTAATTTCTCAGTTGAAATGCTGTGAAGTGTTTGATGTTGGGAATTTTCATTATGGATGGATGGATGGAATTCCATGATTTAAAACATGAAATCAATGGTTGGAGGACATAGAGAGTTAGGGCCTGTGCTCATGTGTGTGTGTTGTGTGTGTGCGTTTTGTGTGTGTGGATCTGTTCTGTCCATGTATGTGTTGCGTGCCTGTGTGTGGGTGTGTGTGTGTTGCATGCGTTGTAGCAGTGCTCTCGTGTGTGCATGTGTTGTCGTGTGTGTGTGTTTGTGGTGCAGCAGTGCTCTCATGTGTGTGTTGTGTTGCAGTCTGCCCAGTGAGGTGTGTACAGTGGTGTCTGATGCTGACTGCCTCACTCCGGTCCAGACCCTCTGCTCTGCGGCCGCTCCCTCCCCGGACTGTCAGCTCGTCCTGCGACAGTTCTTCAACGAGACCGGAGTCTTCTGCCTCAACGTGTCCCTCACCAACGACGTGAGCCTCGCCGTGACCAGCGCCCGAGTCAACGTCAACACAGGTACGATACACACACACCTTCACAAAGAGCACCCACAGGTGGCTGAATGGATAGCACGCTTGCTTCTCAGCAAGAAGGTCCTGCGTTCCAATCTCCGTCGGAACGTGTCTGCGTAGGTTTCCTCCAGGTTCTCCGGTTTCCCCTACCACTAAAGACATGCAATAGTTAAAGGTGAATGCCTGTGTGGTTGTGAATTGGACTTTGGGACGAGGGATGGAAATCAGCCCAAGGCTACATTCTGGAATGGTGTTTATTAACATGCACTGTCCCAACCCATCCACTTGGGCCACTATAGCAATCGCTTAATTCTTCTCATTGTTGAAAATATTGAACTAATTCAAACATATGCTGTATGTGCCTGTTTTCTCTCCTCGCCTTTTCTAACTAATGGAGGAGAACTTCCTTTGGAAGTGCTCCCTTTGGGTGATTGCAACCCAGCACTCTGAACATTCCTCCCGTGGCGTTAGCCAGCGAAGAGGGTTGCTAAGGCAGGCTGGAGTTTTCCCACAAATGAAGGCATCCAGGGCCGGAGTGGGACAACATTTCAGGCCGGGAGCTTTTCATCCATTCAGGCCAAACAAGGTTCTAAATTTGGGTTTTTGTCATTGTATTTTGATGTTCTTTTAATAGTTTTAAGATTGACTGTCAAAACTTTTGTTTTCTTTATATAAACAGTCAATATAAAAAAAAATAATCTCGGACGTTTAAGGATTGTTGTACGTTGCTTAGCAACGTAACGTTTATGGAGCTTAGTGAGAATAAAGACACACACACACACACACACACACAATGAACTAAGTGTTCATTAGTGTATAACTATAACAAGCTAATCAATTATTGTTAAAAAAGTAGTAAGGTAAAATCACATCGTTACAGCTCATATAAAAGGAAAAATAAAAACGTGTATGAACCATCAGTTGGAGAGACCACTGATTTCAACCGGGGAAGCTACACTGGGTGCACTGCTAGGCTGGCCTGGCTGTGTAGCCGACGTGTGACGTCACATTTGTTTAATTTTGCTCTGGCCCAATGACAGTAAAGCTTTGGCCAGTGTTGTGCCAGTTCACAGCTTTTCTGAACTAGTTCAAGTTCAGTTCATACATGCTCAAAGTGAACAGTTCACGTTCGAAGTTCTCAATTTTAATTCTGAACTAGTTCAAAGTTCAGTTCATTTTACTTTTTGCGAGATATTCAAATAAATATTTTTTTTCACTACGAGCTAGAAATCACAATACGTGGTGTATAGATATATAGATATATAGATATATAGATATATAGATATATAGATATATATATATATATATATATATATCATATATCTATATCCTGTACACTGCACAGGATGTTTTGACTCCAATGCAGACAAGATTTACATGGGTTTCAATGGGAACTGAGTTGTCCCATCTCTGCTCATAAGTACAAACTGTAATGCGCTGCAGAACGTGTGTCTATACTTTATGTCAAATGTAAACGGCCCTGTGTCACTGACTTACCCCTGTGTTTTCATTACGGCACATGTGAGTCCAACAACCAATGAATAGCACTAGCATATAGCGCCGCACCGCAAGTACACTGAGTCGGGGTGCGTTCACAGACGGTGGAAACCGTAGGAATTTTTAGTTTTCGGCGGAAACAGTGCGGAGAATACAGGAGGGAGGAACTTTCTCTCGTTGCGTTTCAAAAGAGAGACAGATTTCACTCAGTTTTAAATGGAAAACAAATTGTCTGCCGTTCATGACACATAATATGAACTAATTCACGTTCAAGTTCTTTATTAAAAAATGTGTTGCGTTCAGTTCAACGTTCACGAAAAAATGAGCGTGTTCAATGAACGCGTTCTTATGAACTCGTTCACGCACAACACTGGCTTTGGCTTGGGCCTTGCTCATTGGACCAGGCCACCAGGCAGGGTAGGAGTTTGCAAAGACCGTGAGGATGAAATTAAATTAAAAGAAAAAAAAAAAAAAGACTGTGATGATAGGGCAGGCCCAGGCCACTTTGACACGCAGGCCACCGGGAGAGCTCCCGATGGCCAGTCCGGGCCAGAAGGCATCTATTTGGTCAATCCTTAAATGGCTCATATCTGGATTTACAAAGACAGCAACACAACATAAACTCCAGGATCACAGAGAGTGCCAAACCACAGATTTTTTTAAGCCAAAAATGGTGAGTGTGACCGAAACAGTTACTTTTTACTTTTACATGTAAGTCAATAGGAGCCAGAGGGACTAAACTTTATTGATCTCATAATGAAGACATTTACATAAATGTCCAAGAGCACTTCGCTATTCGTTGAGCTACCATTGTCCATCGGTATACAGTCTATGTTAACATTGTCCTCCTGTTCCCCCAGTGAGCTCTGGGTCTCCTGCTGGGACCGCGGCTACCGTTCTGGGGCTGATGGCTCTGGCCTGTGTGCTCTGCTGCGCCGGCCTCATGTACAGGTGAGACCCTGCTGTGCAAACTCCCACAGGCGCTAGAGAATTAGAGCTCAATCAAACATGCTCTCTGTCTGATCTATCTCTGGTCTCTCTGGTTTCTTTTCTGGTCTGTCTCTGGTCTCCCCCACTGGTCTCTCTCTCAGGTCTCTCTCTCAGGTCTCTCTCTCAGGTCTCTCTCTCAGGTCTCTCTCTCAGGTCTCTCTCTCAGGTCTCTCTCTCAGGTCTCTCTCTCTGGTCTCTCTCTCTGGTCTCTCTCTCTGGTCTCTCTCTCTGGTCTCTCTCTCTGGTCTCTCTCTCTGGTCTCTCTCTCTGGTCTCTATCTGTGGTCTCTCTCTCTCTCTGGTCTCTCTCTCTCTGGTCTCTCTCTCTCTGGTCTCTCTCTCTCTGGTCTCTCTCTCTCTGGTCTCTCTCTCTCTGGTCTCTCTCTCTCTGGTCTCTCTCTCTCTGGTCTCTCTCTGGTCTCTCTCTGGTCTCTCTCTCTGGTCTCTCTCTCTGGTCTCTCTCTCTGGTCTCTCTCTCTGGTCTCTATCTGTGGTCTCTCTCAGGTCTCTCTCTCAGGTCTCTCTCTCAGGTCTCTCTCTCAGGTCTCTCTCTCTCAGGTCTCTCTCTCTGGTCAATCTATAATCTCTCTCTCTCTGTCTCAGGTCTCTCTCTCTGGTCACTCTCTATAATCTCTCTGGTCTTTCTCTCAGGTCTCTCTCTTGTCTCTCTCTGGTCTCTATCTGTGATCTCTCTCAGGTCTCTCTCTCTCAGGTCTCTCTCTCTCAGGTCTCTCTCTCTCAGGTCTCTCTCTCTGGTCAATCTATAATCTCTCTCTCTCTGGTCTCTCTGTCTCAGGTCTCTCTCTCTGGTCACTCTCTATAATCTCTCTGGTCTTTCTCTCAGGTCTCTCTCTTGTCTCTCTCTGGTCTCTCTCTATAATCTCTCTCTCTCTCTCTGTGATCTCTCTCTGGTCTCTATCTGTGATCTCTCTCCGGTCTACCTCTGGTCTCTCTCCGGTCACTCTTTTTGTTACTTTTCTGTCTGATAAACCTGATCTAAAGATGTGACAGAAGCAAAACATTTTTATACGAGTTTTATATTACACATTTTCATGTTGTGTGGTTTGAAAGTTACGTACCCCAGCTTTAAGCCTGTGTTGTGCCCTGTGTCTCCCCAGGCGCCTGAAGCAGTACCAGCCGCTGCAGGAAGAGGGCAGCGCAGCCTCAGCTCGTAGCTCAGTGCCCATGCTGCTGTGGAACCTCCTGACCCGACAGAGTCCTGGGGAGAGGAGCCCGCTGCTGCAGGGCCGTATCGTTTAGACTTGCGTCACACGGCTGTATCCGAGCACAGACTCTGGGCGGACACAGGGAACACACACAAGATGACGTTATATTTATCGGGGATTCAGTAGAGAACACAGGTATTATCATTTAGCCCATACATTGGTCTCACTTTGGTTTGTGCATAAGGGGTTTGTAAAACACTGCCATCTAGTTGTAGAAGAACAGAACAATGTATCATTTGACGTCTGACATGGTGCAATATAATTGTAGGCAAGGGTTAGCCTCTTTGCATAATCAGCAAAAAAAGTCCCCGACTCAGCTCTACTCAACTCTACCTGGCTGTGTTTCTGTTAAAACTTAGTATCTAGTACTGTATCCTGAAGGGGCTGAAGCCATCGCCATGACAACCTCAGTGTCCACATTGTAATTGAGATTGATCAGAATTGCTGTACATTGCTGTACAGCTATAACAAGTTTGAAAAAAGAACGTTTAGACAGATAGGGCGGGGGATGCGCAAAGAGTTTCTCATATGTCCACAATTGATGTCTCCTTTAAATTCAACAGTGACACTCGTACTCCCAGAGCAGTCACTTTTATCACGCCCATTGAAACGTAGGGAATTCTGAGAAATTCCCATCAAAAACTTTTCGATTTTCACATCACATTTATTAAAAGGCATTTATAAGTAAGTTTGAGTCTGAGTTCATGTGTTCACCCCAGATTCTGAGATGAAGATAACTTACATATCATAAAACTGTTCTTTTGACCACCAAACAACACCAAGAACACCAAACGAGTCACAGTTCAGTGACGTTTGTTTTTCAGGATTAGTAAATGTTAATGTTTAATATCTTAAATCATATGAAAAACCCTTTGACTCGCTCACACGGGTTCTGCTGCCACCTGCTGGTCACACTGTGGAACGTTCGCGTAGATATTAGAAATACAAGACAATCATGTTTTGTGATATAACTATGGATCAAAATATATAATTATTTAATGTAAAAAACAGGATTAGAAACTTTCAGATCTGTGTAAAGATAAATTTTAAACTGTTCTTTTTATATTTGTCTGTTGTTTCTGGTCTATTTCAAACTTTAGAGTAAATGAAACCACAGACATTCATCACTTTGGTTAAATTAAAGAGTTTAAACACTGTTGCATGTTCTCCTCATTTTAATCTCCTATGTCATTTATGTGATTATGTTTAGTTTTGAAAATCCTAATGTCTCTGGTATCAGACTGGCATGGGTCAATCCTTTAGCCCTGGTTTAGTCCTGGATCTAGAGCTTATACTGTTCTCAATAAGGTGAATATTTGCTCTGTCAGCAGTGTCACTGTGGTCTCCAAGTGCACGTTTGATATTGATTGAGGACATTCACCCCCTCCACTCTACTCCCCCATCTCTCCTCTCCCCCTCCACTCTCCTTCCCCATCTCTCCTCTTCCCCTCCACTCTTTCTTCTCCCTCTCCCCTGCTCCTCCTGCTAACAGACATATGTAAAACCATATGTATGACACTCCCTCTGTCTTCTCCTCCTCCCCCTTCCTCCACCTCAATACCCCCCCCCCCCCCCCCCCCCCCCCCCTCCTGCTGACAGACCCATGTAAAACCTCATGTATGACACTCCGCAGTGCAGGAGCTGAAATTATTGCAGTAAATCTGGACAGAAGCAAACATCCAGTGTGGAAACAGAACTGACCACAGGGAAAAGCAAAAGTCTAAACCACATCAGGGCAAAGCAAGATTATTTGTATGGCACAGTTCTAGCACAAGACAACTCAAAGTACTCAACAAAAGAAAAATTAACATCACACAAGGCATTAAAAACATAAATAATCACAGTGCATTGAACAAGATACAATCCTTCAAGTTTTGCAGCTAAACAGACCTGTTTTAACCTGGATTTGAACATTGTCAGAAGAAGCAGATTTTTGCTGCACAATTATGTAACGATGCCTCCCCATTTTTTGTCCTGACCATGAGACCACTCCCTTTGCTCCACTTTGGACTTTGCGTTGGTCCTCTCTCATTTAAGACCTTGTTTTAAACCTGATTTGGGCCTGGTTCAGACCTGGTTCAGATCTGGTTCAGACCGTCTGTCTGCTCATGCTCAGAGCGTTCCGTTTCCCCTCATGGCTCAGAAAAAGTCTCTGATCCATTATCTACCTCCGGAGCTGCGGATGTAACCGGAGCCTGCATCCTGACTGGTCCACCCATCACTGAGGCGGGCAAGGTGACTGCCCCAAGGCCTCTTACAGACCTGCTTTAGACCTGCTTTAGACCTAGTACAGTCCTAGTTTAGATCTGGTTTAGTCCTGGTTTAGATCAAGTACAGTTCCGGTTTAGTCTTGGTACAGACCTGGTTCATGTTAAAGTCCTTTTACATGCATTTTCTCATAAAAGTAAAATAATGTGAATACATCATAAAACTTATCTTTTGTTTAAGAAAGGGCCTGGTGAGTCACTATTTGACTATTTGACCAGAGAGAGACCAGAGAGGGACCAGAGAGGGACCGGAGAGAGACCAGAGAAAGACCAGAGAGGGACCAGAAAGAGTCTATTGAGAGACCAGAGAAAGACCGGAGAGAGACTGGAGAGAGACCGGAGAGAGACCGGAGAGAGACCGGAGAGAGACCGGAGAGAGACCGGAGAGAGACCAGGGAGAGACCAGAGAGAGACCAGAGAGAGCGAGACCGGAGAGAGACCAGAGAAAGACCAGAGAGGGACCAGAGAGAGTCTATTGAGAGACCAGAGAAAGACCGGAGAGAGACTGGAGAGAGACCGGAGAGAGACCGGAGAGAGACCGGAGAGAGACCAGGGAGAGACCAGAGAGAGCGAGACCGGAGAGAGACCAGAGAAAGACCAGAGAATGACCAGAGAAAGACCGGAAAGAGACCAGAGAGAAACCAGAGAAAGACCGGAGAGAGACCAGAGAAAGACCAGAGAAAGACCAGAGAGAGTCCAGAGAGAGACCAGAGAGAGTCCAGAGAGAGACCAGAGAGAAAGTGACATGACTCAGACTTTTTCTCTTGTGCTGAATGTCTTCACCTCCTGTTTCCTGCCTCTGCGTCTCCTCTCCAGAAGGTGACTCCTGGAGGATTGTGATTAGTTAAAACACCACACGCCTCACAGTTTATTGGCCTCCGTCACTCGCCGCAGTGCAGAGAGTCCCAATGTCCCAATATCGTCAGAACACACCTCCACAATCGGCTTTAAAGGAGACATATCATGCAAAATCATCATGTTCCAGCACTGTTACTCCAAAGTCAGAGACCTTGAGTGGTTTTTGGCAGCTCCTGTCTCAGTCAAGTCCTGGATCTCCAAGAGTTCTGGTTAGACCTGGTACAGACTTGGTTCTATGACATTGCACTCAACCGGTAAATATCAAAGTTCAAAAAATAGAATTCAAATGTGTGCTTTTGCTCATGCTTTTAGTATGTGCTTGTTTTTAAATGTGTTCATATATTGTAGTTAGTGTTATTTGTGTTAAATGTGTTTTACCTGCAAATGGAAAAAGAACTGAACTTGAAATTGACATATTTGATTTCCTCTGATCAGAGTATCCGAGTGAGCCCTTTCCTATCGGCTTCATTGAGCTAGCATGTTAGCATTGTCCATCTGTTTACAGGCTCTGGGCAGAGAGCTGACTCACTGTTCTTTAAATCAATGGATTCACAAGTGTTCTAAATATTGCCCTGTGTGTGTGTGTGTGTGTGTGTGTGTGTGTGTGTGTGTGTGTGTGTGTGTGTGTGTGTGTGTGTGTGTGTGTGTGTGTGTGTGTGTGTGTGTGTGTGTGTGTGTGTGTGTGTGTGTGTGTGTTTGACTGGTCTCAGTGGTCTGTCTGTGTGACTGTCTTTGTCATTTCCATGTCTCTGTAATGAGAGACATTATTTATATTTACATAAGTGACAGTGAAACCAGAGCCTGCAGAGCTGAGAGCAACTGGACACACACTGAGATCCATCCCCCAGAAAATAATCAATAATCAATAACAGTGACATCTGCCACAGTGCTCCATCAGAGGTAGCCTGGCCATAGCCATCCGTTCACTCCGCTCAATCATCATTTCACTGCATGTAGCGTCTGGGTCTGGTCCCTGTGTTAGCGATTACAATCGGTCGTATTTCAACCGGCTACTCAGAGAGCGCATTGTAGGTCGGTGCCGGTGACGTCAAGAGTTTGCGCCGAACGGGCAGGTTGTAGTTTGGCAGTGGCGAAGAACGCGATAGTAAAGTAATCCGGTCTGGTTCTATCATGAAATTGAAGCCGGAGCAAGAGAAATGTTAGGCAAATGTAATCGCTGGTCAAGATTGTGGCACTACTCCCCACGGGCTCCGTTAGCGGCAAAGGAGATGGCTAGGCTAAATGCTAAATGCTAACAACAGACTCGGGCGCACTACATACGTCACGGTAAACTCAGATCCAATCGTTTCAATCTGCAAAAGGAGTTAACCCCTCCCACCTGTTCACGGAGCTCAATGGAGCAAATCCAGACCTTAGTATGAAATGTAATTTGTACTAAGGTGTGGTACAACCAGGCTACATCAGAGGGAGACACGCTCTTTAAACTCTGCTCAAACTGGGAAAGGAGTAAGTGAATCTAAGTATACAACTAAAAACACTTTTAAAGGAGGGCAAACGAAGTAAACATAAAAAGGATGAGAAAAAACCATAAACTGTAAAAATTAACGGACGTAGTTACGCCTATCTCCACCCTTCTAACTAATGGGCCAAAAAATGTGCTCTACTGGAGCTATCCAAAATGGCCGCGAGTGGTCCCGCCCACAAGACCATTGTGAAAAAACGCATCTGCGCATGCGTCAGCCGGCGCAGCTCCATTCATTTGAACGAGAGACTTCAAAAATTTACAGCAAGTAAACTAGAGTGGACCAAAAAAATTCACCCCCCTCAGCATTGACACACATGTGGAACGGAATAAGAATAAGAATTAGCCAATGCTAACATATAGCATTGAAAGTAATCTTTATTTATATACCGCCTTTTCACTGCACATCGGAGTCTCAAAGCGGTT